GAGAATTATTCCTAGGATACAACATTAAGGTTCATTTTAGAACTCTCCTTAACCTTTATTAACCAATAAAAATGCACTCATGTTTACATTAACGGCATTCTAACTTAAACCGTATTAACATAATACTTACAATTAAAACAGTAAACAATTATACCAACTGTCTTTTCTATTAAGCGTACACATTACGAAACATTAATTGGTTCGTGCAAATGATAAACGACCTTATTCCGTAGTACACAAAGTAAAAAATTATACAAAGTAATAAGTCCTTATAAATATTATTTAAAAAGCGTATTAGAATTGTGACAATAATAAATGAAAGTTAAAAATAATGTGACTGACGATGGATAGTTAAAAATGACTAGTAAATATCTGTTAATAGATTAAATTCCCTTTACAACCATAATGAATAAACTATATGTTTACCAAGAAGTATTCTTGGTCATAGAGTAACCTCTAGTAAGAAACACAACCTCCCTTACACATAAAAATAAAGTTACAACCATATTTTAACTATTACAGTATTTTGTCTTTTTCTTCCAATTCAGAAAGTAGCACGAAAGAAAAGAACAAAAGAGCTAAACTAACAATATAATACCTTCATTTTGACGCATGACTTCCTGTCACTCATACACACACGTTCACGCCAATCATAACGTTAAAACGTAAAGTACAACACTTGTTTAAAAGGGCAATAGGCAAGCTTCTTACCTATTAATCTGCATATTGAGTGGTAAAAAAAACATAATTCCAAAGTGCTCACAGTTCAGTTAAATGTTTAAAGAACATTATATTTTACTATTATGATATTACACTTTAAAATGTATTACTAAAACAAATAAATGTATTTATAAAACCCATGGTAAATATGTGGAAATAATTATAAATAATACAATATGGTAAATACAAGCGTATTCAGAGATTCGTGTAATTATAACGAAGTATAATTATTAAAATTGTGATAAAAAGCACTTCCAAAAACATCTTAAACTAATATAAAACTCAATGAATCAATATTCTCTTGTCCATTATCTTTTACACTCATGAGATCTGATGATTTCTTTCAAGAATTAATTTATAGACCAGCCCCGCATAGCATATCGATAGCGCAGAAAGGTTGGCGCCTGCACTATAGATATATTATGAACCAAAATAAAAGAAAGTCATTCTAGCGTTATTAACAGAAAGAGACGTTTAATAAATAAAGAAGTATAATTCAAGTAGATACTTTAATCCGAGTAGGTTGACTATTGACCGTTTATTTAAAAAAAATGCGGTAGTTGCAGTTGCGAACCGTACAACTCGTTTTGTTATTGCAACAATCTAAAGGCTTACATAATCCCTTAAAAAAGTAACGTTGTTATGTATTTACTCTTTAGAATCCATTTCAACAAAATATTAACTAATTATTATTTATTCTCATTAAATAAATGCACTCATAGTATTATAAATGGAAATAGAAAATTTATTATTAAACATTCTTAAACCTTGAAAATCATATATATTTATAATACATTCTCGTCATAACATCTTAATAATATTACTGTCCATATAATACTTTTAGATTGAAAATAATGAAACACTTTCTTGGTATTTTAATATTATCTTTTATAAATTATTATTTAATTTATATTTCCGTTTAATTTAACAGTAAATGAATGCTATGCTTTAAGTAAAAGTCACATATATAATAAAACTGTGAGAATTAGGGTTGCCACTCGAAATTAATCAGAATACATTACGATTGCTTAATAACTGAGAATGTTGTTCATAAATTACGAGTGCTCTAAAAAAGAATAATTTATTTAGTTTTATTTAACCAATGATACTTATCATTTTAGAACACTCATCCACGTTCTGAAATGGTTAATCTACTTAAAAACATTTTTCTCAAAAACAAAATATATAAAAAAAAAGTTTTCTTTACTTTAAAACTTACCAAAAATTGTCTAGAAATATTGCTTGATGATAATTTTTTGAGTACTATACATGATACTTCAAAGTCAAATTCTGTTACAAAAAATATAAGATTGTAATATTTAGTTTCCTGCAATAATCACTGGCATTCCGGGTAGCGACCCTATAAATATTAACGTGTATGTTAAATATTTTTTAATTTATCAATAATACGATTAGTTATTAAGATGGCAGTGAGTTTGGTGTAAAATATTTTACTAGTCATTAGACAATAAATAGAATCGTACTTATTGTCGTGTGTGATCAATAGGACTTAGTTTACATCAATGAACATTATCTATATATATATGGGAATAAATAATATATTGCATACAACTTTACAATGTTTATCAGATTCCAGGGACTTTATTATTGGGATAGTTTTACATAATGCAGGCCCTGGACATCTTCAATCGGTTTTTTTATAATATCTGATAAATACTAACCACGCTTTCCCATTCTTATTATCTATATATATATGGGAATAAATAATATATTGCATACAACTTTACAATGTTTATCAGATTCCTTTATTGTTGGAATAGTTTTACATTATGCAACCAACGGATAGCTCACGCCACAAAATACTTTCAGGTCCATCAACAGACTTACAAAGTTACGTTATCTTTGATAAAAATACATTATAGAAGTGTCGTAAACTTATAGCCAACCATTAGGCGAGCCGACTATTAATGTGTATAAAAATGCAATCCCTTGTTCTTTCTTATAGAATTATAAATAACTTGTAAATTTTGGTATGATGTATGTATGCATTCTTTGGTAATTTTATTGTTAAATATAAATTAAAAATGTAATTCAATATACATCCAATGTATGTACATATAGTTTAGTTTGAATTACAAATTAAAAAGTGTAACCAATATTGTGACTTTATTTCTAAAGTTAAATTTTAATAGATGTTACGAAAGTTGGTTTATTATTATGCATTTATATAAAAAATGTAATAAATTACAAGCTTATAAAAATAAAAAATCTAAACCGAATATAACTGGGCCCATAACCGAATCTAGAAGGTTCATGGGATTTGTATGCATCTCAAATCTACCTTTATTACATTAGTCATAGATGGAATAGAGACATTGTCAGTTGTCGACGTCACAAATGATGATCTATGATGCAGAAAATAACAGTTAATTTTCTACATCCCTGTCTCTGACCTCGCAAAGACATAGCATTGCTTTACATTCTAATGACTTGTTTACACTCCGCTCATTGTAAAAACTAATATAATCAGCGTCGATAATTATCACAAGTAATTTAACTACAATGGTCATTGTAGCTGCCATTATTCGACGCTCGTATTGTACGCTTTGTGCGTATTCGTGCACGCAACGTAACGCGTGTCTGCGTCTTTATAGTCTATCTCGCTCATTTACTTTTAAAACGATTAGGTTAAACACCTGTTTTATATGAATATATTCAATTGATCTGTGGTTTATATGCAAATGATTGAAGCGATATAATAATCAGTTATAACGTTTGCAATAACAACATGAGATGCATCAGACAATCATCATAATTATCACATAATTAAATAACACTAACTGCTGAGCGAATTCGTAAAAATGTGTGCCGGGTGTGCTAATTAGTACCGCGATGAACTTACAATTGTACTAGCTTGTAAGCGGTGACTATTGCCGTGTAAGTACACCTCGACGCGCCTGGCTATCTCGCGCGCACACGCTATGAATACCCCTCCGATTGACCTCCATCCAATTTTAATGGGGAGCGAAATTACGACGGTCTAAGCCAAGGATCTGAACTCTAGAGTTGCACTCAGACTAAAGTCGTATCCGTCAGGCAAGGGTTGGCTTTCAGCCGCTCTATAAGTCCTTTCTTTGGTTTGAATCCATCTGCACTCGTCCCATATCGTCCGGTGAAGCTGTCAGGACCAGCTGCGACCACAGCATTAGAGTAGTCCGGTAAATAAACGCAATAAAATAGTTACCGCTAGGCGCGTTAAAGTGCGTATGATTTATAGACAGTTTCAACTCGCTATGCGAGTTTTCAGCAGTTTGTTAATCTCATTACAATCCAAACCAATATGACTATATTTATATTTTCCTATTCTTACTACCTAACACACAGAATGTTTAAATCCATTGATTTTCTACTCAATATAGCCTCCATCCCATATCCGGTTAACCTAGAGCAATAACTATTAAAATTCATAAATAACTTATTACCTAATGCAATGTAATTACGTTTGACGTGCGCTAATGATTAAAAGAAGATTTGGCAAAACACACTTTTTAACATTATGCTGGTTTAATATTGTGATAGAATAAAAGGTTTAATGTGTGATGATAAATAAACGTGGTTTAAATTGGAACTAACACTATGCGATAATTCTATCATGTCAAGATAAGGCATTTCAATTTGAACCTTATAACATAAACATTAATACTCATAATTATCCTTCAACTAAAAATAATGCTTTTTGAAAAATCCAAGCTCAAGCTTCTGATTTGAACTATAAAATTTATTAGACAAATGGTTTTTTATAATTTAAACCATCTCGTAGATGGTATAATACTATTTAAGGAGACTATTACACTATCAATTATTACAATTCTAAATCAATTTACAATGTAATAGTAACGCATTTACAATGCCAGTTTTGTGTTCAATATTTCATATAGTACAGGAATAAACTAACAGATTATGGAATATATTTGACAGTGCAATAAACTCCTGAGGCGATTTAATTTATCTCTTTATACTATTTTTGTGTATAGACAATAATATCAAAATGAATAATGTATACATAATATACTTTACCTTTTAACTGGAGTATAATTCTCCATGGTCAATTGTCTATGATTGTTGTACTACTTTCCCATTAAGGAGTTTGCCTTAATAGGAAAGTAGTACAACAATATTTAAAATCTCCATAAACCACATATACAAACTATGCTGTTTTTTAGAAATAATTAAGACACAACTCAGTCGCGTGTAGAACTTATAACTTATTTAAACAAAGAATAAATTAGCCAATTTATACAAATTCTGTCATTTACCTGACTAACCGGAGCTAAGCTTTAAACCTTAACAACAATGTAACAAGGTGGAATCTCCATTATCAGTCGGTAATTATGCTTTGGTTTCGTTCCTGTTCTTCTATACACTCTGTCTTGTCCTCTATAACGGATTCGGTGCGCTCTATGTCTAGAGTTTCCATCTCGTTTTGTTTCTCACTGTAAATACAATTTTATTTTTCAATTATTACCAAAAAAAAAACGGGCTTAATGATTTAGCGGTATTACATCACTTTATTTCCGATAGTCGTGGGTTCGATTATCCATATAAGACAACTGACAAACATTTGTAGTCATGCGTAATAATAATATTATAATTACTTTTACAATTGTTTGTTGATGTTGTTGTTGATAAACATCAACAAAAAACTACATCAATGTAGTTTTTTTTTATATGTGTATTATTATCATTATATAGTATAAAACAAAGTCGATGTCGCTGTCTGTCCGTCTCTATGTATGCTTGAATCTTTAAAACTACGCAAGGGAATTTGAAGAGGTTTTTTTAATAGATAGTGATTCTAGAGGAAGATTATACATACCCGGGCAAAACCGGGGCGAGTAGCTAGTTTGTTATATATTAATGTAATATGTTTAGTTTATTCATTATAATTATAACAAATATATTTGTATCATTAGTTTAGAACACATAGTACAAGCTTTGCTTAGTTAGTTCGGGATTCTAGATGGCGTTGTGTTAATTGTTTCAGACTTACAATTTTATTATTATAAAAAGTATAATTAATACAACTATTGTATGGGACTATTCATATATAAATAATAGATACAATAATTTTAAGCTTAATATACATAATTATAATATTGTGAGATCCTGTGTCTATATAGCATGCACTTACAAGTCGTCACAAAAAAAAATGAACTTAACCACACTCTGTATGCATGTGCTTTATATTTTTGTGATACTGTAATAAATATATAAATTATGTCATGCTAAGGGAAATAGAGGAAGTTGACGATGTGGTTACATGATGCCAAAACTATATCTAACTCTATCTATAGGACTATAAAGTTTGTTTTAATTTGCAAAACATTTACACTTATTTAGACAGTGTCAATGTTATCATGCAAATGTGACCAGCTGTAACAAGCACAATAATACGAGCTCAACAAACGGGCTTAAGGGGTGCCAGGCCATGAATATCATCATGTGAATTAATATCAGTTGTATTTGAATGTTTTACGATTCGTACTGTATTGTTGGAAAAAGAAAAATAGTGGTACTTACGTGGTAGCCTTGGGCTCTGCAGACGGTGCGGGTGCAGCGGGGGGCGCGGGGGGCGCCGCCAGCTGCAGCGACTGCGGCCGCCGCAGCCAGCCGCATCGCTCTTCCTGATATCATAAACGATTCTCGAGGAATGGACGCAAACAAACAACTAACACGGACTGCGATAGAATGCGCTAAGTCAGTAGTATACGTTATTGCGCGGTGGTTTGGCGCTATTGAGCGTTTCTAGATGCGTCCTGTAAAGGCAACACGAACAAGCCCGCGGAAATGATGTCAGGAGGCGTACCTGCGGCGTGAGGACAGCGCTGATGTCGGTCTGCGTGGCGGCGGAGGGGGCGCACGGGGGGTCATGGGGGTCGCACTGGGGGTCGCAGGGGGGCCGCGCCCGCAGCAGCAGCTCGCGCATGCAGCCCTGAAGCTCCGCCACCTGGCCCTGAAGTCGCGCGCACGTCTCCATCACCTTCTGCAGCGTCTCTTCACTCTCCGACGGGTGCCGACTCTCTGCCCGATGTTAATAGTATATTCATTTCGATGTAGACAACATTATACTCATGACAGGTTTGTTAAGACTGAATGACTGAAGTGTTGTTGGGTTCTATCCTTATACCACATTTTTAGTTATTTCTTTTAATTATACTTATACTATCACTGTGATATAAAAAATACTTTTGTATTATTTAATATACAATATGTTAATTATTCTGTACGTGTGTTTGTCACCTAAGTCCTTAATAGGGTTCCTGGATGGTTTGAAAACACAAAATCCCGGTAGTAGGCACTTAGGTCCAATATAAATTGTCATTTTTCTGGGCAAGGCAACATCTGCCGGCTCCACTAGTGTACAAATAAAATATAATAATGACATGGGTACTATGACCAAACCCATTAAGTCACGTGATTTGATTGGACATATTATTGCAATATAAATTTCTAGTCAAACTACAACAAACAATCAAAACCTAGTCATTTATTTTATATGTCGCTGCGCACAAATCTTAAAAGTCCATTAACTTACCTGTCGTTTGCAGTGTGGAGACTTTCTTCCAAAGTGCGTTAATCGCCTGCATCTGCAACTGCTGGATCTTACGTTCACTCTCTAACGCTGCTTTAGTCGCTTCCATATCACATGTTAGCCTCCTATAAATATTATATAAGAGTTAGAAAGAGACATTAGTTAAATAAATTTAAGTTAAATTAAAAAAATATAAATTATTGGTAGTTCATTCTGTATTCAATTTTATAGTTTTAGTCTACTGAATAAAGATTAATTTTATCTGCATGTTGATTACAATCCAGAATAAAGTAACCTATTCCCTTTCCATCCTAAATGCTACCTATATTCCACATTTTATTATATCAATTTATAGCCTTCATTGTTAATTAAAATGCATCAAGCGATGTAAATAACATGAATATTAGTATTTAAAATACTTTAGATTTTTCAACAAAAATACTATAAGAACAAAGACATCCTTTTGATAGATGCCTGAAAATTTAATGTTATTACGTTAAACTCACTGTATATGTTGTCTCGCTCTAGCTGCCTGTATAGCGTGCAAGATCCTCAACGTGTCCTTATTTAGATTCCTACTTCTGTATCCCCTCCACATTTTCTGTATAGTCACAGCTGCCATCGACTCTGCTGTCATCTTCTTCTGCCGCCGCTGATTTGAAGCGAGCTTTATTATTTCCAATTTGTCAGGGTCAATCTGGTCATCTTTTACACCGTTCATCTGACTCTCATCATGTTTAACCGTCAGGCTCCCTTTACGCTGCTCCATCCTGGACTTAAGCTTTGGTGATGAGGTGGCACTTTTTGTTAACTTAGGAGAGCCTTTTAAACTCCTATTCATGCTAGCCTTCTGCTGTCTGTCTTCATTGATGCTACTATTGCTGGACTGGGATGACGTATTAGAAATACTATTAACAGAGTTATTGATAGGTTTTGGTATGGTCCTCTGTATGTCATAAATTGGATCCTGATAGTCTGGGCTCATAAGTGACTCGGGTACTGGGACCATTTTTGAAGCTGCTTCGAGTGAGTGGTTAACCACTTTAGCTGCAGGGGGTTCTGAAATGGTAATAAGAATTTTGGTTTTTGGCCATTATTAATTACTATATATTACAACTATTAACTTATAATTTTATGATCGCCTTCTTTATATAACTACTGAATGACAATGTAACCTGATCTGATGCAAAAGTAGCTATAGCTTATAGACATGAAATAGATCCGTGTTACCCCTTCCTTTGATGCCATATTATTCCTGAGGGCTGCTAAATCAGCTATGTTCCATCACATAGCTACATAGCTGATTTGGCGAAAATAGGTATGCAGATGTCTTTGTAACGACGTAACACTGACCTTGTGGTTTTTCTTTCTCCTTCTCTTTCTCCTTGTCCCGTCCATCCTTTTTCTCCATGGCGTACATGAGTCCTGGCGAGTCGAAGCTCTGGCTCATTGCGGACGGAAGGTCCGTGGCCAGCGCCGACTGATGCGAGGGTGAGTTCCTGGTCAATGCTGCGTGGTAGCTGGACGTCAGGCGATCCGGTGAACGGCCCATGTGCCGGGACGCTATCCGAGCTGACATCACATGGCAAGCATGATAATATTATACAAAATTAACCGTAATATGTATACCAAGTAGAAAGTTCATGATGGTAGTAGAAACTAAATAACTAGTTTTTGAAAGAAATCCATGTTTAAAATTTCGAAAAAGTTATTTTTTATAAGATTGGAATTACCTATTTTTCTATAATATAATAATATCCTTGGACAATCCACAGAGTCCCATTAGTCCCAAGCTAAGCAGTGTTTCTGAGCTACCCATAGTACTAGATAATTTACACAACTACTTAAATACATTCGTAATAAATGTAAAAACACCCAAACCCATACAAACTCAATAAAAATTTTATACACTGCAAGGAATCTAACCAGCGATCATGGGTAGTAATACGATGTACTATATTGCTAGACCACCGAGGCAGTCAATGGAATTATCCTTACTAATATTATAAATGCGAAAATAACTCGCAACATGTTTATCTGTCTGTCTCGCTTTCACGCCGAAACCACTGAACCGATTTAAATGAAAATTGGTGCACAGGTAGTCTAGACCCTGACAAATAATAATAATAATATAATAATAATGACATTGATAGACAAGTTAAGCTATCTAGAGCTTGTGTTATGGGTACTAGATAACTGATACATAAATATATTTTTTTTTTTGTAAATAGGCATATTTTTTAATGCGAAAAAATGTTTGTGCCGTGGAACCCGCGACCATCGGCCGTAAGAGCGGTGTGCTTGACTGCTAAGAGGTTGTCAAGGGGCTTTTAGATGCGAAAACAGGTTATATGGAAGTATCGTCATTTTACGAGGATCAAGTCGCGAGCGCAGCTAGTTTACGTATATAGTAAGACATTATTGTTCATACTTTTAATCTATTTAGTCCAAAACAGTAAATAACTAATATTACTAATACTAAATTCAATCTGTCTGTCTGTCTGGTTGAGCAAGAGTAGTTTAGGTTGCTAGAATTCAGATATGCTTACTTTGCATTCTTGGAGACTGTAGTTTTGGTTTCAAGGGACTGTGGTTCTGGTCCTTCAATTGCTGTTGATGGTGTTGAGCCTGTTATAACATGTATATTAATTGTATGTATATATTTTTCATTTTCTATAGCCTATTACATTATTACTGCGATCTGGATAATAAGATAAAAATGTTCAGGACAAGTATATAATATGAACATAAATATAGTTTACTACATTTTTAATATAAGTATTAAATATTAGGTTCAATTTGGACATCACCGGTTATATTATAATCATTTACAATTTAGGATCTTGTCCGAAAATATCGATCCAATAATATAAATTTCGTACTAAAATGGCAAATAGTACCAAAATGACTATTAGCTAAATGTTTCTCTCATTATACAAATCTTACTCTCACATATCAATGTGACTGGATTCCAAATCAGTATGAACATGATGATTAAATTTCCATTTAGGACCAATATTTATCTAATAAATCAATGCTTCAAATATAAAATCATTAACTAAATGAAAAGATTTACTCTTCTAGGAAAACTTTGGGCATAAAATGTTTGTAATAAAAACAATACCTTGCTGAGAATTAGACGCAGTTTCCTTTGGTCTTCGGTTTCTAGTGCATCTGCAGTGAGAGGACATGTGGAAGCGAGATATTCACATAACTCCTGATGCTGGCCCGCGTGGAAGTGCCGCCCTTTGCCTTGACTATACAACCATTCTGCTTTCAAGCTGCAACATATGTTTCTTTTGTACATTTATTTAATGCAGGTCACATGGACCATATTGTAAATACCTTATAGACTGACATAAATAAGAAATAATAATAAAATGTAAATTCAAATTGTCTCTATGGTCACGGCACTGACGATGGCAATCTGCCACGGTAGCACCAATAGACCACCCCCTTCGGCCAGTAGTCCTCTTTCAAGAAGGTGGGCAGTATGTTGGTGGGGACCCGGGCCACGAACGCTTTGAAGCTCGCGTTGTGACTCGATTCCAGCTGCGTCACCCTCAATGTTAGGTTACTTTATACTAGCTATATGAGTGGGTAGAATAAAATAGATTTCTTGACTATCTCAAATACAAAATATAATGAAATATATAAAATAATAAATAAATAATCTCATGACAATTTACACAGCACCATCTAGACCCATGTTAAGCTAGCTATAGCTTGTGTTATGGGTACTATAACTGATACATATACATACTTTTTTTTCGTAAATGCATACATATTATACATAGACATAGAAAACACCCAGACCAATACAAACAATCATAGATATGAATACAAATAAATTACAAATATTAAAAATTAATTAAATAGACGTTTAATAAGAGTTAATAGAACAACCATAAATACGGTTATTGTATTGACTCTTATTATATGTTGAACAATATTTTTTTTTTTATTCTTACATTTATTTAGGGAGTTTTATTTTTTAACACTATTTATCAGCTGGAAGTACAAGAAAAAAATAAAATTACATCCTACATTTTGTTCTAAATTAGCAAGTGGCTAATTCTATCTAATAGCGGAAACATCCAAAAATCTATAATACTGAGCAACCCACAACGGCGTACCATATGCATGTATCACCGGTCACGGTGGTCTAGCGGTTTAGCACACCAATTTACTGAAGATGGTCACGGGTTCGGTTCCTGGCACGATACTAACATTTGTATTCATGAGTAAGATTGTATGTATCGGTCTGCGTGTTTTCAATGTGTATTATTCATTTATAAAAAAAATATTTTGACATACCTACCCGTTGTTTAGTAGCCATAACACCACGGTTATTATTATATGCGACTAAAGTACTTACCTCTCAATAGCACTGACGACGAATCCGTCTATAGATTTTACACTTAGAATCCAATTGAGAACAAAAGGTCGATAGTCAAATCCTCTGGGTTTATATTAAGAATTTATTATTGTAATATTACCTTAATAAAATCTACAATGATGATTTTAAATTTTTTATTGCAAATTGACAGCTTTCCACTAAATGCATATGAAAGTATAGTTCTTTTAAAATAATTGTTTGTTTAAGCAATCACACACGCACACGCAAATGTAACAAAAACTGAGTGTCTGTGTGTGTGTGACTCATATTTTGTTACAAATAAATTTTTTTTTTTTATTATTATGTAACAAATTATTGAGAAGAAAGTATGTTGTATTCTATTCTATTTGTGAATACACCCAAAAAATTTTCTCAGGATTATAAAATCAGTAGCAAATCTATACTAATTTGGTTTAATTTATTTGTGAACATCAAGCTTGTGGGTAAATTTAAATCTACAAAAACATCCACAAGTTTTAAACCGCCGAAAACCGAGACATGGATATGCAATAGTAAACATAAAAAAATCTTGAAAAGGATACAATTTGTCCTTTCCCGCCATTGATATACAAGGATTTCCCTGTATAGTAAAGCTGTCCAGTTTGCTTAGGTGCACCAGATGACAGATCTCATTCAGGTCCTGGATGTTGTTGTGCCCAAGACCCAGGTGTTCCAGATTGGTGGGCAGATAACGGTCACACTGACGCAGATCCATTATGCGATTCCTTTCCAGGTTTACATGCTACAAAAATACAAATTATAATTGTTATTTACTCTTATGTAAACACAGTAAACAGTAACAACCTGACTCTGGGACCGTTCTGGACAGAGCTCAGTGGAGAGAGCTGGAGGAGGCCTATGCCAAAAGGCACACTGAGTTGCGGGACATTCTGTAAACAGCAAATGTACCCCAACTTTTGGAAAAAGGGTTATTATTATAAACACAACATAAAATATGGTAGAGCGCAGTGATAGCTGGCTCATCGTTATACTGGTGAACAGGTGATGCTTGTAGGGACTGGTTTGTTCTGTTAACTATGACTGATTTAATTAGGTACTCAAGAAATAAAATGTTCAGTAGGAAACAAATATAAGGCAGTGTTTCCAATCTTACCTTTAAATTTTTCAAATATGAAATATCTGCTATAAATGAGATTTGATTGTTGGACAAATCTAGATGTTCCAAATGCATGTTGTGATTCAAATGTTCAATTGATTTTATATTATTACCTGTGAATGAAATAATATAGATAAAAATATATAACAATGGTAAGCAAAGCATTGTTTACTTTTACTTAATAAATGAAACTATGAAAATTAATAAGTAATTTTGCTAACATGTGAGTAAAAATGGAAATTTAAAAGACAGACAAATATATTCTATATTTATATTAACATTATACTTTATTCCTTATGGTAATTAAAATAAAGCCTCAAGACACAGCTAGTAAATGTATACACAACAACAATAGTAACTTACCAGCTAGTTTTAACACTTTAAGGTAAATTAAATCCTTCAACCCCTCAATCTGGAGGATACCATTGTTGGAGAGTGCCAGGATGCGCAGGTTTGTTAACTTTGACACACCATGCATACGAAGTAAGAAGTTGTTGCATATTGACAACTGGAACAAGAAATAAGGTTATTGGTTGTTGAGTGTTGAAACATAAGGATCAATCTGGCATTGGACATTGCTAAAAAGCTGTCCTGTAGTTAGAACAAGTGTATTTTTAAGGAAGATAATAAAATGCTGCAATGGGAACAGTGTGGAGGGCAACCTGATAGCAATGATCACTAGTCGATATTAATAATACTCCCCTTCAAGATAATGTAATGGGGCACCCAACTGCGCTAACAGTTTGCTTTGACTTATGTGTGTACAGCATGCTGTTTAAGTATGTTATAAATTCAGAAGGAATTTATAACAATGGTTTCCAGTGGGAACAGTGTGGAGGGCAACCCGATAGGGTCACATTGCTAGCTATGATCAATAGTCCATATTAATACATTATGAGCGGAGCAGGTACTTGTTCCCATATTAATAAATAAATATATATATATATATATATATATATTTTTCCCTTGTGTCATTTAAAATTACTTATTTTAAATGGGTAATAATACCTTCCCTGCTCATAATGTGTTAATAATATTACCCTTTGATGGGTGTGATTGTTCTCATTTGAAATTGAATGGTGCACACATCTGTGCTAATGATTTGCTTTGACTTATAAGTGTACAGCATGACTTGATCATAGATAGCATTTACATGAATTTTTTAGTTCCATTATTAAAGTAGTGATGTAAGGTCATAGCAGGACAATAAGTAATTGCTATGTGGGATGTAAGGTGATGTGTAGGTGTTCCCTCCTAGTGTCAATAAGCTTTTATTATGCTACTCATTATTCAGATCATTCTAAATTGTCATGTGTAAAGTATCTTACAATTGGTGAATTTATTCTGCATCTTTGAGCAATTAACCAACGTATTGTAATTTATTTCTATTGTTTACACCATTCTTCACAATATAAACAATGATATCTCTACTTATCCATTTTGCCGAAAATTGTTAGTTTTTAATTCTTTTCTTAAAAAAACAATATATTTTCATGTAATAAACGTATAAGAATTATTGGACTTGATAAGTTTAAAATATTTGTACCGTTGATTTAAATTAACATCATTTTTTAAACGTACAATAGAAAACTTGTACTTACATTTTCAATTCGATTAAAGGTCTCTATATTATCTAGGCGCTGCAGCTCATTCTGATCAAGAATTAAATTAATAATCGTCTTAGAATCGTCGGCAGGCGCTTTCTCTATTTTCTTTAGCCCACGCCTCGAGAGATCCAGTACTGTATTATTCGCTTCATCTAACAACAAATTTAATATTAGACAAATACATTTGTAAACAAATACATATGTACCATTAATAAATTATTACCTACCCATCTTAGAGTTTAGAGAATCTATTATTTATTTATCGAAGCATATTAACAAGAATTACGAATAAATACGTAGATCTGCGTCAAAATATTCGTCGTAAATGAACGTTCAAAACTAATAAATTTCAAACCTGCAATGATAAGTCAAACATAAACAAATTATATACAAAATATTACATTTTATTATATATTTAATTTTTTGCGTAAAGTTGATTTTAACGATTAATTGTATCTGCATTAACTATATCAGTTAATAAAATCTTACATTAAATAAATTATAAATTTATTACAGGTTCAGAACTGCAACACTAGCTTTTTTTTAATTTGACATTACTAGTGTTGTCTGAGAACGCCAAATCTTATCAGTTAAATTGTAAACGTTTGGCACGGTTCACCAGTTCCTTTTGGTTGGTTTTGTGTAATCATAACATTTAAAAATACACTTATATGTACAATTGAATATATCTATCTTATCAGTATTACGTAATCAAGAGTATAAACGCATTATCAGATTTTATAAAATTATTTGTGAAAATTATTGACATAAACTGTTTTTGTTTAGGGATTTTAAAAACATTCGATAGTGCATCACTACTTCGCGGTGGCGGCAGGTTTTCATAGAAGTTGAGGTTAGGTAATTAAAAAAATATTAATATTTTGTTTATAATCTAGAGAATTTATGTTCTTAATTGTGTTATTTTAATTCCTAGAATATTATTGAATCACGGTGTAGTAAGTAAATGTATCCATTCATTCATATTTCTTGTTTATTATAAGGACGCTTTACTGACATTTTTTCGTCAAGCTTATATCTCCCTAGGAATCCATAAACTGTTTAAAATCTTATATGACTGTAACTTATGACCATAGTATTATAATTAAAGTTATTTATGAATAAATACATACTTTAAGATACTATTAATTATGAGCACACTATGTATCTATTTATAGCTTTCATATGTTAACCTATTTCGTTTAGGCGGGAGAATGGCATTGGCAAAGGGACTGAGACCTCGCGAGGTGGTCTTGGTGATACTGTTTGTGAGGCTGTTGTCAGTATTCTTGGTGCAAACATGGTATGTGCCAGATGAGTACTGGCAAACCTTGGAAGTAGCCCATAAACATGCATTTGGGTATGGAGCCCTGACTTGGGAGTGGCAGAGAGGCATCAGAAACTATTTGTATCCAAGTGTGATAGCTGGGTTATATACATTGTTAAAATGGACTGGATTGGATTACCCACAAGTAGTGGTATGTTTATTTTTAATAAACTTTAATGTTTCCTTTTGTTTTTTTAAAGATATTTAAATGTTTATTATAAAAATTGGTGAATCTATTTTAATTAAATTTGCTAAACTAATAAGATGTTCATAACTATCTAAAATAGTCATACAAAAATTTAAAAGCTATTAAATAATTGTGAGTATAGCAAATAAATTAAATATATTATTTAAATTAATCTATATGTTAATTCTCAGTAACACTGAAATTAATGGTGTTGTTATAAGTAATGATGTATATTAAAATATTATAATTTATGTGTTTGCTTTGTATGAATTGCTATTCAGTTGTCAATCAAAATTTAAATATCTTCACTATATGTATCTTAAATTACTAATTATTATATTAAGACAGTCTTTATTTCAAATGACTAATTGTCTATAGTCAAACTGCACTTCCCATTATTAAACTAATAATAATAAGATATGGGAGTGAAAATGTAGACTATGAATAGATCACACTTTATTTTTCTGGAATGGCAATGAATGCATAGTAATCCATACAGCATTAGGCAGACAAGCAGAATTACTAATTCTTTTGACCAAGGAAATATTAGATAAACTATTAAATTCTTATTTTAATACTTTATACTATTTATTGTAGATTCTCCTGCCTCGAATACTACAAGCCATCATCAGCACTGCTGCCGATTATAGCTTTTATAAATGGACTGGCCGCAAATGGGGACTCTTCCTCATACTTACTTCTTGGTTCTGGTTCTATACATCTGGACGGACACTACTTCAGACACTGGAGACTACCTTTGTCACTATAGGGCTTTCGTTATTCCCCTTTAAAGCTGGGAAAATGGGATATTATGAAAAAGGTAAAATAGTTAAATTTTTTATATATTTCTATTTAATTTGTTGAAACAATTTTTTTCTGTATGAATATTTTTATTCATACATTTTATTTGGAATTTATTCAGCGGAGTGCAAAGTGATCTTAGAGATCTGATTTGCACTCTTTAGTCCTCTGAAACGGCTTAACCTATAGAGGCTAAAATACCATTCAGGCATCTATTGTTTACCACTCATAAAAATCTGATCGGTCAAGGTAGAGTTTATGAGAATAAATGTACACTGCTCAATATGTGTGACCGCATGACCTTGTGTGTAAAAAACACAAATAACAAACCTAGTAGAATTTTTACTTGGCCAGCCATATGTAGAAACCTAACATAAGACTTATTTTTTGCAGTATTAAAAAAAATATATTGTATTATGTCATATGTATACAAACAAAAATGTTTCGAAATATATCTTAGTCTACTCATTTACCAATATATTTGTAGAAGATACGTCAATTGAAGTGACTATTATAATTTTTCCAATTCTACTTCTGGACAGAGAACAACGGATGGGTGTGGTTAGCATCGGTGGCCGTGTTCGTCCGGCCGACGTCGGCTCCGCTGTGGGTGGTGCTGGGCCTCTACAACCTGTACACGACCAACCAGGGCCGTCTCAAGCTGCTCCTCCGTGTCTACCTGCCTATTGCGTAACTAATTTACTTACTAACTGGCCATTTTTTAGTTTAACAACAATCTGCAGATTTTGCCAAGCAGAAGAGGAAATGCCACTATATATGTGGTACACTATCCTATGTGGTTGTCTAGCCCACTCATGCATAAACGAAATGTCTTCTTTGGAATGTATACATTCTATCCTGTATAAAAAGATAAAAACCATCTCTCCTAAGAATATCCTTAAATTCTTGTCCCTGACGGGTCTATAATATAAAAAAATATTCAGGAACATTTGATTTGTAATGTATAAACTCAATAAATTATTAAGTTCATTAAAAAAAAAATATTATTAGAAAAATAGATTAGTATTTAGGTAGCTGGTTTATAATAAAAATGGCAATTTTGTTCATTCATTTGACAGTTCAATCGTGGGCGGAGCTTTAGTGGCCCTCGATTCGTACTTCTACGGCCGGCTGATACTTACGCCGTGGGAGTTCTTTAGATTCAACATTCTGCACGACGTCGCATCCTTCTATGGACAACATTCTTGGTAACTATTGCAAAATATAATCTGTGAGATCAACTACTTATATGAAGCTGGACAATTCACACAGCGCCATCTAGACCCAAGTTAAGCTAGCTAGCATAACACAAGTATTATGGGTACTGGATAATTAATATAAATACATAGATATATATTTTTGTTCGTATCCACATACATATTATACGTAGAACCACTCAAACCGATAGAAACAATCATAGGCATGAATATAAATGTTTGTGCCGTGAGAGATGTGCCTGCGTGACTGAGATTATTATAATTTTTAATCCAAATGACTGTTAATACGTTAAAGATCACATACCCACCGGTGGGTCACTCCTCAACGAAAGTAAAGTTATACGTTTTGACCGAGAGATCACCTGTGGGCACTTTAATTGAAATAAATCCAGGGATTATATAATGTCTACCTCAAATTATTGTACACTAAAACATATTTAAAAATATAATATACGTAATCTATACATATATGTAAATAAATTTGTTGTAATATTGAAATAATCGTTTTTTACTACATGCATATGAATATAAATATGGTACATATAACGAAATAACATTATTTACAATTTTTGTCGTAAACAAACACACAGACGTTTGTTCTGGCTAATCTCTGAAATGGCTGCACCGATTTTCACGGGACTTTTATTGGCAGGTAGCTAATGTAATACGGAGTAACTTAGGCTACTTTTAAAAATAAAGTTAAATTCCACGCGGACGAAGTCGCGGGTACAGCTAGTTATCAATAAAAATATGCCGGTCCCTATGTGAGAAATAAGATTTTTCAATACGGTCTTCAATGTGTTAAAGTGTGATTCATTCATTTCAGGTACTGGTATCTCACAGTGGGTGTGCCACTCGTGTTGGGAGTCAACTTGGTGCCAGTTGTAGCCTCCATATATGTAATACTTCGCCGTCCGAAGGAAAACAAGATCGGTTTACTATTGTTAATTGCTGTCTCTTTTTACATCGCCGTCCACAGGTAAGTTAAAGTAAACAAAAATATAAAAATATATTAGAAAAAGAGGTCTGTTCACAGTCGTTATAATTAATAAAGCTTTATAACCAATGCTTTTTTAATTATCATTATCGTTGTGGACAGACCTCTTTTTCTATTTTTTTATTCTTATTTTTGTTATTATTGTGTTTTGTGGCAAATATTACGTATCTTTAAAAAAGAAAAATCATTTTTATATGCTCTATTCATTTAAAACATTCTACCGTGGCTAGCTGTATTAACTATTATAAAACAAGTATTAAATTATCACACATGTAAATATATATATATATAAAGTGTACAGTATGTTTTTTTTAACATTGAATGTTCACACAACAGTTGTTTACGAGTTGTATGTGTATCTGTGTATGATTATTGACCTATTTGCAATTAATGCTTTCTAGTGTCATAGCACACAAAGAGTTCCGATTCGTGCTCCCCATACTGCCGATTCTGTTGTACCTGGCGCAAGATGTCATCGCACCATGGAGCAGGAAAGCGATAAAGTAAGCTGAATTTATAATAAGTTTTCGTACATTAAATTTTATTATTAGAGAGAGAAGTGAAGTTGAGATGTTATAATCTGTATAACAATCGATTGTTTATATGAACATAACAAATGTAGTTATTTTTCTTAGTGTAATGTATTTTCACCGAAGTAGACTTTGTAAAATTTGTTTCCGTGGGTCTATCATGAGGGCCTTCAACTTGTTTACTTTATATAAAAAAAATTCAACACTTTAAGGAGTAATCTCTTTTTTAACTATTGTACAATGAATGTATTTATTAAGATCGTTGTATCCTTTCAAATTAAAAACAAAGAAACATATATTTCTATAGTGTTAGAATCGAAATATCAACCATCGGGTGATACTAAATCGCTAGATCACCGAGGTCGCGAATTAATTCTATTCTATTTTAACAAAATTGTAAACAATAGAATAAAATGTTTTTTTTTATGTTAGCCTATAACTTTTTTACAATATGGGCCATTAGTAAATCTTTACATAGTATAAACTGAATAGCGTCCGCTGTTTGTTCGCTTAGAGCTTTCAACGGATTTTAATACAGTTAGAGTAGTCAGTAGATAGAGTGATTCAAGAGGAAGGTTTATATGTATAATATATATGTGAAGCCGGGGCGGGTGACTAGAATAAAATAAAGAGTAACAGTAAGTTTTGGTGGCAGATGGCAGTTATACTTCGCTGCGCTCACCATCTTCGTGGCTAACGCAGTGCCGGCGGCATACATCGGCTACCTTCACCAGGCCGGGCCCCTGCAGGTGATGCCGCTGCTGCGTGAAGCCATTCCTCACAACAGGACCTCTATAGCTTTCCTTACACCGTGCCACTCGACGCCGCTCTACAGGTTACTATTTTATTAAAGTTGATATGGGTATGGTTATTTAATTTATAAATCTTAATTATATTATAAATGCGAATGTTTGTAAGTATGGATGTTTGTTACTCTTTCACACAAAAGCTACTGGATTTTGGTACGTACGTACGAATTGTTATGAAAGTTTACAGTAATATAATTTATACATCAGAATAACATATAGGCTATAAATGACACGCAGGTGAAACCGCGGGCACAGCTATAATGATACATAGGTAACAGTTAGCAGTATAAATACAGGTAATAAAGTACTCTATGATCAACCTATTACGTATACAAATTTAGAATAATATAAATGTAATTTAATTTTAGATGTAGATGAGAAAATTTTACAAAACCAATACTAAATGTAAAGTGGACTCTATTCTCCGCAATTAGCCTCTCATTTGGGCCGTTGTGCGTGTAACAAAAAAGCAACACTGATGCGGCTGCGTTAGACTTGGTTTTATAAGTTGGTTTTCTTAACTGTTATATTTTTTTAAACCTTTCCATTTAAAAGTAGTTAATATATTAATTATAAATAGTAATTCTTAAAAGTTTAAATACAAAAAGGATACTCCTTCACCAACACTCCCATATGTTATTCACAATAGTGTAACAACCAAACATTTGTATAGATAATATTAAGCGGATCATAAACATATTTGCCATTTTTTTTCAGTCATCTGCATATAAACGTGACGACCCGATACCTGAACTGCGACCCGCCGATCGACAAAGTGGGCGAGACGTACGAAGCCGAGGCGTTCTTTAACAACCCACTGCGGTGGTGGCGAGCGGAGTACGCGGCGCGGGCCACGCCCACGCTGCTCGTGATGTTCGACCGGCTGCGGGGACGTCTCGAGGCCCCACTCACGGGGTACAAGCTGCTGCATCAGATACAGCACACGGTGGTGAGTTGCTCATTCACTGTCTTTATATGACACGTTCTTTATTTTGTTTGGGCCATTGTCAGGTGCTTGAACCTGTAGTACTGCGACCTACCTTTACATGACACTTTCTTTTTTTTTTTATTGTAGGGTTTGGAGTATTGTCAGGTGCTTGGATCTATAGTACTGCGACCTACTTTACATATATCTATAGTACTGCGAACCTTTACATAGTCATGAATATAGATATTTATAGTGTGCGAGGAATCGAACCCCCGACCATCGGACGTAAGGCGGTGTGACCATTCTGCGCCTTTACACGACACGTTCTATCACGATCGATCAATCTAGAAAACAGATAAATACTCAATTATTTTTAATTGTATTCCTTAAAAAATATATTTTTTGTTCACAGTTCACTGAAGGTGAGGTGAGTGAATATTTGCTCGTATACCAGAAAGTGGAATCACAGCCGAAGCAACGATCAGATGAAGTGGTCTAATGAAGGAGCCCGCATAGAGTTGTTAGTACAATATGTGTTCTCTGTACAATGACATTTATCCAATATAATAGCAGTAATACAGTACTCAGTAGGTTTAGGCATGTAACCCGGATTTAGTAGTTGTCTCTTTCTTACTCGAATTTCTCACCGGCGGAATGAAAGGGAAATACCTGAATTCGCTTTACACGTTCATGATCAGCCTAAAGTTTAATCTGAATCAACTGTGAGTACTATAAATAGTTTTCAATCTCATTCATAATAAAAATAATCGTAAAACTTAGATTGTTCAATAAAATTAGGTGCAAAGAAACAGATGTTTCTGTACAAATATACTAGTGTTTTACCGTAGAATTTTTTGATAGTAATGGATACCTCTTAGACATTTATACAATAGGTATAATAAATTACCCTTTTAAAATTAGAATCAATAAACCATACATTTCGGTATTTAAATGTTTTGTCCCTTTTATCAAATACAGAACATAGTTTGAGAGAAAAGAACAATAACAATATAAATAGGTTCATTCGGCGTTTGACGTTTTTATGAATAAGGGGACATCCTCTATAATTGATAGAGACGCCTGCGTCCACGCAGACATAGAGTAATAAAATTGATTTATTTTGTACTTGTCATATTGTGCAATTTAGAACAATTTTCAATATATACTATACTTATGACTTGTCTAAATAATTAGATATAATTATAAGTTTGATTAAACGGGATTATATTCCCGTTTGTTCATGTGTTCGATAATATATTTACATTTTATAGAATGTGTATATAAATAAATTGAAATGTCGATAAGTATGAGATGTAGAGTGGCGTAATAGGCAAAGTGGGCAAAATACCGCGAACTCACAGCCAAAGTTCGGGAAGCTGTGAGCAGAGAAAAAAATAAAATTATTTTATTACATAATTTACTAAATTTATATGTATTTAGGAAATTAGAATGTGAAGGTTTTTGAGATAAAGGAGCCCATCCGATGAATGTGCCTCAGATGGTAGAGTTACGCCACTGGTGTTGTACTTTATTATGTGTGAAAGTCTCGAATAATACGTAATCATAACCACAAAACATCTGAATATCAATTACATTTGACCCTCCAGTAGCTTTATTTAAATAATTCTATAATAATATTTACATAATTTTATTGTAACTATAGACAAACAATACTTTTAGAACTTTCATACTCAATGAATCAAGTGATCATATATTTTGTTGTACAAAACAATATTTTAGAGTTCTTAGTTTCTTGATAAAATTTATACAATTTTATGAACACTGTCTCATATACTATTGCTTGATATATCTATTGCGATTAATCTTCAAACATAGTACATACACATAAATTTTGTAGTGTATGTACAATATTTTCTTATAATGTGTAAAGAATAATTATCCTTTTGTTTTGTGGTTATTATTTAAGTATACTAATATATAAAATATTATACTATATTATTTTTAATTATATAAATTGACACAGTATCTCAGAATAAGGAACAAATAAGGAGCGTAGGCTTGCTTGTAAACAACGTTATTTAAAAAGAAGTATTCCGAACACAGTAATATTTAAAATTCGTTTGTCAGCGGAACATAAGCTCATCTTATGTTCCGTGTAAACTTGTAGGCAAATCAATTTGTTATAGTTTAAGAAACAAAAAATGATAATTCTCTTTCCTTTGCGTTATTCCTAAGAATAGTCTATACATTTTCCTACCAGTTTGTTCCGTATTCTACGAATACAAATTAAAGAGGTCCGAAGACAATCAAGCGGCTTGATCAAGCATGTACATATATATAGCACACTGGCAAAATAGATACAAAACGTTATCTCTGAACTTACAAGTTGTAAAACGTACGAGCTAGAAAGCCGCTTGATGGACTGCGGATCTCATAAGTAGTGTCGTTGATTTAAACTGCCACTGCTGTGTTTCTTTGCGTCTTTTATACGCAAGTAATAATTGAAACTTGTGTGTGCGTGTGTAAACTATATTTTCATATTAGTCAGCCGTCATTCTATTATCCATGACTGAGATTTTCTTGTTCGAGTACAAAATATATTTTCGAATAGTTTACGACCTTGCCAAAGTTAGTAGGTATTCCCTTTATTTACTAACAGTTGTGTAGAATAGTTTATTTACAGTTTTAAAGACGATATTTTATTTGTAATGCTACCACCGAGACATATATATTGTTATAACGATATTGATTTTGTATTATTTTTATGTTCAGGAATCAATTATGGACGTATTCATTTGACCCTTTAATTATTCTTATGTTTTATTTTTACACTAAACAATAATAGTATTTTATAATTGAAACTGTAATGAATTTAATAAAATGACGATTTTTATTTATTTTCCTATATAAAAATGTTCTTAAATAAGTTGTTTTATGAAGTAATTTCATGTTATAATATTATAATTAAACAACAACTGACTGCCCTATAATAATGTATAATTAATTAATGTATTTTGTAATTGCAATAATTTTGGATTTCTTATTTTATAATGCATTTCTTCTCGTAAAATTAAGTTATTTTGTAGACTATTACCTTGCTCAAAACATAAAGACAAAGTATTGTTAAGATCTCTTCGTATTTGTCTTTAATAGTAAATTAGGACAACATGCAAGAATAATACATGTTTGTGAGAAAATCTATTGGAAATCTATTGCATTATCATTATTGGTACTGCCTGTCACATCTGTGTACTGCCTAACTCATATAAAAATGAATATGTTGTCATATTGGTATTTATTATCCTAGAACTATGGGCACATCAAAGAATATAATGCAGCTGTCATGTGACTATAGTTCTCATTATTAATCTCCTACCCCTCCCATATATAAATAAATATACTTTACAGCTGATGAAAGTAGTGTAGATATAGTGGTACACACGACACCGTCCTCGCCGGCTAAGACGACGACCCCCAACACACCGTATCGCGCAATCAACCGGGCGCCTGTGCGCGCCCGGGCGCTCCATATCGGCGCCCCCGGTCGCCCCTCCGATCGATTCCCCATCCAATTCAAACGGGGATCGAAATTACGACGTCCTGAGCGGAAGTTCGAACCCCCTAGCGGTGCCCTCAGGCTAAAGTCGTATCGGTCAGGCAGGAGCTGGCCTTCAGCCGCTCCATTAGTCCTTCCGCGGGTTTGGAGTGCCATCTGCACTCGCCCCCTAACGTCCGGTGAAGCTGTAAAGTCCAGCCGCGGCCAATAGCATTAGAGTAGTCTGAAAAAAAATAGATATAGTGCCCTTTACTAACGCTCTCTTACTCCTCCAATTAAAGTTTGCAATATATATGGTAAATCGGCATTCAGAACTAGTTATTGCTTTTCAGATTGTTTACATTTATACCTTACCTTATTCATCAATACAAAAGGTTCTACCGGTGAATATAAATATTTGTATTATGCTGGGATTTGATCAATTTTGGAACATTGGATTGGGAATCAACGGCCTTGTGAAAGTAATACCACCAAGGTCATATAATGTATAGGTTTTTTATGCATTTTCAGCAGGTAATAATGATGTTGTTTATTTTAAGTGCAGGGGTAAAATCTCCCTTATACTCGTACACAACTATACGTTGTCAATCTTTATGTTGTTTATGTTGAATTGTGCATAGAGTGTGAGGTATCTATAATAGATATTGATAGTGCAATGGTTACTTAATATATGTTTAATATCTAGTACTTCATAAATAAGTTAAAAGGCTTTTATAGACCAGCAACGCGTTATCACTTGTTAAAAGCAGAACATGTCTCATAACTCGCCAGTTATTGAGCATTGATGATGTGTTCCTGGTCTATAATAGCCTTAAATACTTTAATATTTGTTTAAACCACTGTTTTGGCAATCGAGCATTCGTCCTATCTGTTGGTAAACGTTTACCGTAGTCTATGGACGCCTGAAACATGAAACACCAGGGGTGGCACGCGTGCCCACCCTAATATTAAGTGATGTATGTCTGAATCTTTACTAATGTTGGAAACTAGTTGTGTCCGTGGCTTTTGTAAAAGACTTATGGAGCGGCTGAAGGTGAACTCCCGCCTGACGGATACGAATTTAGCCTGAGGGCACTGCTAGGGGTTCCAACCTCGGCTCAGGCTGTCGTAATTTCTATCACCGTTTGATTTGGACGGGGATCGATCAGAGAGGTTGGACTTTAGCCTTTGAGATGCTCTTAAATAGAGATTACATTATATTTTATTTGAAGTAATATTTATGTTGATGTAATTATTATTGCAGTTTAATTTGCAATGCAACTATTTATTTTTATGACTGTATTTTTCTTTATATCTTTTAACTCTCGTCTAACATGTATTATTGTACTTTGAGCTATTAAATAGGTAAATAGTGTTGTTTTTTAGTAAGTTAAGTGAAAATTGTCTTCTATAGAGATGTCGAGTGTGACTTTTAAATAAAGATTTTATTTTTAATATAAGGCTGTTTTATTTATATATGTATATTTATTTATTTTATTTATCTTTACATATAGTACAAAAAGTAACAGTATATTTAGCGGATTTAGCACCATGCGGTATTTTCTGCTAGTCAATCATAGGTAGTGCAGATATTAATTGTTGGCGGTGCAAATATAATGTTAAAGAATCATGACTTTTATGACTATGTAGGTATAAATAAATCGATTAAATATATAAATAAATAAATAATATAGATACTTAAATACATATCAAACAGTCTGAGGCCACACCACAGAAAATAAAAAGAAATATATAAGTAGACGAAATTAGACATGAGCAGGGATATGAAGTAAGATTTTTTTGTTGTAGGTGTTGTCCCCGTGGAAATAAAATATAGATACTGCTAATATAATCAGGAGAATTTGGATCGTATAGAATCGAATAGAGAGTATGTACATAGCATACATAAATTACTACGATAATGGATAAGGAGCCATTTAAGCTGTGAACGCAAATTATGTGATCGAACTTATACAAATTAAAAATGAGCGGATAGAGTTATTGAGAAGATGTGAATATCTTATTAATATTATAAATGCGGAAGTTTGTGAGTTTGTTACTATTTTACGCAGAGACTACTGAACGAATTTTGTTGAAACTACAGAGATATAGTTTATACATCAGAATAACATAGGCTATAAATTTCACGCGGTTGAAATCGCGGGCACAGCCAATTTTTAATAAATAGAAAACACCTAGACTAATACAAAGAATCAACTGAATACAAATGTTTGTATTGTACAAGTATCAAACCCGCTTCCTTAGAAAGAAATATCATGACGTTGCTGTTATTTAGTTACTTTAATTACGTTACGATTTAGTATAATTACTAACAACTGTACGTCCTATAAATTAGCTTCTATGTATATCTATTTTCGTCCTCGATTAAACATCAGACTTATCAGTCAGAGGTTGCCCCCGATGACCGATATAAATGCAGTCTTGTCACAACCAAACCCAATTACATAAATACTTCTAAAAATGTCGTGTATCATACAACTGTCCATATTATTGCTTTTAATAAATCATATAAGCAGCGTACGTGACTCTACCCATGAGTTTAATCATCTTAAAGCAAAATATACCGCGGCTGATGATCGTGATGATGAAAAAAGTAGTTTGGTGTTCGTATTTGATACTACGGGTTCTATGTTAAATGATTTGAAACAGCTTAGGGCTGGTGCGGAAATGGTGTTGAATACGGCGTTGCAAGAAAGTAATGTTATTGGTGATTTTGTGTTTGTACCCTTCCACGACCCTGGTGAGTGATGATACGAGATAGAAGGTTACAGATAAGGCTAATATTCTAAACGTTACGGTAGTCGTATCTGAATATTAAGATTTATTTCTAGCTAGCACCCGGTATTAATGAAGAAAATAGAATGAAGTCTTGCCTTTACAGTAACCAATCATTCAAGTCAAGCTGTTAATTCTCTTATATTTTTGTACCTGTATTGAGATTTTTAAAACAACTCTGTTAATTTTCTGAATGATTTATAAATATTTTTTTTTCGTACACATGTTATTAATACAAATAATAAAAAAAACTACTTGAACATTAAGTACAGTCGTTCTGAAATGATGCATTAACTGCAATACAGGACGGCTTTCAACAGATTGATGATGAGAGATGTCGAAAATGAAATGTTATGACAGAGAATACAGAAAGTCACGACTACACAACTTTCTACAAAGTCTCCCAGTGTAATACTAACTAATTAATTCACGCGGGATTGCTATTTAATTTTGTTAGTGTATTTATTTTGGATACGAACAGTTTTACAATGTTCTATTTCAATGTTAGTATTTAAGTTAATGTCAATGATTAATAACGAAACCAATACAGATATCAACTGGTTACTACTGATGTTATGTTACTCTTATTGTATTTACTGGTTTTTAAATAATATCTTATGGCAGGGCTAGCACAAGTTGTATCTAATATACACTATCGGAAACATGTTACTGTCACTGGAAACGCGATACCGGGATTGGTAACTTAGTGGTGTGTTTGGTGGGCGATTGCTATAAGCTATAATATCCAACATTTTCGAAAATTTAAAATAAGACATCAAATATATCTTACTATATAAGGATTTATTACTTTATAAGGATTACGAATCATTATAAAGTAATAAATAAAATAGAGAGTGGACTGTATTATTTGAAAAGAAAGTTCAGGAGAAATACGATTTCACCCGGGAAGAACGTCTTTCACACTTCGAACACCCCAAAGTAGGCAATAAACACCAAGCTTTGCCTAGGAACGTACCGATGTGTAGTACAGTTTAGTGGATATGCTCTCTAGAGTGTATATTTTCATAAAGACAATGATATTGTAATAATTAAATCAATAATTTTCTTGTTTCATATTCTTAAAAATACAGAGCGTCTTTTTTATTCCAGTTCTCATTTTCAATTGTTTTTTTATTTTACGTTCGAAATTTAAGTGGCCACATGTTTTTATTTGTGGCCAGTAGGTATTACCATTATTACCAAGCGCTCTTTGCTCCAGTAAGCAATCCGGTGATACAACCTGCTTAAACTAAGGAAGTTCGGAATATGGAACAATATCTATATCAGACAGTTCTGCTTTGACAATCAACAATACAGTGAAGTGGCTCTCGTGCACCGAGATATATCTCCGATAAGTCATAATTACCACCCATTAAATGAATAGCTTAGTATTAAATACAAACCTTTCCCACAGCGGTAGGCCCAGCGACTGTTACACGTGATAAAAGCATCTTCAAAAATGCACTCAACATAGTCCACGTGCACGGTGGTGGTGACTGCCCTGAGAAGTCACTGAGCGGGATCCACCTCGCTCTTAACGTGAGCAGGCCCAGATCATTTCTATATGTATTCACTGATGCTACAGCAGGCGACCATAGGCTGGTTGGGCAAGTGTTAGATGCGGTGCAGAGAAAGCAGAGTCAGGTAAGATTATGTTAGGTATACAAATCATCTGTTAAATAATTCGACGGCCCCTGTAATTTAGCGATTTAGCATACCGTCTTACTTCCGATTGTTGTAGATTCGATTCCTCGTACAAGGCAGACGTTTGTATGATTGCTATGAGTATGGATGATTTCTGTGTATTTTTTGTAGATGATAATGAAATGGTGAACTTATCGGCACTAACGCTATAAGCTGGCGGGGCACCAGTGGAGGATGATAAGATGAGTATGAAAGTCGAATCAGTTACCCGATTGTGGCAATCTCTCCAAGAATTTAACATGTTGTTTTCCAGGGGGAACCGCGTTGGGGTCAGCTGACATGCTACATGGTTGACATGGTTATTAATCCACATTACTAACAATCCCCTTCCATAATTTCTATGTAGGTATACTATGTACTAGCTGACCCGCGCATCTTCGTCTGCATTTCATTTCCCCACCTTTTGCAATATTGTTCCTACTAGTCGTAGCGTAATGTTATATAGCTTAAAGCCTTCCTCGACAAATGGACTATCAAACAAAAATAATTTTTAAATTCGCATCAGTAGTTCCCGAGATTACCGTGTTTAAACCAACAAACAAACAAACTCTTCAGCTTTATAATATACGAGTAAGTGTAGATTTAGAAACAATTTCTATCAGTTTTCTAGTACCAATAACACAGGATTTGATTAACTTTTGTTTAAGATGGCGGTGTCTGAATTATTATTTCTTTTTATATATTAAATTCAGTAATTGAGGTAGTGAACACACAAAACATTCGATTAATTTGTGAGCTATTTCTTTATCGAAGATAATTTATTTTGTCGACTGAATAAAAATGTGTGTGCCTTAATGTTTTTCAGGTTGTATTTGTGCTGACGGGGCACTGCAATGACTTACAAAAACCATCTTACAAGGTGTACCATCAGATCGCTGCGGCCAGCTTTGGACAAGTGTTCCATTTGAATAAAACCAACGTTCATAATGTATATCCGTAATATTATTATATATTTATGTAATTATAATAATTAATTTTCAGACAACTATAGTCCAATTCGTTAGTAATAATTACTTAACTTATGTTTTTTATTGACTGATAATGGAATGGTCAACCCGCTTGGGCTAACAGTATACACTGGCCGGGCACCAGTTAAGAATAATTGGATAAACATGAAGTTAGGCCAGTTAGCTCATCCTGGCAAATTGACTAGGCATTTATGACGGTGGTTCAAAGGGGGACTGCGTGGAGGTCAACCTGACATGGACTATTTCTAGCAATCGAGTCACATTACTAACAATCACCTGCCTCCGCCCCCCCCCCCCCAAACCTATGTTAGTAAAGAAATTTGGGGCAATCCCTTAATGTATCACCGACCCAGTGTGTGTTTATATTACGATACTATTTTAAAGCAAAATTTTTTCTCATGACTCTAAAATAAAAATATATATCTTTTCAGAAGTGATTATACAAATTTTATTTGAATAGATATTATTTTTATCTCTTTCTGTTTATTACAGGTTCTGGACTTTGTGCGAAGTTCCATAAGAGGTAGGAGTGTGAATCTCGGTTCAATTGTCAAGGAAGGAGGTCATAATTATACACAAGAGGTGAGTTTACTCTTAGAAATACCTGAATTCACAAGAGTTTCCAGATTTTTATGTCGGGGAATTATGCATTATAAGATAAATTAATGAAATCCGATAATCAATGGGTTTATGTCAATGAGTGACTTGTAGCCAAGTATTTTTTTTGTGTAAATGGAAAATGTTGACCAGCTTGAAATAAAGTGGCAACCATCTTTTTTAGCGATGGCAATGTAATCAAAAAAATTTTTTTTTTTTCTTAATTACTCTTAATACTCCCGTCTCACTATCCACTAACTCGTCGCTCTCTCCCTGCACGGAGGTGCACTAAGGTAGGTAAGGTGACCATTACACCCATATCGCATCATTCACTCTCTTTCCCACCATCCTTCTGTCTCATTCTCAACTCACTCAGTATAAAGTATTGAAAAATGCGTGCGTTTTCAATACTTCATACTTTCACCCATCCTTCATACAAATTAATATATATATAATAAAACAACATATCTACATATGTATTTTATATACATCTTCTGGTAATGAAATAATGCAATTGAAAAGCAATCTGTTGTTTCTTTATTCAGTTACCCGTGGACAGCACGCTCTCAGAAGTGACGGTGTCAGTCTCTGGAGCTAAGCCCAAGATCAAGGTCGTCAATCCCAGCGGCGAGGAGTTGAGGGGACCACCACAACTCGTCACTACTTTAGATTTGTCTGAAATCATGGTATATATAAGATTTTCAGGTTACATGTTTTGTAATTTTGATTGAGATTTTTTATCTGAATGTTTTGATAAACGAAACATTTACTGTGATAATAATAAATGAGTTGACTGCGAATATGGATGAATGGAAGTAAAAAATATATAACGTCGATTACAAATAAATGGGATAAGGAACAAGCAGATGTTAATGATGAATTACTGTGATAATATTATTTAAAAATAATAATCACAGAGCGTTATCTAGTCCCAAGATAACACAGCATAGAGCTTGGTTTATGGGTACTAGATACATAGATACATTTTCTTTGTAAATACATATTATGTATGATATTTTACCAGGTGGTCAAAGTAATACAACCAGAGCCGGGTAACTGGACCATAACTGTGGGCAGCGAACACGACTACTCTGTGAAACTGATAGGTGTCTCCAATCTTACCTTTAGCCATGGTTTCTCTGTGCATAAACCAGCTACCATCGCGGAAACTAGTTACAGACCGCTTAAAGGTATGTGTGCTAGAAATGTTTATATATAAGTATAACCTTTCTTGAAACCTTTCTCACTTTGGATGGAAGATATTCACATATTAAAGAGTTCGAAGTTCAATAAAATAAAAATATACCTATATGTATATATTTTTAGTAATTATTAGTAGTATAAGTAAAAGAGCCAACAAAATATTGGCGCTGTAGAGGTGTACCTATATTACACACACCCCCTCATCCTACCCACTCAAAATGGATAGTTGGTAACCAAATTATAACACTTTAAGAAACTTATCCATAACATTTAAAAATATAGCTAAAACAACATTTTAAGTGAAGTTCAACGAAGTGAAATCCGCAAGCAAATCGTATAGGCCTTTTCTGAAATTAAGGCGTTGAGACAAAAAGTTTGAAATTCTAAAAATTTTTTTGATGTATTAGTTTTTTTTTTCATATATCTTCCATGTACTGATCGCAATCAGTTTAGAAGTAGGTAAGAACTAGGTACCTACCAACTGTATTTTTTTATTGTCGAAATCAATTTTACAAGTTTACACGATTTTATCACAAGTTCCATTATTTCCAGGTACATACAATCACATGTTGGTAAAGTTGTCGCAAGCGGACGCTCCAGTCGAAATTGACTGCGCTGAGATTCAAACCCTGGATGGACGGGTGCTGTTCGAAGTGCCGCTGAGGTATCTCGACAAGAAGAATAAAGTGTATATAACGGATGCGTTTTTGCCTCCTGATGACTTCTTCTATATAGCAGTGAGTTACACTCAAACATTTTTCACTCAGATATGCATCACTGTTCTCACTCGCGGGTTACGGCATAATGTTCGCATGACGCCAGCAGTGTACGCTAGAGACGACATAATCCTTCCTTCTCTTTCCCATATGTACTACATACATAATTATCTGTTTTATTAGTATATATTATTTAGTATCCTTAGTACAAAAGCTTTACTTATGAGATGCTCTATGAATTGTCCTGGATTATAATTATTTTCTATAATCTGGAGCACTTTTCGTTATAATAAGATTATCTTTTATCTATTTACCAGATTAAAGGTACTGAGCAAAATCATCAAGAATTAAGAAGAGTCGGAACTACTGCTGTACAACCAAAAGATCCAGGTCAACCAGTATTTTATATTTACTTTTAATATGATAATAGTACCTACTTGAATTGACTGTAGCCCTTATTATAAAAAATAATCGGACGATTTTATATATTACGAAATTATAATGGCGCTAATTTATAGATAGAATATCATGTATTTTAATATCTCATGCAAGTATAACTTCTAAATCACGGAATTACCACGTTTTATTTTTATTGAGTTCCCGATATTTAGGCAGTTTTCAATCGTCATGATCGCGGTTTAACTGAAGAGCAGCAGAAGTAAATCTTTCATGGGCAGACATATTCATACGTTTTCACACGTCTTCCTTTGTTGCCACTATTGAAACTCGCTTCTTATTCATCTCGTCAAACTATACTCACATTACTTCCACGTACATTTAATACATTTTCTGACCGTGTTTTATGTTTTTGTATAATTAAACCAATTACTGAAGGCTTGGTTGGGAACTCAATAAAAATAAAACGTGGTAAGATCCCGTAATTGACTAATTATAGGTACGTATAAATAATGACCGCGACAAATTTAATCTATGTTTACATTCAGCCGCTTCCCCTGCCACTCGCGCTGCCGGAAATAATGCCGGGCGACAACTGAGCGAGAGGGCTGAATGTAAAACACGCTGCCACTCGCGCTGCCAGTCCTTTGATTCGCGCACGAAAAACCGACAATCGAGGGAGCGGCGGGCAGCGCGAGTGTCAGCGCCAATGGCATGGGAAGTGTTTCCACTTGTGTTTACACTCTCTTGCTGTTCACTTCCCTGCCCACTCGGGCTGAGTGTAAATTGGGAATAAAACAGTATATAATTTAAATAGTACTTTATACTTTCAGATGTGCCGTATCTGACAACAATTCGAAAGGTATGATGCTTCAATTACTTGTATCCTATTGACTCCTCCTATTATATTCGAATGTAAAGTTACAATTAACTATTTAAAAGAGCAACACGCAAGATTTCTTGTTCGTTCTTCTTGTAATGAGAAAACTTTCCGTATGAGTGGTAAAAAAAAAGATTGATAACTATGACTATTCAAAAGTGTTTATAAAAATCATTTATTGAAATAAACTTAATTAGTTTATTTCAATAAATGATTTTTTATTCCATTCTATTTGTCTTTGGTGACGAACGTAATATTTATATGTATACATATATAGGATTCCATTCATCTCTGATAAACGTCAAATGATAACAAATACACTTAAACACTACGGTGGACCAATATTGAAAGATTAAAATATATAATTCTTTTTATTGTCATACTCGTATACAAGTATAATATAATTAATCATAGGCGTAAAGAATTACTGACCGCAAAAGAATTTTTAGCAGACCTACTGTAGGAGCTAAGCAGACTCTACAGCAGACTTAATCTCAGAAATTTAAACATAATTTAGTCCTAACAAACGGACAGACGTTTGGACGCTTTTGGCTATTGTAAATATGGAATGAGTCATCTACGAAAATGCTAAACTATATACAGAATGGTCCTTAGGCTTACCATAGAGAATCTATATGTTTCTGCTTTTATAGATTGAAGCGCGTTTCAACCAGCTCGTGGTACTTAAATGTAAAGTGGAGAGCATGGTGCCCGTGACCGCCATGTGGACCCGCGACACTCAGAATATACAACGGCCAGTTTCCAGTTTGTAAGTCGTTTTATAATAATAAATACGGTCTCGATAGTCTAGCAGTTTAACACACCGCCTATTCATGTGTATGATTGTTTGTGTTGATTTGGGTGTTTCCTATGTATAATATGAATCTATTTACAAAAAAAAATATCTATGTATTTGTATCACTTATCTAGTACCCATAACACAAGCTTTAGTTAGCTTAACTTGGATCTAGATGGTGCTGTGTGAATTGTCCTGAGATTTTTATATTATATTATTATAAATACACATGTACGTATGTGTATTTATAATAATATAATATACAGTTCCATCTAGCACCAAACTAAGCAGAGCTTGTGTTATAAGTACTAAAGAACTGGTAGAAATGCTTAGTTATTTTTTTTCTAAATTATGAGACTAATGTAAAGAACACACCGTAAACTCAGAGTTAAATATAATAATACTTACATAGAAAACTCCAAATCAATACAAATAACGATACTCATGAATACAAACATTTGTATTCATGAGTATCATTGGTGACGGCAGTGTGTAATGCAAATTATATAAAAAGATTTTAATTGCAGACAAAGTACGTCAGTGGAGTACGTAATAGAGAAGATGACAGAAGATAGAGTTGGCACGTACACATGTGTGGCGAAGAATGTGGCCGGTGAAAGCAAAAGTATTACCGTGGTGGAACTTATAGGTAAGAAATCAAGCAATTAATAGTCAAAATTCTTTATTTCGGTATAACAATTTATAAGATCTAAGTTAAGCTTGCTAAAGCTTGTGTTTTGGGTACTACATAACTAATACAAATACATAGATATTTTTTTTGTAAATACATACATATTTGCATAGTAAACACCCAGACCAATACAAACAATCATACTCATGAATACAAATCTTTGCACCGTGCGAGGAATCTAATCCGCGACCATCGGAACTATCGAAATGATGGCGTGAGACTTTCTAAATTCTTCTCAATTTGCAGTTGATGCACCCCGAATGACAATTAGTCCAGAAAATATGACAGTGGAGGCCGGCGATGACGTTACTATATCATGCACGGTGTATACTGAAGTATTGCTGCAGAAATTTCAGTTCATCTACACCGGAATTGGTGGACAGAAATATTGTAAGTAGATATATATAGTTATATCCTGATACAAATACATAAATGTATTTTTTTCGTAAATACATACAAATAATACATAGAAAACACCCAGTCCGATACAAACAATCATCCTCCTCATGAATACAAATGTTTGTGCGACGCGAATTGAACCCGCGACCATCGGGAGTAAGGAGGTGTGCTAAACCGTTAGACCACAGAGGCACAGATCATTTGAAAAATCTGTCATTGATTGAGTTGAATTATTTAGAACCAGCAAGGCCAGTTATCATAATGTGTATTTATAGTAATATTCTTTTTTTTTTTATTTCAGATAAAACCTACTCGCAGCCAAGTGCAGACGGCGTGTACAGTTTTAATACTACCATTAAACATGTTATAGAAACTGATGATGGTGTATATACATGTTCTGCTGCTAATAGAGGTCAGTTGCTATATGTAATTAGTAAATCCATTCCACTATTTTGTGGATATTTTATATTTTTGATTGTGTGTGATTTTGTATTTTGATTTTTTTGATTATGAGCATGAAGTCAAGTAAGCTCATCTTGGAAAATTGGAAATTGGCAATTTGGTATGATGGTTTCCACGGGTAACCGCGTGGTGGTCAACCTGACATGATACATTGCTAGCAATGAGCTCATCAGTTCACGTTACTAACAATCCTTCCTCCAATGAAACTTGTATTATAAATTACTAGCTGTGGCCGCGGTTTCACTTGCGTTAAATTTATAGCTAACTTTTGAAACCACTGTCATCCGGGTGTACCTTTTCGACGGCGAGTAAGTTATTGTGCAGGAAGCTGATCCCCTGATGTAGAGTAGTCGCGCGGTGGTGAGACAGCGGGACCACGAACGGTCTTTGATGAAACTTACAGTAATATAGCTTATACATCAAAATAACATATATTCTAATGTATGAAAATGAAAATCCGTTCAGTAGTTTTTGCGTGAAAGAGTAACAAACATCCATACATACTCGCAAACTTTCGCGTTTATGATATTAATAAGATTATTTGGACACAGGTGGCGAGACTAGGCAATCTACGTTTATTACTGTAAATCCACAACGCCCACCCTCAGCTCAAATATTAGGTCCACACGTGATAAAGAAACCAATGTATGACGATGTACAATTGCTTTGTCAAGTGGAAAATGCAGACACGTTACAATTTGTGTCGCCCAATCAAACTGTAGTATTGGAAATGGCCGTGAATGGAACGTACAACGCTGTGTTTGATATTAACAATATAACAGAAGAGGGGTTTTGGAAATGTGTAGCCCTAAGTAAAGACAATAGTGGTAAGTTTTATTTTTATTTATTTAACTAGCACACTACAAAATATAATACAATACATTATCTACCAGCCAACCATAGGTGGTGCAGAGAATAATTGTTGTTGCTTCATAATTACCTTTTTTTACACGACACATTCGTTCAGGCGATTCATTGATTCGGTCAGGAGCGCGCGCGATTTAGCGTGGGAAAGCCAGCGCACGCAATCGTGAGCGATTCCATTCAACTATTTTTTGTTCACTCTTTCGTGAGTGTTTGCGCGTATATCATGTCACTTCCTTTTAAAATTTAATTATCACATTCTATTATCCAAAGACATGTTTAAGATTTATAAATTATCATTAACACTATATATAATGTGCATGTAGCACATTCTTTCCTGCGTGAGAGTCCTATTCGCGCGATAGAGCGTACATTTAAAGGCAGATATTATATCATGCCTTGCAACCTTGCCTTTATTCAATTATTTGGGATCAGCAAGACAATATATTTTACAGTCGAGTTGAAAGACATAGCGCATTCAAACTCGAAGGACTATTAAATTGTTATTCATTCATTATTGGTTCACGAGTATTAAGCTGAAGAAAATACAAGTACCTATAAACATTTTGTAAACCGAAAATTATGCTTTGAATTAATTTTTTTTTAAATATTAGACTTTTGTTTGAGAGCCCCGTGGCTTAGTGGTTTCCTATTCTAAACTTACAAATCAGACCAAAAGAAGTTCAAATCTGACCGACACCAATAAAGTTTCTGTACTCATTTAAATTTTTGACTGACTCCTCATTGAATGCAACACCATTAACCATCGAAATTAAACCGAGACTGAGTTGAAAGTATAAATATACTGAGCGGAATCAAAATGGATACGAGCGTAGCGCTCGACAGGTGTTGCGTTCACCACGACGATGTTGACAATGAGACTTTAGCTTAAAAAAAAGCAAATACTTTTATGCCTTATGTGTTTGCACATATGGCTTAATTTTCAACAGCTTACGACAAAGTGGAAGTGAAGATCACTATGAAACCCACTACTAGTATTGTTGGTGAGAAGAACATAACTATATTAAATGGAACCGTGTACAATATCTCGTGTACTGTGGTCGCCAGGCCGCAGCCCAGGATCATATGGCATAGGGAAACTGAGGAATTCCTCAATCACACTGTAAGTATATATGTATTATACTTTTTAACATCATGCTCATGAGTATGATTGTTTGTATCGATCTGGGTGTTTTCTCTGATTATGTATGTACATTTACAAAAAAAAATATCTAAGTCTATCAGTCATGTCTTAGAGATGTCACAAGTTCCCCTTAGGTTGGAACTAGCTAGATGGCGCTGTGTCTGTTGTTACTACATGCGACGGTTGGCACTTATTAAGTGGACCGTTAAGTTGTTTACCATTAAAAAAAGTGCGAATAATCCAACCAAAACAGTGACGGCCTTATTGCAATATGTACCTAATTAACATGTAATTACTGATTATACTGTTATTGCTTTTAGGTAACGATGGTAAAGCCGAGTGTTTACAGTAGTGTTCTCACACTGAACAGCTCCAAAGAGAATGTCGTTGGCACGTACTTCTGCTATGGAGAAAACTCCGAGGGAATAGCGTATGATAATGCAACTATCAGAGTTAGAAGAAAAATGATACTAAAGGAACATTTTTCAAGTGAGTCCTAATCAAGATATTCACAAGAAAAATATACTGAAGTTATACTTGATTAATTCTAATTATGAAAAAATTCGTATTCTTATGAAATTTTATGCTGTATATAGTAGGTCTGTGAATAGGCCATAAACTATTTTTCAAATCCTTGGGGCAAGGATGGTCCAAAAAAAATTTAGTCTATCGGTTATCTAGAGAATATATTTTTTTATTGTGTTATTAATCTTCCAATGACCGTCCTCTCGCCGAATGGGGTGAGAGGACATGTGGAATTCCTATCCACTATAAAAGGATAGTTGTCAACCCTAACTAAATTACAAGACATGAGCTTAAAAACAAGTGCCTAAACAAGTTCAATACTTTTAAAGTTAGCAATACTTCAATGTTTATATGCCAAATTACTCGCCATTGCCGGAGTTACGAGGTCAAAATTTTACCGAGACTACGTCGGCCTCGCGACGGCCCGCCCTGTAGATAGCGTAAGGCAGGCCCCATCTCATTGGATAGATACTGACCTGGCCGTTAAGGCAACCTATTTCGCCCTATCTAGTACAAGCTCTGTTTAGTATTTGATTAGAAAGATAGAATTTCAGAGCAATATGATTTCAGATAAGGAAGTACAATTATATTCTCAAGTTGAACTACGCTGTGAAATAGACAGTTATCCTGAACCTAGTCTAATTTGGTACCACAACGGGACGAAGATAACAAGCAATGAAAATATTGTTATATACGATGATAACACTGCAATAGCAATATTAAAAGTAGATTTTGAAGATTTGGGTGCTTACTCTTGTGAAGCTAATAATGGATTTGAGAATCTCACCGTAAATTTTACTCTAAATGTGACGGGCTTAGGTAAGGCCATCCGTAAATTGTCGCATGAATTATAGGATTTTTGGCCCCATTAGAGGTTCAGAAGGACGGCAAGGGGGCACGGGTGTCAAACTCCCACCCTTTAACGTAAGATATTTTTAAATTTTACACTAGTAAATAAACTGAGAGAAAATTGAATAAAGCAATGTGAACTTTATGTTTAGTAGGTATAGATAAAGTTGAGAAATATTTTGAAGTTTTTCATTAATAGTGCAAATTTCTTGTTTAATAATTGGATATATATATTAGGTTTTGAAATGTGACCTCATGATTTGGACATTAATATATTTTTCATGTTTCAGAAAAACCGGAAATTTTGAAAGATCGTAAAATAACAACGGTGCAGAATGGGCAGTCCACTATAATAACATGTAGGTGAGATTTATCAGATGGGTAATAGTATGTATAGCATAGAAAAACAGCACAGCCCTTTTTTATGGAAGATAATGAAATAGTGTACCCGCCTGGGCTAACAGTTTATGCTGACGGGGCACCACTGCCTCTCTTGAATTCACTTGGTTTATCGTGTTTCCAACACCAGGGAGTCAGACAAGTATATAAATTAACACAAGCCTTTTATTGGTGTCGGGGACATTCTATCTCGACCTTTTAGTTTAAATCCGGATATATTTTACAACTAGGCCACGACGTTTCCGAAAAATGAACTTAAGTACAATAATATGCATTAGACACATTTTGTATCAAATGTTATTAAATTTGGTATATTATATTTACAGAGTTATATATGGTAACCCCGAACCGACAATATCATGGCAATACAGAAACAATGCATCAGAGTCGTACCACGAATTGCCGCACGATGTTTTACCGAATCATAATCGATCGCAACTAATTATATTGAGCGTTAGAATCGATCATGGCGGCGAGTATCGATGCATCGCTCGCAATGTTGTCGGCAGGGATGAATTTATTACCACTTTAGTTGTACAATGTAAGTAAGATATTAAATATTAAAGCGAAGGTATCTGGTGTACCTGATGAGTGAGAGGTATTGATGGTTTTATGAAGAAAAATACAGATATAAAGCAAAACACGACTAATATAGGAGTTCAAAACTTCATTACATAGTATAAAATAAAGTCGCTGTCGATGTCTGTCCGTCCCTATGTATGTTTAAATCTTTAAAAGTACGCAACGGATTTTGAAGAAAATCATTTATTCAAATAAACTTACATTGGATTTTTCTTTAATAGAAAGCTGTCTCATCACAAGAAGAACGAGCAAGAAATTCGTAGCTCTTTTAAATAATTTTATTATTACTTTACATTTTTAAGTTTAAGTGTGTGAATACATAACCAACTGGTTAAACAATTAATAGAGGAAATCAGTCATAGTGATTAGTTTCTATATATAATACATGTACATCTGGGCGAAACTGGGACGAGTAGCTAGTGATCATCTCTCTTTTATCTATACTAGTGCCACTAAAAACCTCAAAGCTTAGTGGAGCCATTCTGTGCTTTATCCGTAATTTTTTTTTTATATTTCAAATTATTTTCTTCTAACAAGAAAACAAATGTAGTACAATTACAAATCACAAGCACTGTTTAAATATTCTTTCTTTCTTCTCTTTTCTGACTATAGCTATGTAATATTATATTATCTGTGCTATTACTTTGCAGATGCTCCGCAATTTATTACAACAAAAGAAGAATTGAAACAAATCGGAAAGCCTATAAAAGTGGAAGTTGGTAAAAGTGCTAAATTTTCGTGTGAAGCTCATGGCAATCCACTACCAATAGTAGTTTGGACTAAGGATTATCGACCGCTAGTATATTCAAATAATATGTGAGTATTCCGATTACTATATACTATTATTTAGCCCAGTTTTTAACGACTTCGAAAAAGACTTATAAAGAAAATTTCTTTATAAATGTAAATAAAAAAAGAAATCCAGGTGAATTTCTTGTCAGTTCTTCTCTAATCATAAATACAGCTTGTGAAGTTACAAAACAATGGTAGCGAAACAATGTAGACGATTTCTACAAATTTTCCCTGTCATAAAACAGAAATAAAATAAATGACCCTGGACAATTAACATAGCACCATCTAGTCCAACGGCAAACAGAGCTTATGTTATGGGTATTAGACAACTGGTGTAAATATATATTCTCTTTTGTAAATACACGCATAATACACATAGAAAACACCCAGATTGTTTGTATCGAACAATCATGATGAGTATGATTGTTTGTATCCGTCTGAGTGTTTTATACCAATACAAATATTTGCACCGCGTGTGCAATCCAACCCGCCACCATCAGAAGTAAAGCGGTGTGCTAAACCGCTAGACCACCGAGGCCGTCGATTTAGATTAAATATTGCATTTATACATTAAATTTTTTTCCGTTTTAGTTATTTGGGTGAAAATAGCGAGTTAATAATAAATAACGTGAGCCCATACGACTCGGGATTGTTCACGTGTAATGCTTCAAGTGCCATTGGATCCTCGCAGAGAAACTTCACACTGGTCGTGTATGGTAATTTTTATATATTATTTTCAGTATTTTTTATTAAAATATAGTTTTTCTTCATTATATTCTCATATCGTAAGATAAGTTGTTTCTTGAGTTGCTATTTCTCAGAAACTCTGCTTGGTACGTTAAGATATCAATAATTCATGATCAACTGAATTAATTTTGCTCATATCAGATTTTAAATTATTTTCTATTGGGGGAACTGGTAGTAAAGTGGACTGTTGACTCTATTGCTAGCAATATTCCATGTCATGTTGATATACGCGGTTTCCTCTGGAAACCAACATGTTGAATTCCTCGTGAATTTGGTTTATTTGATGGACTAACTGACCTGACTTTATGCTCATCCTTTCATCCTCCACTGGTGCCCCGTCAGCGTATACCGTTAGCGCAGGTGGGTGCACCATGGACACTTGAGTAAAATCAGGTGTGCATCGACTCCAAAATTGACCCTAGGGTGGAGGATTGTTAGGGCAATCCGAAGCTCGCCGGGGAGGTTTTAGGGTCTGGAGGTGGCGTGCAGAGACTGTTCCCTGCACGCCTAGATGGAGGTCCCTTCGATGGGAACCATGCCGGTGGTCTTGGTGAATGCTTTGCGTATCCCATGGCCACGGCGATTATGTCGAGGAGGAACAGTCGTCAGGTTTTAGCTGGTAGGAGTCCGGCAGTATCCATTCTTCCCTAAGGGAATGGTTCTCCATGATGGATTTTCCTGACGTGAAAAAAAAAAAAAAAGGTGGGTGCACCATTCCACTGTCATCCAATAAAAAACATTAACATACTTTCCTCCTTTTATCTGCTGGTTTTAGCTCCTCCACGGATGAGGATTGGTGATAAGAATCTGGTAGAGCCTGTGGAAGTGGAAGTGATAGAAGGACAAGTGGCAGCGCTGGAATGTTCGGCTGAAGGGTGGCCGGAACCACGCGTTCGCTGGCTACGAGCTGACCAAGAGCTGCTAAATCCTAAGAAGCATATCGATGAATTTGGTTTACGGTGAGCTTTTAATGGCTTTTATTTTATTAAAAATGCGTGAAAATTAATTAATGAATTAAAATTAATAATGTTTCTGAAATAAAGGTAACCTAAGATATATATAACATTAGCCATCTGCAACAAACAAATATACAGACAATTTTTTAAAATTATTTATTTAAAGTATATATATTTATATAGATGTACTGGAATGGCAAACGAGATAATACTCTATCGGCTATGGTGTATGAACAGCACCACGAACATCACGTTATCACGTGAGGTACAGTCGTCGCATGATATCTGTAGTGCTGTTAACGTATATAGCCAATGCTTACGTTGCCATATGAAAGACTATGTCATGCTTACATATACCCTGTAATTTCACTGCCTCATCTCACCAATCCACACACACAGCTAATCTGATATTTATAATAATAATAATATCCCAAGACAATTTACACAACGCTATCTAGTCTCAAGCTAAGCAGAGCTTGTGTTATGGGTACTAGACAATTGATACAAATACATAGATACGTTTTTTTATGATGCTTATTAAATGCAAAACCGTCCTGCATAATATTATCCTTTCTTTTTAGATTTGTTGCCAACATAACCGATTTTGGAGATTATACTTGTATCGCCAGTAATGAGTATGGTAACGCGTCTATCTCCTATATACTTTACGTTTGGGGTAAATATAACTTTTTTATTAATATTTGTGTTACTAATATTAAGAATTTGGCTATGTGGTTAATTTATATAGGATCGAGGTGGTATACCAGCGAAATCTCTCAATATAACATCTTCTAAATGGTCTTGGCCTGTCTAAAACTGTAATAAGTTCTATATGAGAACGTGTATCTAAAGCAGCACTAGGAGGGTCTTACCAGCTGGGTAGAAAGACAAACATGGTAAAGGTGTCGACGTACGTCCCCAAGATTCCCCTTAATCCTACTCGGGGTGACAAGTTCCGTGAAATGCTCGAAATACCCCTCTCTGTTAGATGCTTGGACCCGTCACCAGTACGGTGAATCAATAGAATGCTAAGAAGTTCATCTTTCTAGAAGAAATATTTAAATTTTTGTTTAATATAATACTGAAATAATAAATCTTGGACATAAGCTAAGCAGAGTTTGTGTTATAGATACTAGACAACTGAAGTAAATACTGGATCCATTTTTTTATTAATATACCTACATAGTGACCTTACAGACGCGAGGAGCAATAAAAATCAAAAAAGTAATTAAATGTCCTTGTATTTTCATAAGATTTTACAGTATGCAAGTTTCGTGACTAAGTGAATTTGATGAGTGAATATAATTTTGTAACGGGTAGTAAAAAAATAAATCAATCTAACGCCTCGGTAAAATATAATATTACTAATAGTTAACCGGTTTTGCTATAGAAGTTTATCAGGCTTTAACACAGAAAACACCGATACAAACAATCATACTCATTAATACAAACGTTTGCACCGTGCAAGGAATCGCACCCGCGATCATCGTAAGTAAAGTGATGTGCTTAACCGCTAGAACACCGAGGTCATCGACTATGTTTGAACCTTAAGAATGTTATTTTAGGATGTATTTTCCAGTGCCACCGTCGATCAGCCCGCCTTTAGTGGACAAAATGGACGTAGTTATAGGACATAATGTGAGTTTACAATGCGATGCGGTGGGCTTCCCTGTACCGTCTATATTGTGGGAATTCGACAACGAAATGCTGACTAAAAATAGTACAGATCTCAGGTAAGTCTGCACTGCTTCTAATTATTTGGAAGTTTGTATTCACACAAACTCTTGAATATGCTGAACAACATTTATTTAAAAGAGCAACACGTAAATTTCTTTCTCGTTCTTCTTTTGATAAGTCAGTTCGGATATGAGTGGTAGATAAAAAAAATACATGACTTATTAAGTGTTTATTTTTTATTATTAAGTTTATTTGAATAAAGATTATTTTTATTTCTATACAAATCCATAGATTTGTAGATCTATAAAAGAGTTGGTGGTAGAAGGGTGAAAATTTATGGTTGTATGTATTTTTTTTTTAAGCTTTTTATTTTAGTTCTTAGTTGTACAATTAGGTTTTGTAAATACTAGTTATATAATAATATTAACCGATTTATAATATATTGTAAATTTATGTTGTATATATTTTTAGGTATATAAAAAAGTCCGAACAATAAAAATGTTGGCCTAACCCTTATCACTTAGGGGTATAAAAAATATATAGTAGCCGATTTACAGACCTACTGAATATGCATATAAAATTTAATAAAAATCAGTCAACCCGTTTCGGAAGAGTATGGCATTTATAGCATATCATTGTGAACGAGAATTTTATATATACGACTATATACTGTTGTTAATTTTATTGAGAATGTATAATTCTATTTAATTGCAGTTATAATGATTTCGGTAATTTGTATATATACAATGCGAGCACCAAACACGAAGGCTTATATAGATGCGTGGCAGAGAATATAGTTGGAATGGTCATGAAGAATATACAGCTCCGTGTAAATGGTAAGTCACTATATCCATATCTTTTTATCTCTACAAAAATGCGAGTTTAATATATTATTAGAAGTGCACGTAGCACTGCATATTTCTGTCAACATCACCCTTACATTTGTTTACTTCTCATAACATATGATAATCATAATTCTCACGACAATTCACACAACGTCATCTAGTCCCAAGCTAAGCAGGCCCTGTGTTATGGGTACTAGAAAACTGACATAAATATTTTTTTTATTTATTTAACTTTAATGCACAAAAACAATATGTACATGTGGCGGACTTAATACCATGCGGCGTTATCTACCAGTCAACCATGAGTGGTGCAGAGAAATATACCTATCATCATCTATTTCTTCTTTATCTCAATTATTTGTGGTCGTCGTAATATGGTTTTCTCTTCCATTCATTCCTGTTCGTGGTCCTCTCGTTATTTACTATCCATATCTTTCACCACCACTATAACCATCCACATTCATATGTTCACAATACCTTCCTTTAGTAATTACAAAGTTACATTTTTTTTCGTAAATACATAATGTACATAGAAAAGATCCAGACCGATACAGATATATATATATATACTAGCTGTACTCGCGACTACGTCCGCATGGAATTTAAATTTATTTTTCTCAATATAAAAGTAGCCTAAGTTACTCCTTATTACATCAGCTACCTGCCAATAAAAGTCTCGTCAAAATCGGTCCAGCCGTTGCAGAGATTAGCCGGAACAAACAGACAGACAGACAAAAATTGTGAAAAATGTTATTTTGGTGTGTACCATATTTATATTCATATGCATGTAGTAAAAAACAGTTATTTCAATAATACAAACAGACACTCCAATTTTATTTCTTTAATAAATGATAAAAAACTTGAAGCTCTAAATATTTACTGGTCATAGAAAAAAAATCCTAAAATATCCCTAAAAAACAGGCCGTCACATAGGAAGACCCCCTTAATAATGCATTTTATCTTCGAATATTTCAGAGCCACCGAGAATCGCAGCCGACGACTTTGCTGGACCATATATAGCTACTGACTTAGATAATGAGTTATTAGTAACATGTAAGGTAACAGGGAAACCTACACCCTATATTTTGTGGTCCAAGGATGATTATTATCTTGACACAGGTTATTATATACTTCCTTTTAATACCTTACATTGAAATCGAATTGTTTTTGAAAGAAAGGAATATTATTTCAAAACTATTTAGACAAATGTTTCTTACAAAATCAATTATTATTTATTCGTGTAGGACATTTTAGCCGATTATGAACGTCAAATTTATTGTATTAATATTTTTTCCCTACCGTCCAGTTCATTATACAGATTCAATTTAGAAGAACTGGCAAGAAATTCAACTGATTTTTAATAGCCAATTTATTTACATTGTGATCTCTAACATTAATTAAAAATCCCGTGCATGAACTATTATTGCCATGCACGTTTGTCATTTAAGTAATCGTTTAGTGTATAACTAGGCTTTGCTCAATAAATATGATTTAACAGATATTTTGAATTAATTTAAGGGTATTTCCAGTACAGCCTTCAGTATCTTATCATTCATATATAAGCATTAATATTAGGCGATTGATTGATGACTCCACAATTTCAGATTCGCGATACGTAATCTACCCTGATGGTAGTTTAATTATAAAGCATCCAACAGAAGAGTTAAGCGGACTGTACACTTGTACAGCTAAGAATAAAGTCGCAGTTGTCAATAAAACTGTATCCGTTCAAATATATGGTACGTATTGGGCGATTTTGTAAGACCTATACTAACGTTTACCGTACTATATTACTCGTTTAATACTGCATTAAGTGTAAAACTGCAAAACATCCAAATTACAGGAAATCCAGTTTAATGTTTTAATTTTTAATTAGTTTTCCAAATATTTTATGGAGTTTGAATGCAGTTTAATATTAAGCTAATATAAGTACTACTATTATGACGACAGAGAGAGAGAGAGAGACCAGTTTTTTTAGGAGAAATTAAACTACCGAACTACTGACTACAATATTATTCTAATAGGTACCAATATAGAAAGCTATGAACACCCGGGCTAAGCCGGGGCGGTAATAATCCTGGACAACTCATACATCTAGTCCTAAACTAATTAAAGCTTCTACTTTGCAACTTAAATATATATTTTTTGGAAATAGCATCGGCTACGTCCCTGAATCCAGCTGTTTGATATATATAATGTTATTCCATGAAGTCACCTTTTGGAAGAAATCTTGGTAATGTGAACAATTGGGTTTACAGCATTGCCGTCGCATTTGCAACTGCAATCAGATGAGTCGCAGTCGACCGTCACCGTTGTGGAAGGGACCAATGTGACTATCGAGTGTCCCATCCGTGCCGCTTACAGGGATGTAGTCAAATGGTATAAGGTTCGACACGAGCTGAGGAAATACATTTTATTTTTTATCACGTTAATATACTTTGAAAAGGGAAACAACATTTTACCTTAATGTACATGGTTTAGCGACGTGTAAGTAGCCTCTACACGCGGTATCTTAACCGGACCGGTCACTTACGAAATATGACGAACGACACTCTCGATTAGTTTGTACAGATGGTATCTTTGTCTAGATTTTCCAGATATGTTCTACAACGCTTGTAGGTATAAATAATTATGTAATGTAAGAAAGCGGTAACAATATTTATAAAACTGTAACATACTTCTAGAAACTTCCTCAATGAAAGTTCGAAATATTCGTTATTCTGACGTTTTAATTGAATGTGAATTCCCTCAAAATTCAAAATAATGTATGTCAAAGACTTCCATTTACCTATATATAATTTACAGGATGCAGTGCTGGTAGCCCAGGGTCAGCTAAGTCTTCATAATGTGAGTCGCGGTGGCAGTTCTACCTACGCTTGCGTGGTCTCCAACGCCGCTAGTTCTGCTGCAGCCAGAGTGGTCCTACGACCAGAGTGGCCTCCCACCTTCTTGAGGGAAGCCGCCGAAGATATAGAAGTTGTAAAAGGCGATGATTGGTACTTCGATTGTGGGGTAGATGCGAAACCAGAAGCTAAGGTAATTTATAATTATTGTAATAACCAATTTACAACTCTATTAAAGCTTTTTAAGGATCAAAAAATCAAAATCAATTCAAATCACATTTATTTGCCATAAACATAGGTTTACATTGGTTGTTATTGTAATATAATGTCCCATTATGTTTTGCCTCATTCATAATTTAAGAGCTACGCTCTTGTCGGTGGAGCTCTTGCCACTTTCCGCGATCTTTTTTTATTTTTTTATTTTTTTTTTATTGGGTTGTTTGGGCTATTGTCAGATGTGTAGCACCTGTAGCACTGCGACCTACATAGATCTATTGTGCTCGCCCTTTTCAGAGTTCGCTACCTAGACCCGTCAGGGACAAGAATTGAAGGATATTCTTAGGAGCGATCGTTTTTATCTCCTCGGGAAAGAGTGTAAACTTTCCGCGATCTTCCATCATGTTCTTTAATTCTTGATACGACACGACTCCCATTTTGTCCTCAATTTGTTTGACGTAGCTATGCCTTGGTCTTTATTCCTCTCCCCCTCTTTCCTGCTGCCTCATTAGGCATGCAATATCTATAATTATTTGTAGATTATTTAATTATTAAAACAATTGTTATCCGAGTAATTATAAATGCATATTATCATTATTACATTATTATTAATTTAAAAACTCGTTTACGTTAAACCCGCATACTTAGATTGTAGAAAGAACTACCTGCCGAAGTTTTTTCGAGACACTATAGCATGGGGTTTTGAAGAATGGTATATTAAAGTTTCTTAAGAGTCGACAACGCACCCGACTCGCCTGATATTTCGGGCGTCCATAGGGTTAACAGGTTAGGGTAACCGTTTACCATCAAATGGACCGTATGCTTGTTTGTCACCATTGTAGTATAAAATAAAAAATAAACACTGGTTTCTTCATAAAAACAATATTTACCAGAGACTGTAAGAAGTCGCCTGCGTAGGTACTTTAGTCTCGCCTATTCTAGCCGCCAAGCAGCTTGCTTTGTAAAATGTGTTTCGATTGTGAGGTACAAATTAGACAATTACAGAGGTACAATTTCACTGTCTAATTTGTGTCTAAGATATCATCGTCTTAGTCCCCTGGGATGGCAACGTCGCTCCGTGCAGTCTGTGAAGACACGAGGAGACTTCTGCGCTTTTGGGAGGACCTTGGCTGGCTACTTCAGTAGTCTCGGCTCTACACGTACAACGGCGCAGATGAGAGGGTGATCGTGGAAAATGGAGTTCGACTTACATTAGATTACATTTTACCTTACTTTCTTTTTAGACTAAATGGCTATTCAACTCGAGACCGTTGCTATTCGAGGGCAAACCTCGTTTGAAAGTGATGAACGTACAAATACATAACACGGGCACATACAAATGTATTGTGAATAATAAACACGGAACTATTGTTAGACAATTTACTTTGGACGTTTTAGGTAAGTTCATTGAAAAGTACTATTGTATTTTTCAATTAACCTTATTAGGTTATATGATATAGCTGATACAGTATTAGATTAACTAAAAAAATGTTTTTGAAGTTAAAACATTAGAGTAGTGTTGTACTGTATTTAAATATTAATTTAAATAAAAAGCTAATTTGCGTTTCACATTTAATTTGGCCGTTCCCGCCATTTTACAATACAAACTCTATCAACTGCACAGAGTACGTTACAAACATCTTAGACATAGATTATGCCAAAGACTATATATACTACAGGATATATATATATATATATATATATACATATTCCTGTAGTACATATAGTCTAGCTAGTTATAAACTGTATCACTGTTTACTAATATTGGAAAAGGAAGATTTTATTTTTTACTAGCTGTGCCTGCGGTTTCATCCGCAAAATTTCAATAAAAAATATGTTATTCTGATGCATAATTATTGTAAAATTTCATCAAAATCCGTTCAGTAGTTTTTGATACTTACATCCATACTTAAAAACTTTTGCGTTTATAATATTATTAAGATATGCTTGTATGTAGTACATAAACTTATATATTACTTGACGAATACTAAAACTTGTTCAGTTATACAGTTACAATATTTACACTCCAGAGTCCAGTGGGACTCACAAACTTATAGACCGAACCCGGGTTTATAACTAGAAAAATGTATTATAATTATTTTCAGTGTCCCCTTTTATTTCGGACTTTGATGTATTGGATGTACAACTTAAAGATGGTTCTAACGCCACACTCAGTTGCGATGCAAAAGGCTCCCCTGCACCTACCATAAAATGGAGTTTCAAGTACGTATATACTGATATATTAGTCAATTCAATTCAATATTACATGTTATTCCGCAGGACTGAAAATCTATGCTATGTCCCTTTGAGAGCACAGAATTATTGTCCGTACAAAATTGTTCTCAACAATTTAAAATGTCGAAAATAGACGTTAAATAACATTTTTAATTAATCAAATAAAAAAAAACATGTTTTAATTTTAAAAAATAAAATGTTTTATTATTTCAACAAGAAGAACTGACAACTGAACTGACGTTTTTTTTTTATTCTTACATTTATTTATGGACTTTTAAAACTCGATAGATAAGTTCGATACTTTGACTGCGCAATCGACATGTGTATATTTTCCCATTCACATTTCTTACGGCACCTCTCTATAATAGAGAGGAATAGATACTATTATGGCTGTATACGTACATAAATATATTGTATAGGCAGCGCGCATGCGATGCTGCGCGCGCAACTTAAATATGTCAACTGTCTTGTCTCATATAAAATTAAATTAGATAAACGTTTGCTTTGTTATTTTATTTAAATATATATAAAGATAATCCAGATCAAGCCCATAACTGGTGACCCCGCTCTTGGACAGAACCGTAAGGATATAAAATACATATTTTTAAAGAACAAAATTACATATAAAACACAATTTTACTGATATATATGAACACCATGTCTTTGGAAAATACAATAGCTACCGAACCATCTGAACTGTTTAGAGTCGGAATACGCGTTCCTCCTTTCTGGCCGGAAGAGCCAGAAATATGGTTCGCACAAGTCGAGGGACAATTCGCAGTTTCATATTAATTCAAATTATTTTTCCCCTAATTTGTATTAAAAAGTGGCACGCACAATATATGCCAATGTCTAAATTAATTACAGTGCCAGAGGTACCTAGACTATAAAAGTTGTCTGCATGAGTCTCTCTTCTTTTAACTCCCTTAAAAAGCTAGTTCTGAAAACTGTCTTTGTTATAAAGTGCGATTAGACAATGAAATTACCAGGATAAGATGCATGATATCTTGATCCTCTGGAATGGCAATGCTTGAGCGATATCACGGGTTTCACATGATAACGTGACGTTTGAAATGCTGTTCATGTATAGTATATAAGACATATGTCTATATAGACAGTTACCGCTTACTATCAGATGGATCGTAAGCTTGTATCCATTCTTATTTTAAAAAAATACTTTAGAAATAAACCTTAATAGGAATTCGAACTGGCACGTGGAAAACACCACACTGATTGGAACTAACATATCGTCCGGCTCCGAAGGACTATACCGATGCGATGCAACGAACAAAGCCGGGGCAGCACACCTAGTATACAGAGTGAGTGTAGTGTCGTCACCGAAAATTAAGGAATTGGTGAGCTATGTCGGTGGTCCGGGCGTCACAGTTAATGGCACAGTGGAAGTTGTGGTGAGTGGAATTATATTGAATATTGCAGGTAGTTTCAAAAGTCTTAACCAACGTTAAAAACGACTATGTTTTATCTTTGGTGGGATTTACTTTTTTTATTATTATTTCTTCTCTGGGACTATATATGGAAATACTATGTTACACAAACAACTCAAAATTTTGTCCGATCTCATCGAATCTCATTTTCCCCGTTTTTCCAACACTTTTTTATTATAACTCCGCTCCTATTGGCCTTAGCGTGATGTTACACAGTATAACTTTCTAGATAAATGGGTTATCCAATACTAAAAGTATTTTCAAAATAGGACTATTAGTATTTGTGAGTTTGGATGTTCGCGGTAATCACCGGAGATTACTGCGAACATCCAAACTCACGAAGTTTTCTTCTCTTCCATCTTTTGGTGATCAAATTTCTATCATTATTGAGTAATAGAGAAGGTCGTATCGCTTCCAGTAGCGGTGGTCAGGTTTCCGCACTGAATATTTGTGGTCTCACATATGATAATTGTAGCGGAATTAAACAAAATAATGAAAATTTATTAAGTAATAAAATGGACTTCCGCAAAATAACACCTAATCCGATAAAATATATTAATGTTATATACTTCCAGCTCGGCACACGTACTAGGATATCATGTAAAGCGTCCGGTAACCCGGCGCCCAACATACAATGGATACGAAATGGAATTGTGCTAAGTGAGAATTCACCAGATATCGGTTATGCTGACCTAATACTGGAGAGAGTTCAGGTGTCACAAGCGGGGCTGTATTCTTGTATTGTTAGTAATGAAGCGGGCGAGGATCAGAGGAGGGTTAAACTTGAAGTATTAGGTACGTGTCATCCACTGGAACTGTTACAAACTCTTCGCACATTTTTATATACGAGTATTTACTAGCAACCCGCCTTCGGTTAACGGTAGTTGATTACCCTATATTTGAGGTTCTGCTTTTATTAAATTAAAATTAAGATATCTCCTAGTATTCGTTGAAATCAAATGACTTCAACGAACGTTGTCGCGGACTTTTTTTAGGGCTTTTAATGCAGAATAATTTTGTCATACACATTTGTTGCGTAACTAACCGTTTACGCAGCATTCGCAGCTGAAGCACTCAAAATAAATATTCTTGTTACATTTTTATTGCTGTTCCGCTCCTATTAGTTGTAGTATGATGTTATACACTTGGGAATAACATACCTTTCTAATAGTGAAAGAATTTTTAAAATTGGATCAGTAGAACCGGTGATTGCCCCGAAGAAACAAACATACAAACTAAACCTCTTTATAATATTAGTACACATTTCAAATGTTGAATGTCTTTTTTACAGTTTACTGCTTTAGAAGGCAGTAAAATGGATAAACCCAATCTATTCTTGATAGACGACAGTTTCTAATAAGATTATTTCTACTTCATATTTTAGTTGACATTAAAATGTTAATTTAATTATGTTAAATTTTCAGAACCGCCGAAAATTTTCCAAACGCTCTTCCATAATCAGACTAGTGACATTGTACATATGGAGGTGATCTCTGGACAGTCATTCTACCTGCACTGCCATCCTTATGGGAACCCCATGCCTCAGGTGTACTGGTTTAGAGACGACTTACCTTTGATATTGTACGACGAGACAATGGTAACTGCGGATTATGGGGAAGTTGTCACCTCTAGGTAATATGTTTTTTGATATTTATTTTATACTATACAACTACCATATTGTGGTAATTGTTAGTAGTTATGACGTGGTCAAGTAGATTGACTAGTCATGCTCTAAAATGTCCAGACATGTGGCGGCGTTATGGGCCGGGTCATTGGGCTCCCTAAAATATGGTCGAGCAAAGTGATGGCTGGCTCATACGTTATACTCGTGAACGAGTGCTGCTTGTAGGGACTGGTCTGCTCTAATCACTACGACTGTTTTAATCATTTTGTGTACTTAATATCTGAAGCTAATTAATCAGTGCTAGTTGGTAGTTTGTATTCGCACGTTTCAAATTGGAAATGTAAAATTACAATGATTGTTTAAAAGAGCAACACGCAAGTTTCTTTCTCGTTATTCTTGTGATGAGACAGCTTTCCGAATGAGCGGTAGATTAAAAGAATGATAACTATGACTATTCAAAAGTGCTTAAATTAGGTTTATTTGAATAAATGATTTTCTATTCTATTCTATTGTAAAAGTTGTAATTTTAAATTGTAACTAAAACAAATGATAAACAAAATGATACTGTTAATGTTGATTTCAAAAAATATTACCTATGTTAATAAATCTTATAATTGTCATTATATAAGTAATTGTTAATACTGAAATCTTAATAATATTATAAGTTTTATTAAGTTTGTAAGTATGGATGTTTGTTACTCTGTCATGCAAAAAATCTGAACGGATTTTGATGAAACTTTACAGTAATATAGAGTATACATCAGAATAACATATAGGCTATAAATTTCCCGCATGTAATTCCAGAGTCACTATCCTCAGCCTTGAGGAATCGATACGAAAATGTATATTTTGGAAATATTGTTTATCTACAGCTATGTATATTATGTTAGAGGAAAAAGTTATAATACGGTATGAATATTGTATAAATATTTTTTTTTTATGCAGGAATGCTTTGTACGAACAGTCGGGTAACTACACGTGCGTCGCCATAAATAAGGTTGGAAATGCCAGTGTTTCTTACTTGGTGGACGTATTCGGTATTTGTATTTTTTATAATTATTAATATTAATAATAGATACATATCTATACATATAAATAAAACTGGAGTGTCTGTTTGTAATATGAAATAACCGTTTTTGCTGTAGTGATACGCTGCGGCACCAGCTGAGTGGAAGCCTTTTCAGCATAGCGAATTATTAGTTTTTAAGTTTTCTTTTTTATCTGTACGCTTTTTTATGCTGAATAAATGATTATTATTATTATTATTATTATTACATGCGTGATGAGTCTGTTTGTTCTTAATCTCTTTGTGGCTAATCTCTGAAATGGCTGGACCGATTTTGACGGGACTTTTATAGGCAGGTAGCTGATGTAATTAGGCTACTTTTATTTTAAAAAATCTTTTATTTTAGAAAAATAAAGTTAAATTCCACGCGGACGAAGTCGCGGGCACAGCTAGTTATAAATAATAATGTTTACACAGCGCTATCTAGTACCAAGCTAAGCAGAGCTCGAGATACGGGTACGAGACTACTGATATAAATATGTATACACTTCTTTTTGTAAATATATACTTACATAGAAAACATCCAGACCAACACAAACAATCTTACTCATGAATCGAACCTCCGGCCATTGGAATTAAAGCGGTATGGTTAACCGAGACATCGACGACATGATTAGGTACGAGTATATCTTCATTTTCAAATGCATTAAACACAATTTACTTGACGTCCGTCTGTCCTCCTTACATCTGGGGCTGATGTAACACATATATAAATGTGGACAATACATATATCGACATAATTTTATTATAAAACCAATAAAGATGTATTATTATTTATTCCAGTTCCTCCTCCTACACCAAAAGAAAAATTAAAAAACACTTCCATCCGTATAGGCAGGCCTTTGAACTTAACATGTCCTGTGGAAGGAAGCCCGTTGCCCTATGTAATGTGGACCAAATACCCGTATATTGAAATCGGAGGGAACTCTAGAGTGGCTTTATTTCATGACAACTTTACATTGGTGAGTTTTAATCCAAGTCGATAATTAATATTAATAAGAACCCAGGAACATCTACACGACGCCTCTAGTCCTTGTTATGGGTACTAGACAACTGATAGAAGTATCTAAACATTTTTTTTGCATTTAGGACTTCGTATAAAATTTACTTCTGGTATATAAAATGGTCAATAAATTATATAATTATAATAATATCCCTGGACAATTCACATAGCACTATCTAGTCCCAAGCTAAGCAGAGACTGTGTTACGCACAGAAAAAAAAATGTATCTACTTCTTTAATCTATGGTGTTACGGGTGCTAGACAGCTGATATAAATACTTAGGTACATTTTTTTTAAAGTACATACATATTATACATAAGGAAAACACTCAGTTCGATACAAAAGATTAATACAAATCTTTGCACTGTGCGATGAAGCTAACCCGCCACCAGCGTTAGTAAAGCGATGTGCTAAACCGCTAGACCTCCGAGGTCATTCTTGTAATATTGTTTTTATCCAACAAATGATGTTATGAAAATACATTTTGTGTTCCAGTCAATAAACAGCACAGAAATATCGGACAGCGGGAAGTATTCCTGTATAATGACAAATAAAGTTGGTACCACTGAAGTGGTGTTCGATGTCCTCGTGGAGAAACCCGCCACAATAGTGGCGAACGTGGGGAATAATAACATGGAGAACCACGTCGTGACGCTGAGGGGAAGCGTCGTATTAAAGTGCCAGGCGGACGGCCATCCTGCACCGAAGATTACTTGGTTGAAGGTATACTTTAGGATTAGGGTCTATCGAAACATTAATCGAACATTATTAAGAAACTAACCCTAAACTGACGGGACACACCCCTTAAAGTCTTTATCATAAAATCAACTCTAATATTTATATATTAGAAAAACCTAGACAATTACGTTTTTTCTGATGATAATGGAGTGGTGCTCCCGCCTGCCCTAACGGTTTACGCTGGCGGGTCACCAGTGGAGGATGATAAGATGAGATCAGGTCAGTTAGCCCATCGTGACAAATTCACCAAGAATTTATCACGATGTTTTCCAGGGGGAACCACGTGGAGGTCAACTTGACATGGTACATTGCTAGCATTAAAATCATATATCCACATTACTAACAATTTTAGTTTATTTGAGAATATGTAATACTTTGTTAATTAGGATACGCAACAGCTGAGTAGTAGCGCGGCAAACATCCAGAACGTTCCAGGCGGCAGTATGATGATAGTGTGGGATGCTAGAGTGAGAGATGCTGCGCAGTACATCTGTGTTGCTGATAACAGCGCTGGTACGCAGCACCGTCGGTACAATCTCGCCGTCAAAGGTCAGTATATGATACGTACATATTTACATAGTGCCCAGTAGTTCTAACTTTTTGGGATTATTAGTTATAGTGAATACTGATACCTATAATCACGCCATCAGAGGTCAGTATATGCTGAGTACATAAAAATACATACTTAAACCGTTGGCGCTGGCGGTTGCACCATTCCATTAACATCCATTAAATAAAATCTTCCCTAGGAACAACTGTGGCTAACTCGATAGGTATCTAATTGATGTGTTGTGAAAATAAGATCAGTTAGCCCATTATGGTGAATTCACCAGAAAGTGTAATGGGGCCACTAGTTCCCTTTATTATCGACCACCATCCTCTTCCCGCATGTGTTGCACCGGATCTTTTTTATTTCAATCATAAGGGTTTAATACTAACAATGTATTACAAATTAATAACATAACACAATTAATAACATAAAACAAGACTATATTACAAATACTTAAATTTTTCAGTTTTACTGTGTTATAATATGCATGTATTATACATATAAATCTTCCTCTTCAATTACTCTATTTATTGCTGAAAACTGCATTAAAATCCGTAGCGTAATTTAAAAGATGTAAGCGTATAGACAGCCGTGGCAACTTTGTTCTATACCATAGAATAGTATAGAAAATTCTTTAGTGAAGTATATTTTAATTTAAGCACTTTTTTTTAATGTACTTATTGTAATTATAATATCTATGATAATTTAAAGATATATATCACTTATCAACCAGTGCCAGGAAAATGGAGTACGTGGACCCCTTGGAACTTCTGCAACACTACATGCGGCCTCGGATATCAAACACGGTCGAGACTATGTCAATACGTCGACGAGACCAACGAAACCTTTGGTTAGTACAAAGATATTAGGATATTGGTGATGGGTTGTGCGCCTAATCATCAGTGTTACCGCGCGTCAAACGCACTAAACAAAAGGCCACATTACACACATCGAAATTAAGTATAATATTACACGCTCCGAATACAATTTTTGTAAATCATTTACCAAAAAATTTACCAATAGTACCTGCTGTAGATAACAATATTTTTAATTTTAGATAAAAATACTCGACCGGATAGAGTGGTCGTAGACGAATCTACGTGCAAAGGAACTGCGACCGAAACGAGAAGATGTCACATGCCACCGTGTGAGGTTTGTGAGATTTACTGAATTACATCTAAATTTAATACAATTTACTAAATTAAAATAAATAACTGCCTTTATACGGCACGTCCTTTCTCGCGCGATCAGGAGCGCCTGCGCTTTAGCGCAGGAAATGCAACGCGCGCACGTGCGTGCTTTTAAAATTTAAACTATATTCGACAGATTTTTTTTAAGAATGACACGTTTATAAATTAATAATATAATATTTATAAATTATGATTTTGCTCCATATACAGATCCGTCATTTTTCAATGGCAATTAATCTTATTAATATTATGAACGCGAAAGTTTGTGTGTATAGATGGATGTTATTTACTCGTTCACGCTAAAATTACTGAACGGATTTTGATGAAACTTTACAGTAGCTTTTAGATCAGAATAAAGTATAGACTATAAATTTTAAGCGGGTGAAACCGAACCGAAACTGAATACAGCTAGTTAATATTTCATAAAGGCGCAAAAGCACGCCGATGGAAGGAACAGGGTATGCGTGCTCACGCTTTCCCGCACGATCTCTGTATATTTCTCGTTCTCTTTAGCTGCCTACGCCGAAAGAGCGTATGTGTAAAGGCGTAGCATTTAGTGTACGTGTAAAATAATGATTGTATAGGAACAAACGCAGTCACGTTGGTCGAAATGGTCAAAATGGTCGCCGTGTACGTCGCAGTGCGGCGTCGGTACGCAGTCGCGCACTCGACGCTGTAGAACGCACACCCCGTGCTATGGAGATCATATTGAGGTAACATTTAGTTAGACATACCTTGGTGGCGTAGCGGTATAATAGACTGCGTCTTTTTCCAATAGTCACGAGCTCGATTTCCTCACACACGGTACTATAAAAAATATAGATAATTAATTACTACTCCTACTAGGTCAGGATGACTGGCTAGTTCTTTCAATTCTAATAATAATAATTTATCTAATATCAAATTAACTGCTTTGTCAGTCTATCTGATTACTTGAATTTTAAACCCTACGATAGATTTATATTTATGAGAATATCTTCTCGAAATTATCCTGACAAACTTCCATGATGGTCTAACTTATCCTGACAATACCAGTATTAGTCATAAAATTATAAATATACCTCGAGCTCCGTTACATGCGAGTGTTAACTAGTGACGCGCTCTTCGTATTGGTATAAAGTGTATGTGACGGAGCTCGAGGTATAAATTTGCTATAAATTTAAAAAATTACCTTACTCTTGTTAGATAAGAAAATGTCCAGATTTACCAAGATGCAACGTCACACAACACCAATCAGAAAATGAAGTTTATACCAGCGGAGAAGACTCGAGTATGTATGTGAGTATATATATATAATTTGACGTAGAAATTCGTCTGCACCTCCGTGTCATCTATTTCTATTGACGGCTTTGGTGGTCTAGCGGTAGCATACTGGTTACATTCCTCGCACGGTACAAACATTTGTATTCATTAGTATAATTATTTGTATATGTCTGGGTGCTTTCTATGTATATTACGTAGATATTAAAGATAAAAAATGTATCTAAGTATTTATATTAGTTGTCTACCCATAAAACAAGCTCTGATTAGCTTAGGACTATATGGCGTCCTTATTATGTGGTCGTCTGGTGTTTTCATTTACAAAAATGCATCTTAGTATATCAAACAATTGTCGAGTACCTATAACACAAGTTCTGCGTAGCTTGGGACTAGATGACATTGTATGAACTGTCCAGGGATATTATTATTCTGTTATATTAGCTACTAAGCTGCTTGTAAGATTTTTGAAGTTTCATTTTAAAATTGCTTGTAACTACTGAATATTGTGGACATGTTAAATACTCCTGAAAGGCAATAATTGAATGTTTTTTTAATATATATATATTTTTATTTAAGTAACAAATGTGCATAGCAATAGTTGTTCATGCACGGGATTTTCATTTAAGGTTATACATAGACACCTACATAAGTATATATTGTAAATAAATTGACTTTTACAATAAAATAAATTCAGTTGAGTTTCTTGCCAGTTCAATTGAATCTGTTACTGAACTGGACGTTAGAGAAAAAAATACTAATATAAAAACTTGATGTTCATAAGTGGTTAAAATGTCCTACATGAATAATTGATTTTTTAATTTTGATATTGTGCAGAGTCCTTTCGCAGCAGAAGCTACGTACGAATTCCAACCTGAGACATTGGACGTTGGGTATTCTCATGTGGAAGAAATAGATAGTGAACCAGGTATTAAACCAAGTAAATGTAGTTATTTTAGAACTTACTTTATTGTTATAATTGTAAATAAATACATAAATAGATTGTTATATTTGATACATAATTATTATGAAGAAGGAGAATGGGAATTAAAATAAATGTTATAATGGAATCTATCAAGTCGGATAAAGAGCCAAAGGTTACCCTAAGAACAGAAAACTTATAAATTAAAAGATCCAAACATCCGACTTGACGAACTACCGAATCTACCGAATCGAATCGAATTGTTTTTGCCTATATATAAAAGACGATAAGTGATGCATACCGATTACTGATTCGTTTTATTTGGGTATAATTTGTGTTATATTGTGTTAGCACAATATAACACATGTTCAGTCCACAGACACACAGTTATTTAAAAGAAAACTGCATGAATGGTTAGTTTCCAAGTGATTTTACTCAATTAAAGAGTTTTTGGAATATTAAAATAATAAATTGTTCCTCATGACATTTAGATTTATATACAAATTGACATATACCTACATACAATAATTCATAATTAGGTATATAAACAATCGATAATTTAATTAACTTAAAATTTGTACGCTTGATATAAGCAGATTTTGCAAGGGCCATGTTTTTGTATAACATCATATATGTATGTACCCAAAATCTATTGCAAATAAATTTATTATTATTAATATTAATTATTATTATTATTTTTTTTTGTCCAAAAATTCTCATCTCCCCTCTTAAGGAGAGGAGATGGCAACATACCCCCGGCAGAAGCACAGTCGGCCGGAGTTCAGGGCCCCAAGGAGAGAAATTACAATGCGGGCAGAATCTAAGAGCACCGCCGTCTGAGATGTTGTTCCAGACTGGTTGGGATAAGACCGTTCACCGACATAACGATTGGAATGATTTCGGTGGACATCACCCCCCACATTTCGGTCACCTCGTGAGCCAGGTCGAGGTACTTTCTCTTTTTCTCAGTTTCGGCTTTCACGAGGTTCTCGTCATGCGGTATGGTGATGTCCACCAAAACACCCTCGAAAGTGCCCGATCCATCACCACGATATCAGGTTTGTTCGCAAGAACGGTCCTGTCCGTGATGATGGATCGGTCCCAGTAGATCCTGACGCTGTCACTTTCGAGGACCGGCTGGGGCTCGTACTTATAGTACGGCAACCTCTCATTCGCGAGGCCGTACTTCAGAGCTAGTTCTTGATGGAGTATTTTGGCTACCTGGTTGTGTCTGTGCAAGTACTCAGTGTTGGCAAGAGCTGAACAACCCGAAAGCACATGTCTGAGTGACTCTCCGGGATGGCGACATGCCCGACAGATGTCCTCAGTGCCATCCTTCAGAATGTGCTTTCGGTAATTGTTCGTCTTAACCACCTGATCCTGTATTGCACAGACAAAACCCTCGGTCTCTCCGAAGAGATCACCGAACTGTAGCCAGTGCACGGAGGTCTTCGTGTTGACGTACGGCCCGTGAAGGGCTTTGAAGAACCTTCCGTGCAACTCCTTCTCTTTCCACACGGCCTCCCGCTGAGAGGTACCCAGGACTTCGGGTTTTCGCCAGTCCTCTTTAGCCAGAGAAAGAGGGGTGAATCCTTTGTCACATTCTATGACCTCTCTATGCAAACCCTCGTCTCTTTTCTCCAGAAAATATGTCCTGAGGCTGTCAATCTCGCGGTTGTGCATGGTCTTAACGCTTAACAAGCCTCGACCACCAGCCTTCCGCGGGATGTACAGCCTCATGACTGACGATTTCGGGTGATGCATTCTATGGAGGGTCATAGTTGTGCGGACTTTCCGATCCAGGGCTTCGAGTTCGGTTTGAGACCATCTGAGCACGCCAAAAGTGTAAAGGATATATCTTAACCCGACAAGGCACTTTTCAGTACTCTTGTAAGGCGCGCAAAAAATTTCACGGATTGACTGTTTCATATCCGTATCACACCGATGTTTTGTGACATGCCCAGATACCGGTATGTTTCAGCGTCGGAGAGGGTTTTGATGTTGGAGGGATCTGTAACGATCCCTTCAGTTTGATTGACCCGTCCCCTCTGCACATGGAGAACCGCGCACTTGTCTATTCCGAGTGCCATCCTAACAGAGCTGCTATAATCGTTTATAATATTTAACAGTTCCGTCAGGCGTTCGACACTCGGAGCTAGTAGTTTCAAGTCATATGTACAGAATGAGACACTTGTACCTCCTCTCCGATACTGAAATCCAGTCCCCGAATTCTCCAGTAAAGTACTGAGAGGATTGCAAAACCAAAGTGGACTCAAACAATCGCCCTGGAATATTCCCCTCTTAATCTCAATCCGGTCAGCGGTATCCGTTAATCGCTCGCCCTGGATAGACAGGATCGTCGTCCATTGCCCCATGCATGTCTCCAGGAACACCCGAACCGTACCGTCGATCTTGTACAGCTCGAGTATCCTCCGAAGCCATGAGTGGGGCACGGAATCGAACGCCTTTTTATAGTCTATCCAAGCAGCGGAGAAATTCCGACGGTTCCGCTTAACCACTTGGCCAGCGACAGCATCAATGAGGAGAAGCTCCTTCCGATTGCGCGCCCTGCATCCGTTCTGAGCGCTAGATAGGATCTTGTTTTCGTACACATGACGAGAGATCTTAGCGCATTGTTAACGTCTTATATATTGTCGTAAGACAAGTTATGGGGCGATATTTAGATGGATCCGCAGTATCGTCCGTCTTAGGAGCTAAATGAGTGATCCCGGTTGTAAGGAAGTTCCGGAGCGCCCTGTTTTCGAGGGACTCTGGAATTGCACGGCTAAGGTTGCATGGCTGGCCGAGAACGCCTTTAACCAGTAGTGCTGCAATCCGTCGATTCCCGGACTTTTCCAGTTCGGAGCCCGACGGATCGCAGCAACCACGTCCTCCTGCGTAATGGCAATGACGTTCATCGATGTTATTCGAGCACATGCTTCCTCAACACCGTGCATCCATGCGCCCTCCTCATGTTCCACAGGTTCAGACCACAGCTGTCGCCAGAAGGCGACGAAATTGGCTGTTTCGGGTCTTTGTCCTGTGGGCTGTAGTTTTGGGCGCTCCAAGTTTCTATAAAACTTCCGTTGATCACTCATAAAGAGACGATTCTGTTGATACCTCTCGACCCTCTCAGAGTACCGTCGGAGTCGCTTCCCCCATGCAGCGACCTTTTGCTTCAGGTCGTCTATACGCTCCGTAAGTTTTTGTCCAAAGTCCGGCTGGAACAGACGTACACCTGTCCCAGCAAAGGCCTTTTTTACGGAGCGCATAATTCTCGGGCGTGTATTGCCCTCCCTGAAGCAGAGCAGTCTGCCAATGAGGACCCTGGCCTGGGTGATCCGTCGCTCAATCCTTCTTTTCCAGGCTGGTTTCGCATTATCCCTTTGGATATTACGTCCAGCCCGGGGCATTTTTGCGCTAGTATATCGGCATACTGCCAATGCAGCGGCAAAGAGGATTGAACTCGTCTCTCCCAGGTCACCGCTGCCCTCAAGGTATTGAGGCAGCAGTCCATTTGCGGCCTCAATGGCATCCCGCGTCGCCACATTTGGATGTAGCCGGGGAAACTTCGGTCTCTCTTCAAGAGGAGTTCTTCGGATCTCTAGAATCGCCCCTTCTAGTATGCTCCTCATATGCTCTATATCCTGGGAAGTTGTTCCGTCCGCATCCGCTTCTGAAGGCCTTTCGGCAACCATCTCTACGTTAGGTAGCACGTCTGAGATGGGTTGCTCCACGGTCGTGGGGTCTGCTTCTGGACCAACTTCACTTCGCAATCGTTCGAGTTCGGTCGCGCTAAACATACCAGAGCGCTGTATGTACCGAACTCTATCGGCTAGGTTCTGTTCCGAGACGATTAGCTCCGGTAAAAGACGCAGAAACTCGCGGTGCATTACTGCCCTGTATCCTGTTCTGCCTGTTTCCGTCCCTGTAGCCCTGTAGAACGCTCGCATGAGGTCTTCATTCATGGCTCTCGACCATCTCATGCGACGTGTACCACCAGTGGCGGGCGCCGATTGCTGGGCCTGTGACGGCCCTGCCGGTGCCAAGCCAGCTGATGTCGATGGCAAGGGGTCGGACCGGCCAGGTGGTGTGGCCGGTCGGCTGGCTTGCATTCTGTCACGCCTACCGCCAGTTGTAGACGTGCCCCGGCGGCCCCCGGGCAGCGACCCTATTCCGTTTTCTTTATTTTTACTCGCCATCTTTATAATTGCCATGGCCCCTTTGGCCGCGTAGGTTTTATATATACGCGTGACCGCCTTTCACGTGAGCTAGATGGTCAGCTCGGACGCGGGGTTGGACTTTGAAAGGCCAACCCCGCTTTATTATTATTATTATTATAGACATTAAAATTAGTTTTACTGTCTGTGGAACCATAGCTTAATATTCAGAATGTACTCAACAATATCTTTTTTTTCGGACTACTCTAATGCTGTTGGCAGCAGCTGGCCTTTACAGCTTCACCGGACGATAGGGAGCAAGTGCAGATGGCGCTCTAAACCAATGGAAGGACTTTTGCACCGTCTGAAGGCCAACTCCCGCCTGGTCCGAGGGCACCTTTAGGAATTCGAACCTTGGCTCAGGTCGTCATAATTTCGATCCCCGTTTGAGTTGAACGCGGGATCGATTGATGTTAAACAACTTATATATAAACACGAACCTCAAACCACAGTTATTTAATTATGCCTGGATGACTACATCTACGCTATGGTATCCGTCCACAGCAAGTAACATTAGCACAATATAACAATTTGTTTTGAATACATTTCTAATAATTGCAGTGACAATATCTTCAGTATATTATGATGTAAAAGTAACATCGAATTTGGATAATAGCGAGAGAGGGCCTTGCAATCCTGGGTATAGACACAATGCATTGACGAACTCGTGCGACGGTAAGATAAACATTATAAATATCATATTAGACGTAAGATTATTGCAACAGAATTTGATTTTATCTGGACAATTAACACAGCGCCATCTAGACCCACGGTAAGCAGAGCTTGTGTTATGGGTACTAGATAACTGATATAAATAGTTAGATATATATTTTTTGTAAATACATAGAAAATACCCAGACCGATACAAATAACAACACGGACAAACTGAATACAAATGTTTGTCCGTGCGAGGAATCGAATCCGCGATCATTGGAAGTAACACGGTGTGCTAAACCTAGACTACCGAGGCCGCCGCCGTCTTATCTGCCTCGTTAAGAGAGTATGATAATAATAGAACAGAATAGAAAATCTTTAATTTATTCAAATTAACTTAATTTAAGCACATTTGAATAGTCATCACAATTATTATAATCTATCGCTCATTCGGAATGCTATCTCACAAGAAGAACGAGCAAGAAATTTATGTGTCGCTTATTAATATAATCGTTGTAACTTTACATTTTTAAGTCGTAACGTGTGAATACAAACTACCAACTAGCACTAATTTATTAGGATTAAATACACAATAAGATTTCAGTGATTAGAGCGGACCAGTCCCTACAAGCAGCACTCGTTTACGAGTATAACGTATGAGCCAGCCATCACTGTGCTCGACCATAAGCTCGGTTAATCTGAGTTTTTTGTCAGTTCTTCTCGTCTCGATATCATTCCGAACTGACGGTAGATTTGACATATCATAAGAGTCTGTAATAGACCTACATGAATAAAGATATTTAGAAGTTGAAAAATTTTGAATCGTGGTACAACAGCGGGTATAGTACCTATGCTAAAAAGGCCGCGTGGTGTGAAGTCCGCCAAAAGTACTTTACTATATTTTGTTATGAGTATATTGACGTTATATAAATAAATAAATAATTAATAATTCGTTGTTGTCGTACACAAAAACTATAAAAAAAAGGAACCTCTTAAACTAGTTTGCTAGTTAATATTTGAAACGGCTACCCCACCCTGAGCCCTGACCCTTAGCCCTGAGCTGGCTACGTCCTGACTGATTGTTGGTCTGTTCATGGTAGACATTGAGGAGTGCTTGGTGAGTAGTAACTCGTGCCACGAGAGCCAGCGCTGCGGCAACACTCCGGGCGGGTACCGCTGCGGCTGCGCGCCCGGGTACCACTCGCTCGCAGCCGGCGCCAGGTGTCTCGGTATGTATTTTAACTTATTGGAATGAGTAACCATCATTTCAGCCCACACGTCCACTGCTGAACAAAGGCCTTCCCCAAAAATCCAAAATATTGGAATGAGTAATAAAATAACCCAAGAAAATTCGTACAGCGCCATCTGGATGATAAGATGAGCATGAGGTCAGGTCAGTTAGCCCGCCGTGATAAATTTATTAGGAATTTATCACGACGGTTTTCTGGAGGAACCGTGTGGAGGTCAACCTGACATGGTACATTGATAGTAATAGATTATCAGTTCCCATTACTAACAATCCCCTTCCAAAACATACAGGGGGGTATTTTAAGTTATTGGAATCAATAAGCATCATTTCAGCCCGGAAGACGTCCACTGCTGAACAAAGGCCTCCCCCAATATTGTGGAATGAGTAATAAAATAAGCCAGGACAATTCACACAGCGCCATGTACTCCCACGCTAAACAGAGCTTGTGTTGTGGGTACTTTATTTTTTATAATGGATAGTGTAGTAACCGTAAACCGTAAGCGCAGGCACCCGCAGATGATAAGATGAGCATAAGGTCGGTTAACATGATTAAATAACTAGGAAAAATTACGATGATTTCTAGGAGGAACCGCGTGGAGATCAACCTGACATGGTTCATTGTTAGCAAAGGGGACATTATGGTTTTTTAGCGTAAATGATATATGTAATATCATAAATAATTTTTATATCTTAGAACAATTACAGCGCCATCTAGTCCCAATATAACCAGAGCTTGTGTTAGGCGTACTAAACTACTGAGACCGATACAAACAATCGTACTCATGAACACAAATGTTTATACCGTGCGAGGAATCGAACCTGCGACTATCGGAAGTACTCCGAAATCGTTAATTATATATAAATTGTTGTGTGGTGCAGATGTTAACGAGTGCGTGCAGGAGACGCACAGGTGCGAGTTCGCGTGCGTGAACGTGTCCGGCGGGTACGTGTGCGCGTGTCCGGCCGGACACCGGCTGCAAGCAGACCGCCGCCATTGTCTACCCCACCCGACGTATTAGCCGCTATAGCCTGCGCATTACAGAATTACTGTATACTAGCTGTACTCGCGGATTCGTCTGCGTGGAATTTAACTTTTTTTTTTTCTAAAATAAAAGTAGCCTAAGTTACTCCTTATTACAGTTACCTGCCAATAAAAGTCCTGTCAAAATCGGTTCAGCCATTTCAGAGATTAATCGGAACAAACAGACAGATAGGCAAAAATTTTAAAAAATGTTATTTTGGTGTATGTACCGTATGTATTTATATTCATATGCATGTAGTAAAAAAAACGGTTATATCAATATTACAAACAGACACTCCAATTTTATTTATATGTATAGATATTATTTTTCTGCCAGAAGCCAGTGCTCGATCGTTGTAAGTGTTAAGTGTAGCAGAATCGAAAGTTGTAAGTGTAGCAGACTTGCCTCGCGACTGCAAACCAAGCCTATAAAATAAAAAGTAAAAATTTTAATTAATATATGCATAAATAACCATATAAATATATAAATTAATACTTACCTTTTACGCTTATTTAATATATGTTGTTTGTTTGTAGGCTGTATCTATAAGTCTCTACATAAATAATTTAAAATAAAAAAAAAACAACATACTTTTTACTATAGCCAAGACCCGACACCGTTGTCCTAGAATTGTCACTGTTTTGGTAAGTTTCTACCTGGCAACCCTACTCACGCCGCAGGCGTGTCTACTGTCCACACGCTATATATGCGCAAGCGATACGGACAGCTGTAACTTAAATCTTTGTTCCTTTCCTGAATATTTCACCACTCCACGCTTACCTGTATCGGCTTCAAGGGGCCTTCGAGCCGGATTTTCACGTAGAACAGTAAAATATTACCGATTCAGAGATTAGCAAAAACAAAGGATTGTAAAATGTGTAAAATTAATTTTTTGAAGTATATACCGTGCATACTTTCATATGCATTTAAAGTTGTTAATTTGAAATTACAAACAGACACTTTAACTTTATTTATTTGTATAGATTTTAATTATGTTTTTGCAGGATTACTCAGGTTAATATATTTGATATCGGTTATAATGCATAATTAAATATGTTGTGATTAATAGTGAAAATACATTATAATAAATTTAGTGTTTGTTTCATTTTATTTTAATAACCAATAGCGGGATCTGCTTTTATCGAATATAAAAAAATCCTAAACCATCCGAGGCCGTCATTATAAAAATTATATATATTAATAAAAATAATATATTAGAGTTGCAATCTTCGTTAAAGAAATGCAGTTATTTGTTTATCTCATATTATTTATACACATCTACTTTGTTAAAAACTGCAGGTTGATTACGGAACCAAAAAATTCGTTGCTATTTTAGTTGTGTTTGCCATAAGCCCATAAGGTAAGATATGGCTCTTCTATTTGACGCTGTCAGATCCAAATGGTGTGATTTAGAAACAAGAATTGCTAAAATTTTTACTATCATATAAACACAGATAATATAATGTTTGATTAAAAAGTGGATTTTGGACGTGAATAAAACGCAAGATTAATTTATATTGTATATATATATATTATATAAGTGACATAATTTTTTTATATTGTTGTAAGTGACATTATATTGACAATTTTTTAATTAGTAATTGATAAGGGCCTATCTGTAAATTACGTCGAAGTGTGAGATTGTATGACAAGGTATTGGAGGAGTCGCAGATTTTGTGTTAAAAAATATCATGAACTCTCTGAGCTGAGGCTTACAACTCGGAGGTTTTTGCACGCGGAGTTGATACTGGGGAAAGGGGTTCATCCCTAGGCTCCAACCTTCACTCTCCTAGGACAATGAGGATGATCAGTGTCAGTCAGGCATCCTACCCATTTCTTTTTGTGTGAATTACAGAAATTGGAGTGATATAAGTTTAGGATGAGCTATGGTTTATTTAATAATAAACAAAAAATACATTTATATAGTAGATATTTGGTTATTTTGTATTCCTATTAAGCATGTAATTATCTAAACACGAGTTCAAACTTATACATATTGTGACGTGGTGACGTTATTACTGAGTATAGTCACGTGCATTGACATGTCAATACTAGTACTTTCTCACGCTAATATTATTGCTTCTCACATTTATTAATTAACTTGAACTTATGTTTAAAAATAATTGCTATATCCAATCACGCCTATTTTGCTCTAGCGTCTACTTTTTAAATTCAATTATATCTTAAAGTTCACACAACTACACTTATTCTTACACATAACATCTCTCCAAACAGTTTGGTAACACTTTAACACGTTCTACAGTTTGTTTATTTAGTAATCTTTTATCTAGTTTGTGTTTCATCAATTTAAGGATTTATCTTGGAAAATTCATTCATAATCGACTCTTATTGTGACATATTAGAAACGTTTACATATCACTCAAAGGTGACTGACGTAGTGATCTATCAACGCACAGCCCAAACCACTGGACGGATCGGGCTGAAATTTGGCATGCAGGTACATGTTATGACGTAGGCATCCGCTAAGAGAGGATTTTGATTAATCCCTTAGGGGTAGACCCTAAGGGGATAAATTAACACGGGCGAAGCCGCGGGCAAAAGCTAGTCAGATATAAATACGGATAATAATATAAATACGGAATCAGTGCGGTCAACTATACATACTTCACTATAACTATTTCTATTCATTGTCGGTGTTCATGTTTTGTAAATATTTTTTTCTTATTTTTATCTCATTATTTTAATAAAACAATTTTTATTATAATCAGAGAGAGCCTAGTGGCTATAGTTAATAATTAGGAATAATTGTTTTACATAATATTATATAAATCTAAATATATTATAATTACTCAGTGATTTGAAAGCGAGATCTACATATGCTCATAGAGCTAATTTCTTTACATGTACTCTATTCCTTAAAAACATAATTTTATTAAGTTAGACGGTTTACTCGTAGTTTTAATCTATTTGACTACTGATATGTTTTGTGATATGGAAATAACATTTATCTAGGAACAGGTATAATATGCTATTTATATATTTCTAATTAAATAAATAATATCTAAATACCTAAAATTATTTATATTTGGTTGTTATTTACTGAACTGTCGCAGTATTAAAAATAAAACTGTATAGTCTAGCTGCGACCAACGGTGTTAGAATAGCTTGAAAACATTTTTTTTTTAATCTGATTTGATCGCAACGATTCTTAATTATTCATGAAGAACTGTTAAATTTGAAGCTTGTCACCTCATTTTCTAGATTATGAAGAGATTTAACAAACTTCTTTATTTAGTTTTAAGTACTGGTACCCGAAATTTATCGATAATTTGTAGATTGTTATGTTGCGATAGGTGGCAGGCGTTCGTTGCCGAAGACTTTCTTTATCGGTCCTCGCTTTGGGTCCAAGATTCTCTCGTCGTTCTTGCGTGGGACATGTCTGGAATATAATACCGATAGTAGAAAAAAAACATTCCAATTATTATATAATTTTGATATCAAAAAGCGATCTCGTACAAGTAAACAGTATAGTAGGACCTATACTATGCTGGCATTCCGAGATCATGGTGATCGAGAAGGAGTATGAAGTTGATAGTTATAGTTATAGCTGTCGCTTTGTTTACTACATTGTTGTCGCCATCTATCGCTGATTATAAATTGTGAGGACCTAAGAAATATTAGTTGTATTTCTTAAGTCCTCACAACCCTATACCTATCCCATTTCCTCTTGGGCGTTCACTGTATTGCTGTTACGCTCACACCGCCCTTGAGTGTCAAGGGCGATGACAAGATAAACGGCGACAACACACATTGTAACGCATACTTTTTAAACTTTTACAATATTAAACATATATAATTAAAATAAATACTTACTGCCAATAAGAGCCATTCCTCTGTAAACGCATTATGTTATTTTGACATATCATAAGCTCGTTTTGCAAGTAAGTCCTCTGATCATTCACTCTCACGAAAAGCTGAAAAAAAATACACATGAGTATGACAAATAACTAGTGAAATTGAAACAAAATCGCAAAAATATTGGTGGCTTTGGTGTCCGTTTGAAATAACTTGGTCCTTCGAGTCGGATCTTCTTATTGTTTTAAATTTACCTTAGATTCTGAGTCCAAACGCCACTCCTTGCTGCGCAGAGTGCTTACTAAATCCGTCTTAAGTCTTTCAAATCTCTTCACTGTACGTAGTAACTCAGCCTAAAAAGATAATGTGCTATTAGCAAAATATAGCATCTACGAAGATGTCCATTTATTTATTTAGTGGGACCTATATTAATTTTTGGTCATATAACATTACGAAATTTATTATTATTTTTAATCTATTGACGTAATATATATTGTGTGTGTGAGCGATGGTTATCACCTTACCATTGTAGCATTATGTATAATGTATGATGACATTAGTAAGTTTATTTAATAGTGTGTTACATGGCTTATTAATACACTGAACTTATATCTTTGTAATGTGGATATAATTAGTAAATCACGGGATCTTACCACGCCTTATTTTTTGGTTGAGTTCATAAATACAATATAACAAAAATAACAAAACAATACATATGTAATGTGGAGATGTATACTAATGCACATATATATTTATATATAGAACATATAACCTTACCGGTGTTAGCAAATCCAAATTAATATTAAGATCATCGTGCTTTAGCTTGCAATCTAAAATAACAAAAAATATGTATTAATTTTGATAGAAACTATATATTGATTGACGATATTTTAAAATGTCTTATTTTCAATTTATTATCACCAGATGGCGCACTCACCAGGTCCACAAACTTTAGCATTCTTGATCTTTTCTTTTAATAAAGGCAACTGCTCTCTCATAGTCTCTATAGCGTCAAGCAGCTGTTTGTGGCGATTGCTTTCCTTCTGCAGATCAAGGTCGTTGTCCCATACATAATCGCCTTGTCGCAGCTCTTCTTGCATTGAAACAATCTGTTTCTCCAGTTCTCCATTTTGCCACGCAGCAGATTCTCTTTAGTGAGATGTATTAATTAAACATAAAAAAATGTGAATAATATAATCCTGTACCTACTTTCTTTATTTCATAGTAATACTAAGCTACTTGAGCGACGTAATAAAAAACAAAATTCACTAACCTGCATGTTTTCTCGTGCTCTAATTCAGCTTTTAAACTTTCAATTTCGTTATCATTCATTTTGAATTCAATGAGTAATTAACAACTTTAAATCTGAAAAGTACCTATTTACAATGAAATTGAAATTGAAACCCTGATTTATTGATTTAATACATCTTGGCAACGAAGTATCTAAGTGTGTGTGTAATATTATGTACATTAGTTAGATGTATTCCAATTTATTGGTTTATCATAATTAATTTATAAAGTAATATATACAAGTACTTCCTCCATTTGAAAACAAAAGTAACCTGCTATTTCATTCAAATTATTTACATAAAGATGTAATAAAACGCAATATGTCACATTTGACAATTGGATTTCTGTCAAATACGTCAGTGAAAACTTCAACTTGTGTTTGAATTTCAAATATTTAAAAGTTTTAAACCGAAGTTTCTACATTTTATTCTATATAATATAGGAATAAGTTCTCGAAAAGATCTAACATGAGTTTATTAAGTGCTGTGATACAAGAAGTCGACAAGGCAAGTACAAATGAGCTAAAGAAACGTTGTGATCTGCTTGTCCCTAAAATAAAACATCTCACAGAAAGAGTACAGTTGTTAATTTTTTCATTACAACAGAATTTCATTGATACCTACCTTAATTTCACGCCAACAAAAAGTTTAGAGCAACACAATTATAAAAATAGGAAAATCAATATTAATTCTGATTACACGAGCATAATCGAAGAAGTAGAAACTTTACGAAAAAAATATGATTTATGTGATGATGAATTCAACAAATGTTCCGATAAGATGAGCAAATCGTATCAAATGTTCAATGATTTATGTGTCGCAGTGGAAGCAAAGATGATATTAGAGAAAGCTGATCATGAATTTGGTCGATACAATTACAGTGAGGCAATGTTGGGTGTGATGGATTTAATAAAACAATTGAGTAATCTAAAACTGGGTAGCAATTTGGATAAAGCACTATTTAACCTCAATGAACATGCTGAAAACCAATTAGCATTGTATACAGCAAACTTAAGTATTGAATGGGAGGATATATTTACATGGTCCGAACAAAGGAGTGTGTACTATTTGAAATATTCTTTGTCGGTCCAACAAAGTGATCCCACACTTATACAGAGAGTGTTGAAATCTCTTCATGTAACTCAGACGCTGAATGCTGAACTGGGCTTGTTTTCTAACTTCTTCATTGATCAATTATTGCATAATGTTATAAGGCACAATTGTGATATATTTACAGATGACCATATAGGTGCAATTATATTCAATATAAAGATAGACATGAATGACAGTAAAAAGCCGAGCTACCAAACAATATTTAATAATCTAACAGCCATTTTTGAGTTCCTGCAATCCACACTGGGCTCTCATTTAATTGATACCGATCAGACATTTATAGAGATCTTTGCCGAGTCTATAAGGATGAAGTTTTTTAATAAAATTATTGAAGATTGCATTAAAAGCAACCTACCAACTTGTGATAGCACTTATCAGAATTATAAGAATATAGCAATTGAGCTGGATTCTTTTAATAAATTTCTAGTTGAGTTGAAGTTTGTTAAAGCTGATGAATCACCTCTTAACAAATACATCAATGATACTGAATGTGTATTGTACAATAAGAAATGTGATAAATTATTGTCTGATGTGCGCTCCCTTCTTTTTGAAAGTCTTTCACATGGAACAATAGTTGTTGGCTCTGAAAATGTAGTTCCTGATGAATCAATATTAGATAATCCAATCAAAGAAGAGCTATGGAATCTAAATAAGCCACTGTTTCTGCCCAAGTGTGTTGTATCGGAAAATGTTAAGAAAATAATGACATTAGTAGTAGAGCATTTAGAAGAGAGTGTTAAGTTACCTGAGAAATATAGTCAGCAGCTTGTAATATATATAAAAGATATAGCCATGATGTATCAGTGTGTGGTACCTAAGAAGTTTAAAGTTAATTTAGAATCCTGCCCTCTAGATATTGGTGAGATATTGTTACTGTAATTACTATTTAAATCAAATTAAAACATATATGTTATGTAATAAAATGAAACAAGTTTGAATGCAGATTATTTACTAATACTAGTACTACTAAAAATTAAAAATATTTAATACTTATTTTTAATTTATACAAAACAATGATATAAAAATATGTACTTAAATCATTTGGATTCTAAGTTCATTATTTTCAAAATGGAAATAAGTTTAGCAAATAATTGTTAATTAGAACTTATTGTATTTTGTAATGATTTCAGAATCCAATTAACTGATTTATTGCAGCATTTAACTGTAATAATAACACTGCTTTTACATTTCCAGCATTATTCTTCAACAACTGTTTCTACATTGCTCATAGTTTACTGGGTCCACCATGGAAGGTAACCCTCCCAATCACCCTATCTGATCAGCTCATGACAGTACTCCTGGAATCCATACAGAACCTGAGAGTGTTGGGTCTAGAAAAGATGTCTCTCTACTTGCAAAGTCAAAAAAATATTATTAACCAAAAAATTGAAACAGAAGGTAAAATAATTAAATCATATTATATATCTATCTATAGCACCTGTACCATATCTTATTATAATCTCCTTTGTTAAAATTATTTCTAATTAATATACCTGAAAATGTATTTAAGTACAGTAAATAATATATATATTGTTATTGTATACTAATATTTTGAAGAGAAATCATTGTATTATTACTGTTTGTTGACAATGGATGAACTTAAAAAGCATGACTGATTTAAGAAAAAACATCTATAGGAAAGCTTCATTATCAACTGTAATATAGTGTTTATATATTTCTGATATAATGTTTCTTTTATATGGATTGAATAATAAGTTAATTGTAATATTTAATCTTGTTATTACAGAACCAACTGTATGGACACATGAAATTTATAATCAATTTGACAATTCTGTCAACAGCACTATGACCCTATTGAAGGACTTGAGGTCCAATTGGTACAACATACTGCCGACTAGCATGTATGAGATGTCCATTTGTACTCTAATCCAGGCGTTATGCCAGTCAATATTACACAGACTGTTTGCAGACTGTAGGCCAATAAATGAAGATATAGTGTATATGTTAGCTACGCAGTTGGAAGATGTCACATCAGAGTTGGTGTCATTGTTTGAGGTAATTTTGCAAATATACTAACTATATTTTATGTACATAATACAGTAGTAACTATCATGATATATGAAAAACTTTACATTGTTAATATCTTAATAATATTATTAACGCGAAAGTTTGTAGGTATGGATGTTTGTTACTCTTTCACGCCAAAATTACTGAACTGATTTTGATGAAACTTTACTGAATGAATGAATATAGCTTATGCATCAGAATAGGCTATTTTTTATATTGAAATTTAACACGGCTGAAACCGCGGGCACAGCTAGCATTAGTATATGTAAACTACTGTTTAATTTTGACGTCGTCATTATATATACGAAAACCATGGTGTCTTACCTGGACGGGTGGTAAAATCCCGTGATTTTCTTAATTTTACGTAAAGGAGTATATAAAATTAAATATATATATAAATATTGTACATATATAATTTTTAGGAGCCGATTCAATTTGAGAACAAGATAAACGTGTGGACTAAATTCACAATGCTGCCGCAACTGCTGAAGGCCCAACTCTTGGAGACGGCTGACCTGTGGAATAGGAATAAAGAATTCTCTCAGTGTTACACATGCGAAGAGATACGGCAGATTGTGAAGATGCGCTTCCCAGATGACAAATATAGACTAAAGATATTAAAAGAAATACAATAAATATATTTCATAAAATGTTTTTTTTTTAAACTAAGATCTAAGTCTTCTCTGATCGCGATCGCTTCATGAAGTGTTACAGAGAATACAAGTCTTTCTGTAAAAATAAAAATAAAATGTAATTCTGAACATACATTGAAAGAAAAGCTAGAAATCGAACAAAAAATCCTTATACTATAATAATAATATTCCTGGACAATTTACACAGCGCCATCTAGTCCCAAGCTAAGCAGAGTTTGCATTCGAGTCCTAGACGGCTTATATATTTATATACAATACATTTCTGTTAGTACATATATTGAAAAATCAATACAAACAATTATACTAATGAATACAAATGTTTCTACCGTGCGAGGTTTCGAAACTGCGACCACCGGAAGTAAACTGCATGCTAAATCGCTACAGCACAGAAGTCGTCACTATAAAAGGGATTGTGGACTTATGACCCCATTACTAGCAATTTACCATGTCAGGTTGATCTCCACGCGGTTCCCCCTGGAAACCATCGTGATAAATTCCTGGTGAATTTGTCACGATGGGCTAACTGACCTAACCTCATGTTAATCTTATCATCCTCCACTGGTGACTGCCAGCATAAACCGTTAGCACAGACGGGAGTACCGTTCCATTACCAACAATAAAAAAAAATGCAATAAAATATACCGTCATTGATCCCAGATGGGTTAGTCGCTTCATGCACTACCGCCTACGCTAAACAAATAATGGTGTGACTAAAAGTTTTTCATAACAAATTTATTCATTGACATCAAAACAATATGCTCACTTAGGTAAAATTATATCAAAATATGAAATATTAAAATAATTAATATTTATTAATTATTAATATTTCAAATAATTTGTTATTAGGCACTCCAAAAATAGACTAAATATGGCTTCAATCATGACATTGATGATAATTTAGAGTAGTAGATACTTATGTCATAAATTGTATGTTAATATATACTTCAATTGTGAAAACTATTTTTTTAAATATAAAGGGGCTGATTTGATTATCAGTTTCTGCTCCGCCTCGAAAAAAATGAAGATCCGTGGCTTCCACTATTATCTCAGATGGCGTGGTCGTTTAATGAAAGTTAATTACCTGGTGTAGCTAATGTTGTAAGGAGTAACCTAGGCTACTTAGAAATTTTATTAATTTAATTGAAAAAAAATATTCCACGCCGACAGAGCAGGTAACTGCTTATTAATTATAAGAATACAAGTGTTTGCGTTGTGCTAATATGGAATCCGCAACAACGCGAAGGTACCGCTCCACCATCAAGACCAAACAAAACTTAACAAGTTGTAATTCAATATTTTACATTAAGGAAACACAACGAACTGTAAATAAGTAACTAAATAGGTATGTAATGTAATAACAAGGCCGCATTTTAGTATTCGCGTGTTTTCATTTATATAAGTTTACGAGGAACGCGCCGGAAGAACGGAAATAGGGAAATGAATCTAATTATTGTTTACTGTATTCTATATTTCAATAAACGCGTTGAATAACAGGCTTTTAACACATATTTTTTATACCGGATCTGGCAGTAAACCTGCCAGCACTACTCAAGTCAAATAAGGGTTTGTATGTGTTTTTGTCTATTGACTCTACCTATGTACCTACCCGTATACTTTTGTATTAAGTTTTGTTTTGTAGATATACTTCTGTATTAAGTACTTTTTGTAATCATGTTGACAGACCACCTGAAGGAAAATAGTGAATGTTTATATCGCCATGTGTTACACTCGGCACGTCTTATGCGTTGTCATTCTTGAGGACTTATCTCGTTCATCCGTACCCTTTATTTTTGCTGCCAGCCCTCTCTGTTCATCCGTAGTCATTCCTATTCCAATGGTGGCAGAAATAGGTGAAACAGAGGTACCCACTTCTTTTTTACCCACAGAGTATCTTTTAATTTTTAAATTTCACCGCTGGAGTGAAGAGCTTAATTTGACCTTTATTTGCATTCAATACAGACACAGACAACAGTTTTAAGTTTACATCTACCGATTTTAAAAACCTGGTTGTCTATTCGCGTTGTGGTCGATTTTGGTGATTCTTTTTCTAATAGGAAAAATTTATCACATCTTAGTTAGTCTATTACTAATTATGTTACAGTAGAGGTCAATGTTTTACAGGGCAATGTTTTCAAATATTATAGAAGATCAGAATTAGTTTATACCATGTCTAAATATTATAAATACTATACTCTGTGGTAAGTAGGTATATTTATGAAGAAAGATATATGTATTTATTTCAGGATCAGATTTAGGGCCACTATTTAGGCAAACCATAGATTTAGTGCAAGTATTGGCCTTGGCAGCGAAAGTTGTTGTCCCGAAACTCAACCACCCATTACGTGAATGCTATATAAGTGAGTGACGCTTCTTCAGGCTCTCCATTACGTACATGAACTGCAATAGGCCGCTGGCACTGCAATATGCAATACTTATCGGTAGGTAAATGCAGAAATAAAACGCACATTTTTTACCGCGTATTTTATGGCGCGAATTTGCAATTTTTTGTGAAATGAATCTAGTGTGTGATATTCTTAATTATTAATTCGAGTGATATTTCAAATGAAATAATAGCTAGTGAAATAAATTGTACCTAAGTATATGGAGAAATGTTAATTAATAGTGTATTTATAATCGTTTCAAAATAGTGATAGTGTAAGAGTGTGGTTTCATATGTAAAATATTTAAAACATAGACTACAGTGGTCGATGGTTTATAGTGGTTTTCTTGACATTATCATTTACGAACGAATTAACACAAAGAAAAGTATAAAAGTGTATTAATAAGTGCGGAATCCTAAAAATAGTAATAAAAAAAATAAGTGTCAATTTGTTATCAATATGCGTATTTATATTACGATGCAATTTAAGCAATTTAAATGTCGATGTAAATTTAATTTATATAGGTACTAAATAAAAATGTTTTAATTAACTTATGAATACTTTTAACATGTCCTGCAGTAAATGTAAGTAATTAAAATTAGGTATAGAATCATGTCCAATTACAATAATTTATTAATTTAATTCTTGGACTGTTGTTATATCTCAGTATTTAGGTATTACTCAGTCTATACCTATATGTATACCTTATTTTAGATATTCAAATAGTTATTATTATTCATACTATAAATATATAGGTATATAATACTAGCTGTCCCGGCAAACGATGTTTTACCAAATTACAATCGCTATTAAAAAATAGGGTTTGATGCTAGAAGGGTGAATATTTAGGGATGTATGTTTTTTTAATCCTAAATAATAATAAAATGAAAACAAAATATTATGTCGAAAAATAAATATAATATATTTAGGGGTGGATATCCCTGATCACTAGTGTGGGGTATGAAAAATAGATAGTCAGACCTTCGATTCTCAGACCTGAGATACTGATACTGATACTGAATATTAATATAAAATTTCATAAAAATCGATCAAGCCGTTTGGGAGGAGTATGGTAACTAACTTTGTGACACGAGAATTTTATATTATAAGAAGAACTAAAGTTTTTTATAGCAGCTTAAAAATTGTGTCTAATGTAATGTACTTTATGCAAGTTATATGTAGCCCAACCGTCCCCTTCATACAAACGCTAAACGTTTGATAAATCTAATTTGGCGGTTAAATTGTTAAGTTCTTTTTTCGTATTAATTTCTGAACTGGAATGAAGTTTGTTTGTTTGATTGTAATTCTTTATTCTACATATTGTTCATAGAAGGATACATGTCATCCTTCATCATCATCCATCATCATCCTTCTATAAATAATATGTAGGTACATATAGAAGTGATAGATGTTCGTTATCAATATTTCGTTACCTTCATCACAAAATTTATATAAATTTCTCAAATAGTAATGGAAACACCATTACCTACTTTTTGAGAAATTAAAAATTTGTGAGTTATTATTGTAATTTCTTGGTATACCGAAATTTATTTTAAACGGTTCCGGAGGTAAATTTATTGTGTGAGTTAGTATTTTATACTTATAAGCAAGTACATTTTTGGGATAAGGTATCCAATATTAGAGCCTATATTAAACTATAATGCTTGTGTGTTATATTGCGGTTCAAGTACTCTATATTATCTTACAACACTTGGAACCAAAAAACGCATCTACTTTGTTCCTACTATCACTTCATTCTTGGTCACGCCCCTTACGGAAAGTTATAAGGAAATACCTCCATTTCTTCCCATCAAGTTATGATCAAACAATGCGTTTATGTAACCCAATATAGAACACGGAAGGGGATCGCGTGATGAAACCACTCACGCATTGTGTACTCAACTGTTTTCTGAGCAAAAAACTGTTAAGAGAAAAAAATCGCACAATGTAACGTTGAACATTTATCGGGATTACTAATCAAGACTTCATTACTTGACGTTTAAATCGGCAGAAGCCTAGTTATTATCCAATTAATAGATTGCTTTATAATTAAGAATTTTGTTCATGTTTTACAAGAATTAAATGGCAAACAAGCTGGAGCTCCACCTATATAATGGAAAGTGATAGCTATCTTCTGTAGATATGAACAGCATCGCAGATTTCTCAGAATAATCCGTGGACCGTGAGGCCTGGAGACAAATTACTGTTCAGTGTTAAACTTTAGACGAGCCCTAGACGAATTTACTTCTATTTCATACAGAAGTAAATGTACTTACATTCAATATCTTATAATGAACTACATAAACATCTTATTTTCAGACGGCATTCGTGATCATCGCGTTAGTGATCGTCGTCAATCAAGGACGAGACGTGACAGCAGAGAGTGATGTCAAAGTAGACCAAATAGCGGAGGAGGCGAAGAACATAGCCTTGACAATCATAGACAACCCAAAGCACGTAGTGCAGAATGACACGAACCAACAACCTTCAAGATCAAGTGTTCAGAATCGCCAACCCGAACACAGACCACCGAGCAAACCACCTCTCAACCCTGATAAACCACCGCAGCAGAAACATGGAGAACCCCAACGAGGTCATTATAGCCAAATACACAAAGTGCCACTACAACGACATTATTACCCTCAAGCACCACATCAATTCTATTACTCCACAAACTCAGTATACAAGTTCCCTAAAGTGATACCGTTGCCACCTCACAAAAATGCGTATTACATAAAAAAACAGCAGAGGCCGTTAACATACGCGTCTTCGACGAATAAGCCCACAGTCTTGAAAAGTCCTAAGTTCAGTTTACCAGTTCAGACGGTTACTGGGATACGAAAAGATGTCGTTAGGCCTCCACCTCATTTTAACGCAACCACAACTACCACAACTGTTGGTACTACAACTACAAGGCCTTTGAGAGTAAAGAGAATATGGCCGAAAAAGATATTAGAAAAAATGAACGCCACCCTATATAATACGACAGTCAATAATGGCACAAAATCTACAAACACAAATATTAACCAAGTAGATTACGAGGGAGCGGAAAGTGTTTACAGAGTTAAATATGTACATAAAAATTCAACTGACGACACTGAGCCAACAAAAAAACGCAAATACCGACCGGTAACTAGAATACCTAAGATACGATCGACAACTGAGCCAACAGTAAATTTAACAGAAATTCAACCAAATGACTGGATACCTCTAGTACCCTCGCATTATACCCAGTCCCGGCGACCAGTTTTGACGCGAATTACCAAAAGATCAGACTCATTTCCCAGTGGTAGAGAACCATCAGTTCCTCATAAACGTTTGTTGTATTTACATTCGTTTGGATTAGTCCCTGTGAATCGATTGCAAAACCAACAAAATATACCTGAATCAGCGGCGAAAAAAATGGCATTTTTTAGAAAGAGAAAGCGACAACTGATTCCCTTCACCGGTTACAGTGCGAAACCTGGGGATAAATCGTCTTCGCAATACTTTCTCGGTGATCTGCAAGCTGAAGGAAGTCAACATAGTCCAAAGGTTGTCACGAAAATTAAACATCACCATCATCACCACCATCACAGATATGTCAAAACCGTTGAAAAACCAGTGAAAATTCCGTACAGAGTCGAAGTGCCGAAGCCTTATCCTTTTCCAGTTGAAAAGAAAGTGCCTATACCTGTTGAAAAATATAAGATAGTAGAAAAACCCGTTCCCTATCCGGTGACAGTTGAAAAGAAAGTGCCTTATCCCGTTGGAATTAAGGTTCCACATCCAGTGCCTGTGAAGGTCATCGAAAAAGAATACGTTCCAAAACCGTACCCTGTAGTTCATCACGTTCCGGTTCTAAAACAGGTCGAAGTGAAAGTACCTCAGCCAGTACCCGTGCATATAGAAAAGAAAGTACCGTATCCAGTAGAGGTACATGTCCCAGTCGATAGACCAGTTCCTGTGCCCGTGACTGTAGAGAAAAGAGTACCCTATGCTGTCCCTGTCAAAGTTTTAGTGCCCCAACCCTATCCAGTGGAGACAAAAGTGCCCTATCCAGTCCAAGTAAAGGTAAAGGAACCAGTTGAAATTATAAAACATGTCCCAATAAGAGTGCCAGTTCCCCAACCATTCGCAGTCAAAGTTCCACAGCCAGTTCCCGTGCCTTTTGAGAAGAAAGTACCATATCCCGTTGAAGTTGAAAAGAAAGTGCCTGTACCTTTCGAAGTTATCGTGCCACAAAAGGTAGAAGTAGAGAAGAAGGTTCCCGTTTACATTCCTAAACCATATCCCGTGGAGAAGAAAGTTCCCGTACCAGTGAAAGTGCCGTATCCTGTGAAGGTACCCGTAAAAGTGCCGGTCCAAGTGCCCGTTGAAGTTCCAGTGTATATCCATGATCCTTACCTCGTTTACAATGACGACTATTATCCATCTGAAAGTGGAACAGGGACTGAAAATACTGTGACGCAAGGCCCCACACATACAGTCACAGTGCATGGAAATACAGGGTTCACTGGTTTCAAGTCACGTTCTGACACCGACGTCAATGAGTCTACTACGACGATCTCCGTAACGTCCACAGCTGACTCTTGAGGCTGACGTACAAGTATTATTTCAAATGTTGTAAATTTAAATGCATCTGTACAATCATCGATCGATAAGAGACATTTTCGATTTGCATGAATTTAAGATGATAATAGTACCTTAAAATCTAAGTTATTACTGTTGAAAGTATGTTTGTTGAACGTGTTAAATGATGTTGTTGGTCCGTTTTGAGTAAATGAATGCCGCTGTGATACATTAATGTTGTTATTTAATACACTTACTATCAACATAATTTCGTATACGTTCGCAATAAAACTGCAATATTATACATATTGTTTACAGCCTATATTTTGAAAGATATATTATATCCTGATGCATTCACACTAACCCGATGTGACTTTTTTTATAATTCTTTTAAACATCCAAATTGACACTTTTGCGATTAATTATTACACTTTTGACAGTTGCCTGGCCTTACAACACAGGCTTATATAGCCTGTAGCCTATATATAACTATGTATTAAACTTTATTTATCACTAATAACCCGCCCTGAATTCGCCCGGGTGTAATGTTCTCTATTTTATTTTTATTTAATATAATCACAGATAAGACCTGATAGGTACAACACATCTTAGATAGCAATTTCTCACTTAATACATTTACAAAGCGGAGTCATCTATATGAATTAAATCGGTTGTGCCGAGTAAAAATATAATCAACTTCTGCAGTAGTTAACATGGGCGTGCCTAGCGGAAAATTACACGAGTGACATTATGTCAGTCACCTTTTTACTGTATTAGCAATTATTCGCATTACGCCTTATGGATTGTACAACCAGAAAAGAATTTAAGCAATAATAGTTTTACTTACATGTTTTACACACAACCGCGACTTTGAAAGGAAAAAGAGTAATTCAACGGCATTTTTGCGTGTTTTAGTTTACGCGATTTATTCGTGAAATTTGATAGGCATTGGATTTAGAAGCAACTGCACTTCCAATATGGAATATTCGAACGTGTATCTTAAGGGGCAATGGCAGGCTCCTACCAGAAGTGGTTGGGAGAAACACTGGGAGTTGAATGTTGACATACGTCAGCAAAATCGCCCCTTAAATCTACACCCGGATCACAAGTCCCGGGAATTGCTCGGAGTTTTCCTCTCTGGCCCACGATGGACCCGGTTCCTTTACGGTGAATCTATGGAATGCTAAAAAGTTCCTCTTTCTCTTCATTTTGCAAACGTCACACTTTACTAAGGTGCTAAGGTGTTTACTATGATTTCATAACTGCGATTGCGTACCTCCTAATTTAGGCTGCAAATGCGACTTTGAAATTGTTTAAATGTAGTGTAAATTGAACTCTATCATCCACTTTTAGCCTTTCCCAAATGAGAGAACCCGTTATGTACCACGCAAATTGTTTAAATAATATAGTAAATGTAAAGATTTCAATCTGTTGCTATTTACTTAGAATTATTAGCAACGGTCTTACATAGTTAAGGTCCTGGGAATTATTATGTAGCTATGATATAGTTGCTATCGATTGTTGAGTATACCATAACGAAATCAGTAGGTTAACGTTTGTATGGACTTTGAAGTGCAATTTCAAGGTATATTGTACCATAGTAGTTATGTAATTCTAGGTTGCTAGGTTGCTGATTTTGACATCCACCACTGGTACTCCGTCAGTACAAACCGTTAGCGCAGGCAGCTGTACCATTCCTTATTCATCCATTAAAATAACTATTCTAAACTTAGGTTGTTTACAATTGTAGGTACAACATGATATTTATTATGATAATATTAATTATAAGGTCTCGATATTTCAACTTGACAAACGTTCTCGTTACGGATCCATTCATATATAATGTCTACAAATCTATTAATGGAATATAACATAAACAACAAATATTCATAAGCACTCGTTACCGATGCAAGTACACAGACACCCGCAACTCATTAGTGACGATTAAGACGGAATAGGAAGTATGGAACATCGAAAGTGAAGTCACAGTCGAGTTGGCGCCGCGAAATCGTAATATCGGTTCATTCAGTTCAACATCATGTGAGAATTACAATTTTCAATTTTCCGTAAATAGATTATATAACAAAAAAAAGTGTAGGCAAAGACTTTGAAAACAATGTAACATATTTGATATGATTTCGACCGGGGAATTAGTATGAATTTTCAGATAACAGTTAATTTATATAATATTATTCCATAATGCAACATTTGATGTGTAGCCTTTGAGAAGTAAACCTCTCAATTTTGTTCAATGCTCCATACCGGCTCAATACATTTGCAGAATTACGGTAACCATTTACCATCAGATGGATCTGAAATGTGCTGGAGAATGCTTCAGATATCATGGACTGTACTTAGGACAAATGTTTCTGTATTCGAAAAACTCGGCATTACACAGCGTCTATCAGTAAGAACACAATCGCGCAATCTTACGCATTCCTATGCGTCAAGAACGTATCGAATAAGAAGGACTGCTTGCTTGTTTGCCGCCTTCCTGGTAAAAAAAATGTGTATCTTTTCAAACTGATTAGAATTCGAGATTTCATATTATATTAACTAACTCTATACGAATTCTCATGATTTTTAAATATAACAATTAAATTTTAGATCATATACAAAAATTTAATTGTTATGTATATAAATAGTATAATTTTTGATCATATACAAATTTAGACACAGATAATAAATTAATAAAATCATTTCCTCAAAAAATGTATATTAAAACAAAATAATATATATAACAATATCAATAATTAATTATTTACACTGCACTGTTTTGTTACTTGACTTTGATAAATTGCCATTCAAGTTCATACACACCCACTGACACCTGGTTCTTCTCATCATAGTCTGCCCATTCTTTTTCACTAAGGTCTACGTCTGTAAATGTTTTACCTGAGAAAAAAAAATATAATAACTCTGAATAATTCATGAATGCCTTGTAGCCTAGTATAAGTTCCTACCACAAGCCTAAATGTAGTCAATTTATATCATGGTATGATTCCATCAACGACCATGATAAAATCCTAGAAACCTTTGCCTATATTTGTTTGAACAGCACCATGGACATCACATTAACAAATGACAGCTACCATTTAGACTTTGCCATTACAGGGTACTAAAATGTTATGCCTACATATACTGCAATTACACTGCATATCTAACCTTTAACCCTTTAACCAAAACACAGGTTACATAGCAAGCTGCTTGGTTGCTGAAATTAATAGACATAAGTCAACTTTTTAAAAAATTTACCTTGGGAGCTCCAATTCAGACCAAACTCTTATGAGTTGCTTCCTAGAAAACATTGTCAATTAATATTTATTATATTCTAATGGAAATACATTCTAACAGACATAATTAATGAGCTGTCTCAGCTGTAGGCTCTAGTCCCCTTCCCCTGAGGACTATGAGATCTATATTTATTTATGAGTCTATATTTTAATGTGTATGTTTGATTAAAATATACACATTGAAATATATACATACTGATTACCCCATCTCACAATAATGTATCCCCCATTTGAGAAGATAATAATTCAAATTCAAAATATCTTCATTCTTGTAGGTCTATTACAAACTCTTATGATATGTTAAATCTACCAAATGATTTCAAGAGAAGAACTGACAAGAAACTCAGCTTATGTTCTTTTCAAATATATATTGTACATGTTTACAATATTACAGATTCATTTGGGAGAATAAAATGAGCATCTTCATATGCTATTGCAAAAGCAAATAGTCTAATCAGTATTTATTATTATAATATATTTATCTAATAATATTTACCATTATCCTCGGCTTCAGCTATCCAACCTGACTTTGGTTCGAAGTCTACAGGTTCAACTCCTCTACAGTCATATATAACAAGAGTTTTGAATTTATTTGCATCATCATTGGTATATTTACCTGCAAATGATTTAAAATTTATTAAGAAATACTTATTGAATAAAAGAAATTACACTGTAAATGATTATTTCGTAGACTGCCTCGTTGGTAGTTCAGACAAGGGATTTTAAATATGTTAGACACATTTTACTTAAATGCTACGTAACATTTCAAGATTGATAGCTATAGTTTTGAAGATGATATATTTGCGGTTATGTTTACCTACCATTACTGCCTTCAATAACATCCATACTGTTATCCCTCGAGCATAGCTTACATTTAATTGCCAAATTAGTTTCAGACCTATTGTGCTTCAGTGGCACTTTATCAGCTTCGGTTAAATCGGTAAACTTTTCAGCTACCTCTCCACAGTTGCTACATTTTAACTTCAAGAACCATTGGTAATGAGGGTGATTTGTATAGAGACTTTCTATGCATTCGAGCGTAGCCTTAATCTGGAGAGCTATTTTAACCATTCTATCAAAATTTAAAAATTTGTTGTTTTATTCAAGTAATACAATAACAAGATTTACAAGAAAACAAATACAATTGTGATTACGACAAATGACAGTAACAGTAATAGTAACTGACATCCAATCCAGATTTGACACTAACTAGCAAAGACAGGTAACCTTATCCGTTACCTTCTATCTCGTTTATTTTGTTAAAAAAAAAAAACACCAAAGTTGCTCTCTTGTATATTTTAATAATGATGTATTAGTTCCCTAGTTTTCCTCGCAGTACGAGATCTAAATTATCTTTTATACACTGGACTCGAAGTCATACACTTATACGAATATACTAGATTTGTAACCTGTTGAAATACCGGCAGCACATAATTATAACATGTTAATATATTTTATATTAACACAGATGTAATTTATCAGTACTCCATGGATTCGTCATGCAAATGCTCGGTCCATCGTATGGCAGAGGGGGAAACTCCAAGTTCCCAGGACTTGTCATCCTGGTGTAGACATTACTGACCTACGTCAATCTCATCTTCACCGCTCGTTTTTCTCTCCGTCCATACAAATCTGGATATCTTTTAAGTAATGTATAAAAATAGATCATTTAAAAATAAGGGTATTGAAAAAAAAAATTGATAGAATATATTTATATTATCGTTTCTCGTATCTTTATTGTGATTATGCAAAAATTTTATAATAAATAACATAATAGTTGGCCGCTTTAGTAATTTAATAAGACTCCAGAATATGTTGATCCAATGCCTTAAACCAACCGTGTTCAGGGTTGTCGAAGTGTTTCGTGCCATTGGAAGGATTCAGTTCAGCTCATTATATTCATACACGGTATAATAAATAAATGAGTGTACTTATTAACTAATTGGATATTTAAATGACTATTAAAGAGAAATGTCCAATTTAGAACATAAAAATAATACAAGTTTTACATAAGACTATAAATGGAGCATATCCTATAATATAAGGCATTACAGATTTCCAGTTTTGTTCAAGTTTCAAGCACAATTCTACAACTTCATATTTAAGTATAAAGAAATTGCAGCATCTATGTGTCACTAGTTGCGGATACAATGTCCTATAAATTCAGTATTTACACTCGCGCTAAAGGCACAATTCTTATAGAATTGTTTTGCGAGTCTGTGTGTAGTGTTAGGCCCATTTCTTGCAATACTTCATTATCCACAGGTCCTTGCAGAGTCAGTTTCGAGATCACCTCCTAGAAATACAAAATAGTTCGGTGTTATAATGTGTAACTATCTGACCCGGGCAGCTTCGTTTGCGTCACAGTTCACACATTTTGGTAATTTATTGGTGCTCAGCTCCTAATTGTGGTAGTGTGATGTTACATAACTCCGAAAAACCGATTAAGACGTTTATAATTAGAACCAGTAGTTGAGAATTACTTGTCGGCGATTTTTGGATATTCATGTCAAATAACAATGCTATGTACATAAAAACATATGTCTATAAAAAAATGTACTGAACATTCTGGTAAAAAATTAAGACTTTTACCTGGTTTTCTGGACAGCTCTCGCATAAATTACGAACAGCGAAAATAACCCATTGCATAATCACTGTCATATCTATTAAGGAAATTATTATAATTCTTAATAATACGTAACAACTGCAGTGTTGCTAAATTTTTTTGAATATGAATAGTTTATTTTTTCATCATTTTATCAACAGCATACATCAGTAGCACAATACATCAAGTCCTGGTAAGGTGGTTAGACATACTGCCTGACCATTATTTTTTTTATGTGACTGTAACTGGTATTGATACTTTCTATGTTTATTGTGTAATTAACAACCAGTTGTACAATAAAAAGGATACATGGATTTCGAGCATCAATATTAGCACACTCAAGCAGTACCGGAATTACATCCAACTCTCGTATCTGAAACAGTTAAATTAAAAAATAAAAAAAAAATTATATTATGTAGCTGACAAATAACTATATGGTCCATATGCATAGTTTATTTTGGGATTATAAAGTGACCACAGCAACACTCAATCTGAATCTGTACTGTGACTGTGACTGTGATTTAATATTAATGGTATAAAATAATGCTACATTTTATCCTTAAAATATCAGCTCTCTAAATAGGAAAAGTCCTGTAATTAGGATAATTAGTGGTCATTCCATCATTACAGTGACACAGAAAATGTATGTTGTTGGGCAGTATTAATAATTTTACATACTGAGTACCTTTCAAAGTAATCTTATATACTAAGTGCTATTCTTCTAGTGTCCTATAAACATCCTACTTATGTTTTTGTTTCTTTTGCTATTAACAATATAGGCGTATAATAAAATTACTGACCTGCTTTTTATTTGCTTGATTCTTCCAACATAAGTTGGCAAGTGTCCGCACCAATGTTGCTTTAAAACCAAAGGCAACATGCCTTTCAACAGTTTCCACCATTGTCACAGCCTTTTTCGTTGTTGTCATGTCCACTGCGCCTAATCTGTAAGGAGACATTACATCAGGGTATAATTATTGACATAATTGGAAATATACTTCATCTTACAGCATGCCTTTCTTAAACAAAATACAGTATATTTCATTTAATTACCGAGGTTTCTGACTTTCCGGTGAATCAATCTTCACTGACGGCACCTTATTTACAGGTGTTTCTTCTGATATCTTAACTTCTTTTACTGGTTCTGTTTTCTTCTCAACATTCGCAGCATCAGTTCGAGTTTTCTCTGAAGATATGCCTAATATTTTCTGCAGTTGTTCGCTTAAATCAAAATCAGTAGATAAATTTTGACTTTTCTTTATTTCTTTTGGTGTGTCTGGGGAATGCTTTTGTGATTCTACATCTGGTAATACATCTGCTAGTGGTGGCGAGATTTCGCTAGGCGAAGCTTTCACTTCACACTTAAGTTCTTCTTTTGGAAGATGTATTTCAGTAGGTGGATCATTTGGAGAACTGTCCTGTGATTCAGTACCACTTATAGCTTGCAAGTCCAATCTTGGCTGTAACGCCACCGGTATTACTTCAGCTATTGTATTCATACTTCCATTTGGAGATGTTGAATCTAATATCAATGGAGGCTCTGTATCGTCACCAATATCAATTTTGTGTTCTAGACTTATCCTTCTTATTGGAAGTTGATGAATACGATCATCGGCTTTTGGAAGAGAGCTGCTTCTTTTGTAAGCAACTCTTGATAAATCACTATCAATTTGAACATTCATATTAGGTTCTGTATTTCCATTTTTACCATTCATTACATCAGACAAAGATTCTATAAATTTGAGAGGCTGTTGCAAACTTTCTATTGTACTTATTGCATCCAATCTATCTGCATATGAAGGATTGTCATTACATTCAAAGTATTGTTCACTACTCTCGGATTCTGTACATTCCGATGTAGTTTCATTGCAGGAGAGCATGTTATCTGCTGAATCATTTTTACTGAGAGGATCTGAAATGCAATTCTTCTTTGAACACATTGGCAATAAGTGCATACAATTGATTGATTGAGTAATTTACTCATTATAAACAGAATAGTACAAGGGAACTAATTTGAATAGATGGTAAAATTGTAATGGTCCTTGCCATTCCATATTCTTTGAAAATAGATGTTATGTAGATGATTAGTACTCACTTTCTGTGGGATGACTCATGTTGCTATTCAAATTTTCGTCATTAATCAACTGCTTACCAGTAGCAGCATACAGCTTGTTCAGAGATGAGAAAAAGTTGTCACTCTCTTTACCCAACTTGTGTATAGCACGCAGGAGAACTACATGACAAATAAAAGAAAATAAAATCAATAAGTAATACTAATAATATATAAAATAAATAAATGTCTATATAATAGGGATGATGCAGATGCTTGTAATGGACTAATTCTTGTAAAAGAAAATATTTTAATGGTAACAGTAGATGTAAGCTAATAATTTATATATTTTGTTTTATATTTTAATTAGACAATAGAAATTATAATCTAAATATAATGCTATTAAAAGAGTTTCTCAACATATCTTACCATAATTAAAGTGTATATATAAGAAAAATACAACATACAACATAAAAGTAACAGTATCAAAATTACAGTTCATCGTCCAATACCAATAAAGCATGAGTCTCAACTCTATTTGATTGTTTTATATGCCAGTTTAGGGGCCATCCATAAATGACATTACAGGAATTTTATAGCTTTCTAAACCTACAGTTGGTCACTAGTATGACATTTCTTAATTACACGAAATTGTAATATTATAAGTTATCCATTAATAGATGAAAATTTAGGTACATCACACATCATCACATTTTATAATCTAAGAAATATTGTTCCCTCCCACCCCTTGTCATACAAAGTCACATTTTTTCAGCCCCTATCTGCCTTCAACAAGTAATGTAATTTATGGATTGCCTCTTATGAGATATTAAAATACTTACAAGCACAATTGATAAATAATGAAGTGTCACTCTGCAAACAGTCCATATAGGTGTCCATACTGGATGCAGTCGCAATTATCTCAAGCAAGAAAACAACCTCCTGTGGTTCTATAGTATTTACATACTTATCTACCGTCTTTAAAATACAATCTGATTTACTTTTAAATTCATGTGCCATAAATCTAACAAAATTCACAGACACATTGATGTCTTGAGATTCCATTGACATTAAAATGTTATAAGCTAGATTTAGAACAAGCATACGGCACTCCGGTTCTAATTTTGAATATAATTTCTCTATATATGTATTCTCTACACCTATTAAATACTCTATGATTAAATGTGGATATTCCGTATTGCCATTATTGTACATGTACGCTAGAGAATTTAATAATGTAACATCATCTGGCAACACATTCGGCTGTCCTAGCAATATATTATACACTATCATAGCAGCCGCTGATGCAATTTTATCATTCTGACCTACCAAACAATTCAAAATTGTAGCATCAAATTTGTTCCAAATCATAATCTGATTGAATGGATTATTAACCACTAAATTCCCTAATGTTTGTATTAGGACTGTCATGCAAGACTCATATTTCTTCTGCAATTCATCCTTCAGGAGTTCTAGACTTGGGTGTTGATATTCTGTGGCTAGAACCAGCATAGAATCTAAAATTGACAATTCCTTAGATACGTATGTCTGCATTTTTGTGCCAGCCGCCGCACAAGAGCGTATTAGACGTAAGCATTGCTCGGCTACGGCCAGGGTGCTGCGATTGTAAGAAGCTTGCTCCACATCTAGGCGCATTATATGCAAAACTTCAGCGATCAGTCGCAAAGTATATTCAGATGCTTTTTTACTGTAAAATAAAGAAAACGCGGTAAGTACACATGAACATCCTGTTGGCGAATTTAAACGTAAAGATCTAAATATTTCGTAAACACTTACGGTCTCAATCGACCGGTCTCAGCATCTCTAGAAAGCTGAGCTTCGGCCCTTAACATTTCCTCAACCGCATCCCACTCTCCAGTTTCTAATTGAAAATTAATTAGTTTTGCATCTAATAAAATTTCTTCTGCAAACCACACGCTTTTATCTCGTGACATTTTGGAGAAGCGAATAATATGTAAATTGGTTATATTTATAAGGTATTTCACATTACATTTCAATTCTATTAATATTATAAGAAATAAACTGAAAAGTCGAAACTTATAGAAAAATTTACTAATAACAAAAATTAACAATATGATTTTTGTTTTCGATTTTACAAATTAAAAATTATGACTGATTGACATCCACATTTTACGTTTTGTTTTGACATTAAATTTGACAATGTGCACAGAGGACGCAACGTTTTAAATTTTGCGCTTCAGTAGTAACTGTACAGGCAGTCCCGTCTCTTTTGAATGTTTAGTAAGTCCGTTTGATAGAGAAAGACAAAATGACAAATGATCTACTTTAGAATTTGTTTTGATATTTACTAAAATCCATTTGATTATTGTATTTTAATAAATTGTTGTTGAATTTATCTTTTCTTGTAATTAAAATATCATCAGTTTAAAAAAATAGTGCAGCGTTCAACCTTTAAGGCCCCGGCCCCAGTCCCCGGCGGCCCCGCTAGTCTTGATCATGGTGGCGGTCATGGAAACGGCGGGGCAGGGGGTGCGAAGAATCTCCGGGTAAGACCCAAACTAATGGAAGCAAATTAAAAAACAAGCAAATTAATAAGATGAATATAGATCCATTATCACTATTTTGAAATGGCCAATTGAGTATATTATATACAATAATAACAATTTTAATATAATTGTCTATAAATTTCAAACTTGTACACATAAATGAAGTATTCGGTTATCCGATATCGGTCTAAGCCACAGAACGCCAATATCTTGTCTAAGCTGTCGACCAACAAATAAAATAAAAATAATGTTGCCAATAATAGTTTTGTTTTTTACTATGCAACTGCATCGTGATTCGAACTGTTATATTCGAGAATGTTTGTTATATAGTCCCTAATTACTGAAACAAATGATACTAAAATTATTCAATGAACATTTTTAAAACTTGGTTTCAATTGAAAAAGTTTTACTCAAAAGTTTGAAAATCAAATTTAGCACATTATTTATCTTACCGCATAGGATTTTATAACTATCTGGAAGTATTCTTCAGTTTGTGTCAATATTATTTATTTAGCATTATACATAAAAGAAAGATTTTGAAAGATACATTTATATACAACTCGGGCGGAAAAAGACATGAGTTTCAGTTAGTTTTAAAAAAATAAAGGTTACTACTATATAAATACCATTTAGTAGTTTTTGGTATGTCCACCCGTTTAGGTGATAGTTCGAGAGTCGCTTGCTCCACCTCCCCCTCACAACCCCCGCACCGCCCGCTCGCCGTCAGTCAATTCACTGAGAATGGCATTTGTGTGTAAAATTCTATTAGTTTTTGTGAGAGCAAGTGTATAATTCTATAGAAAAAAAACTGTACCGGTTGCGTTTTTCGATATTTGTGTGTTTTACAAGATTGTGTGTTAGGTGGAAATGTCAAGATCGCGGGAAGGCAAAATGTTCTTGAATCTAAAAATTTGCATCTTGATTCGAACTGTTATATTAAATGTTTGTTATCTAGTCCCTAATTATTGAAACAAATGATACTAAAATTATTCAATGAACATTTTTCTTGTAGCACATTATTTATCTTACCGCGGTAACTATCTGGAAGTAATTAAAAATTTGGAAGTGAAGTGACCAAACGGGGTGGTGTGGTATCCTGGCGAAAGGATATTGTTTCGTTTAATCGTGCAATAATGAACAGGCTTCCCGCTAACATCGTTTCAATTTAAAACATTGGGTGAGTCATCAGCATTTTGAGTTTTAGAAAATAACTGCTAACATGCTTGGACGGTTCTATCTAAAAATATTGTGAATTCAATAAACACCTGTTTTGGTCGGTGCCGTATTCTTAATAAACGGATTTACTTAGAATTTAGACCGATTATATTACATACTATTATTAATAATAACAGGTCAATTGATAAGATTAAAATTCACTTATGTTAAATTAACGGGATTCTGTGAAATAAAAAATGTTACTTACATCTGTCTTCAACTTTCATGATGATTGAATTTCGTGATGTTCTTTTAAGAAAAACCTATTTGAAATATTTTAAATCTAATTTTTTTCTATGTCATTTATAGTGAAAACTTGTATAACAATTCTGTATCATTGTTAGTTAGATAGACAAATAATTTATTTGGTTTCATTCTAGATTCTCTTGTGGTTGCCTTAGACTCATCCATTTCCAAAGACAATAAGCAGAATACATCTGCATTAAAATTACACAATATATCCACCCATAGTTTGCATCTTTGATAATTTGAGAAGTTATATGTTGAAATTGGTGATTATAAAGTATTTCTATAACTAGAGAACAATAATGATCCTTTTAATATAAAACTACGTAAGAGATAAGTCATTACACCAGTTTTACTTGTTTAACTTTGTACATAGTTGTCTGTTTGGGTCTCTCTGTCCCACCTGTTCTAACTACTAAGCAACTTGCTTTGTAACATGTTTAATTAGAAGAGTGATATGACAGTGTAATTGAAAATATAATAATGGAATGAATAAATTCGTACAAATATTATAAATGAGAAAGTTTTAGAGTATGGATGGATGTTTGTTACTCTTTCATGAAAAAACTACTGAACGGATTTTGATGAAACTTATTATACATCTGTATAACATATAAGGCTATAAATTACATGCAGGTGAAACTGCGGGCACAGCTAGTAAATTATAAAAAAATAATTGGCAAAAATTGATTGTATTAGGATTTTAAGAAATTATATAAAAATAAACAGATTACACAGATTCCAATACATTCTTCTCATTATAATTTTCTAATACATTGGATGCTATTATTCATCTCTTGTTAAAACATTCACAATCATATAGAATTATAGATGTTTGTAGTTCACTTGTTTTGAAAACTTTATTCAAACAATGGGAAATGTGCTAAGAAAAAACAGTAAACTTCCTGCTAAATGCAATCTGAATAAAAAAATTTCTTTTCCCTGGAAATACTTAATGCACTGCCTATTTTAAATAAAAAAAAATATATTAATTATTACATAAACATGGTTTTAAAACAAATGTGGATGTCAATATATACAATGTGTTTAAACATTACATGTATTGACATCTGCATATGTTTTAAAATCATGTTTATGTAATTATTAATATAATTTTTTAACCTATTTTAGATAGATAGGATATACTTTATTTGTAACATACAGTAAAGAAAAGACTTAAAGAACAGAACACATGTATAAATACAATAAGGTGGGCTTATTGTTAAAAACAAACTTTTTAGGCAACCTTAGGGATTTACCTAAGTGTATTTAAATATTGAGCACATAGGTAATATGCAAACAGTAGAAAATAAAATAACAAACATAATGATGAAGGAAAATAATAATAAGTATAATAAGAATTAAAATGTAAGTAAATAATATTAATTATATAATAAGCTTGATACACTTACATGAACTACATTTATATTAAAAACTACTAGGTAAATTTATATTAAAAAAAACTACATACATAATTATGAAGGTAAGATAAAATGAACTTAATATAAATGAAAATTAAAATGCCATACTGAATGTAATTCAAATATTGATAAAGAAGTGTTTCACTTGTCTTTCAAAATTATCAATGGACTTTGCAGTTCTGATAGTCACAGTCTGACACACACATCTTTCTTGCTCATTCTTCTTGTGATAAATCTGTGTTCCAAATAAGTGGTAGAATAAAAAATATGACTATTTGAAAGTGCTTGTGCTGAGTTTATTTGAATAAAGTTTATTTATATTTCTATATCACAGGTAGCAGATTCTATAATTTTGCTATTTTTTAGTACACTTTTGAGAGTATAATATAATTTAAAATTTTGCATTGTTAAGAAAGAATATTTTTTATATTGAAATCCATGGTATCTTGAAAATTGTGAAAACATATAGGAATTTTATACTTATAAAACTTTCTATGAGTAAACATTTATTCAGCAGTTCAGTTATTCTGGAGGGCAAAGTTGATAGATAAACCTTTGATTTTCCTATCATATCTCACTCTTCAATTGAAACTGCTAAAATAGGTGTGATGTGGGACAGGGGTACAGGAAGTGGAAGTTTGTTAGTAATGAGGACTAGTGGTCCCATGTGTCATTGGTAGCAACTTACCAAATGAACCCTTCTGAAAACCATTTTTGTGAATTAGTGGCCAATTCGCTATGGACAAAAGACCTGACTTTATGCCCATCCTAAACAAATAAAATTCAATCCAAGAAAAAAAGTTTTGTGTTGTTCTTTTAAACTATTGTTTAGATTAGAGGTAAATTAAAAGAAATAAATATGACTATTCAGAAGTGCTCAAATTTAAGTTTATTTGAATATTTCTATTCTATCCTTATCATCCTGATAGAGCCTGAGGAGATCTTCAATGTAACATCATGGGATGTGGTGTCATTTGGTTTTTTGATAGGTTATTAGTTCTTCCAACAACTTATCACAAAAACAGATAAGAAATTATCAAGAAAAATTGTTGATCTGTCAAGGTCTGATCATATGTCTGAAGATGATCACGACATTTATACATGTACAAAAATAAATATATAAAAGATGTTTAAACATAATTGTTTCACCTGTTTGAAATAATCTGAAAATTCAAAATCTGCGTTTTTTGTTTCTCAACCTCATTTTGCCGCCAAATCGACCTGACGATGACGTCAGAAATGTACTTACAGAAAAGTAGTTATTTAAGATACTATGATTATATGATCGACGACGTCGGTGGTCTAGCGGTTTAGCACACCACCTTACTCCCGATGGTCGGGGGTCGATTTCTCGTACGCCACATACATTTCTATTCATTAGTATGATTGTTTATATCGATCTTGGTGTTTACTATGTATAATATGTACTTATGTATTTATGAAAAAAAATGTATATGTATCAGTTATCTCGTACCCATAAAACAAGCTTTAACAAGCTTAACTTAGATCTAGATGGCGCTGTGTGAATTGTCCTGAGATTATTATTATGTATATTCGAGTTAAACAAGAAGTGGTTAAATGAGGTCAGAGTTACTGAGCTTCTGTTCTTAACTCGAACACCAGCAACAGTTTTCACCATCACCAGTGCTTTATTCAGATCAAATATTCAACACCAACAGTCGAAACTTCACGCGTGTTGAATCTCTATCCACGACACACGGTTTAAACGTTTGGCCCAATTCTATCACGCGATGTTCCCACAAATCAATAAGAAAGCCATATATTTACATGTTGACCTGTCTGTTCTAAAATAGAATCGAGCACGTAAATTATTTTATTTTTCTGTTGAATTGATATAAATAAGTTTCGATAGCACATCCATATTGTCAACTATTTTAGACGGGGTTTGAATATTCGCTCTCGCATGATCACGAACGTCATATGATAACACGATGAAGCTGTTAATGTATATAGGCGACGGTTACCATTTACCATCAACTGGGGCGTCTGCTTGTTTGCCACTCCTAGTATATAATAAAATCCTTTTGATGATTGTTTTTAGAAGTACGAGAACCAGGTAGGTACTTACAATCGACACTTGTTTGGCCATATTAAATTAAAATTAACTATTTTTATTCACATATAAATCATCTTAAAAGATACTGGCATTGGTAGGTCGGAATTATGCTCTTATTCTTTTTAAATGAAATCAAAAATAATTTATTCGTGTAGGACATTTTAGCCGCTTATGAACATAAATTTTTTGTATTAATATTTTTTTCTTACCGCCCAAATTAGGTTGTACTTTAGATTCATATTATTTTGTTTAATTCCGCTACCGTTAGCATATGTGATGCCACAAATATTCATGGTAATGGTAGCCGGAATTCAATAAAACAATATAAGTCCATTAAGTAATAGAATGGAATTCCACAAAATACCTAATTCGATAAATTAGAGATGTTTTTTATACTACGTAGGTGGAATCAACGTATACAACAGATGGCAATTATTGTATATGAAATTAAGGTATATAAGATATCCCTTCTAACGATAAGGCCTTTTGCTAAGCACATTATTTACAAAATGCTGTTTTTTACTACGCAATAATTTTTAGAGTAATTAAATTTATTCGCTGCAAATCGCGTGAGTCAGTTAACAGTGCGTTGGCCATGTGACAATCATTATTTGGCAGCTGTTTAAATGGCACAATTAGTGGGCATGCGAAATTAAATTGAATTAAACATTATACCTAGGTACATTATACCTCGTGCGGACGGATACCATACGCACCCGCGTGGCAGCATCTTTTTCGCGGTTAGATCGGAACAGCGAGGAGTTTTAGTGGGTAAAAGTGCTACAGTATTTTTATTTTCCCATGTAAAAAAAAGGTACATTATACCATATACATATAAAGGTACATATACATGAAAAATAAATCTGTATAAAAAAATCTTATCTCTTTGTTCTGCTAGGAAGCAGGTCTCTCTCAACCTCCCATCTCTATTCTTTTAACCTGTAATATTATCAATTGTTGACCTCGTACCATGACTTTTGCCACCATTAATCTGGTTTTTTATCGGTGTTTTATATCATTTTAGAGTCAGAACTATGTAAATTGGGGGCAAGGATTATTAGTAATGTAGGCTAGGGAACCAATGCTAGCAATCTAGTCGACCTCCAAGTGGTTCCCTTGAAAACCGTAGCTTTTTTTTTAAATAATGGTAACGGTATACGCTGGCGGGACACCAGTGGAGGATGATAAGATGAGTCAGAACAGTTAACCCATCATGGCAAATTCACTAGGAATTTAACATAATGGTTTCCAGGGGCTGTGGAGGTCATCCTATCATCCTCGACTGGTGCCCCGCCAGCATAAACCGTTAGCACAGGCGGGAGCAACAGTCATTCATCAATGAATACTGGTGTCGTACTAGCGTATACATATAGATAATTACAGCAATTAATTCCATCGTCATCCACAATCAGAACTGAACAGAAGTTAAGAATTGTCTCTTTATTTTACAGGTCCCTAGCGGGATGGATGAGGGGTTACTCAACGATCTACTAGAGTGCTCCGTGTGCCTGGAGCGGCTGGACACCTCCTCCAGGGTCCTGCCGTGCCAGCACACATTCTGTCTCAAGTGTCTAAAGGTAAGACTACATTTAAAATTAATACGTAAGTAAAATTGTTACTTAAAGAGTACGGTGACGACGACGTCAAAATTTTAGAAGAAGAAGACCATTGAAGTTTCATCCTACAACATTGAAAACTTTGATTTTAGTCTGTTAAGTCTAGAAAAAATTGGTCACGCTGTCATGTACATATACTGAAATTCTCCATTGCAAAAACAATCGTTCAATGTACATGGAAGGTATATGAGAAAACCTAATATTGATTAATGATTAAATGATAATTGATACCCCATCAACCTAAAAGAACTCAAAACAACGAATGTGATATTTTTTGTCTGTGCGTATGTGGATGCTGTTCTCAAAACCTGCTTAACGGATTTGAATGAGGTTTTCTCTAATAAAAAGAGCTCCAAGTAAAATTGTTTACGTTTTATTCCAATGAGTTACAAAAAGTTATAAAAATACGAAGTCATGAGTTCAGATCTCACACTCACTCATCCTATCCCATCATATAATTAATACAACAAAGAATAGATAACTATAAAGGCTATTATAGAAATGTTTAGTAATGCTATTTAATAAAATTGTATGTTTTTAGTTTGTACATAATAGTAGCAGTAGTAAATAGAGAGATTAGATATAAAAGATTTGTCATCAAATAAAACTGTAGGCCTCTTGAAAGAATTTGCTACTGGCTCCACGCTTACTTAATACGGCTCTGCTAGTAATGACTAAATAACAAATGTATAAATATATGCTGGTGGTCATTCTGGCTAATTTTAAATTTAAAAATGATCACATTAAAAAATAATAAGATCTGAGTTTCTTGTCAGTTCTACTTATGCTCTGTCAATGCTCTCCAAACTGACTGTAGTTTTTGACATACCATAAAGAGTCTGTAATAAACATGCATGAATAAAGATGTTTTGATTTGATTTGATATATACTAATTATCAAATCTAGTAATAATCTCAGTATGCTACGTAGCTATTATAATTAATTATTATATTGTTGAACTTAATTAAACGTTCCAAATTGAAATACGTTGCCAAGTAATTTAATGAAAATAAAATTGATTATAACAGACGTTCTCTTTGTTTCATATTATCCTATCTACATTGAGTGAAATTTTATGTTATTATTATAGCAACGTGTTAATTAATCAACAATAGGTTGTATAACAATATGTCTTGTATACTATATAATAAACAAAGTTCTCGTAAACAATCTCATGTTAAGTTCCTGAAATAGATTTGTCGAGAACACGATGCAGTGCATAGAAATGGGATGGTAATATTTTTAGGGTTGCCGACGTACCAGTTTTTATACACACGAAATCTTGAATATGTAATGCTGAATTTATTTAAAAGAGTAACACACAAGTATCTTGTTCGTTCTTTTTGTGATGTGAAGTTCACTCATTCGGAAAGCAGACCATTAATAATAATAATAATTAATTTAAATTAAATTATCAGTACACATACTAAATACTAACAACTTTCCTTAAACTACGTATACTATATAAATCGAGACCATTCCGAATGAGTTGTAGAATAAAAAAATATGACTGTTAAAAATTCTTATATTAAGTTTATTTGAATAAAGATTATTTCTATTTTCAGCTTCTAATACAAAACAATATTTTGAATACGTTAAAAATATAGCAAGTTTTTTTTATTATATCCACTATTTTTAAAATGTATTAAATACATATATTAATTCATATTACCTTAATGGGAACATTCCTATTATATATATTTCTCATTTTGCCTAAACAGATAATATTTTTTTCCTGAAAATATATGTCTTTTTATCATAAAGCTATATTCTGGTGTCTCTGCCATACTAATTTTTGTTTGAAGTTGACTTATTGAGATCTTTTTCCTTATAATAAATTGTTTATTATAAGAAAATAGGCTTCAATTTGAATGGGGCCACCACGTGAAAGAACTTGTTCGTTTTAAAAAGAAATGTATAAGAAAATTATTGTCCTTTATCATTTTTTTTTCGATTACTTCCCAAAGAAAGCAAACTAGTTAATTCACATGCTCATGGTAAGCAGTAACAGTCACTTATTAACGTAAACTATCTTAAACCCAACAGACTGCCATGTATTACCCATGTTACCACTACACATGCACCATCTTTCCTAACAAGGTATGAATAAAAAAATGTGTATATAACACTGTTTAGGGTTACAGTGTAGGCCTTTGTTACTCACTGAATAGGACGTGAGGACATCAGTGTAAATACTACCGGACACTACCGAACACTACCGGACTAAACACTACTAAACACTACCGGACGTAAATACGAGTGAAAGATTGTATAATACGACATTTATCTTCCGAAAATTTTACTTCATTATTGAGGGAATAATGATGGTACTATTAAAAAAAAGTTTAAAAACTAACTAGGGACCCGTCCCGGCTTCGCACGGGTATTTAACAAAAACTGAGTCGGAGCTTACTAAGAAAAAGTATGTTATGAAGAAAGTTTAGATATTATTTTTAAACTAAACTTTTGTTATTATTGGAAACAAGGATTTTCCAAATTGGCAATCGGTCCAGTAATTTCGGAGCCTATTCAATGTAAACAAACAATCAAATCATTCCACTTTATAATATTAGTATGTTTTTAAAAGTCGGGTTACTGTTTAGGCCTGGTTCTGGTTCCCGGTACTGTTTAAGTACCGGGAACCAGAAATATTCTGTTCTGAAATTGGTCTCGGTGGTATACCTAACGGTTAATAGGAGTTTCATCAAATTCTTTATACACCTTATTCTATTTTGTAAATATAGGTACTTATTATTATTACTACGCGTAAATAAATAAGGTGCAAATGAGTATTGTCGTGCCGCTTTCCTTATCAGGCGTAATCTTATCAACCAAAGTTCGACGTAGTATACACGTCACGCATTGCTTGGTGTGATCTCATGTCATCTGTATTTTATAATACTATCGTTATATTTTTTTTTTAATTTGAATCCGTATATCGTGTCAAGGTAAATATAAATGTTGTATATATTTACAAAACAATTGATTTACAAAACACCCAGAAAAATATATACAATTATAATCATGAATATAAAATGTATATGTATATTGTGTTAGACTAGATTCTGTGGGTATAGGTATGTGGTATAGGTATGTGGCGCTATACCATCACGGTCATCAAAAGAATTGACTACGAATTGAAACTCTTGGCCAGAAAATCTTAATAGTGTTTAAAAATTGGAGTTGAAAAACTATACTTTTTGGCAGTTTTTTTTATATCAGGACAACTCACATAGCTCCATCTAGTACCGAGCTACGCAGAGGTTGTGTTATGGATAACACAATTATACTACGGGTTGTGATACAAACAATTATACTCATGAATACAAATTAGGGAATGCTGTAATTCGAGATACCGGGATTAGAAATATCAATCCCGCGGGATCCGGAATTTTCGGGATCCCGTCTAAATTTAAAAAAATTTGAATTCAGATGACTGAAAAAGCTAATAACTACTTGTTTGTGATAATGAGGTTAACTAAAATAACATATTACTCGAAAGAAAATAAAAACCTTTATTCTTTAATCTTACCAACTAAATAATAAAACGGTGTGCTAGATCTTATTTCAAGGGAATTAGGAGTGATTTTGTCTTTAAAAAACAAAGTAATAGTTTCATCAAATATGGAACCGGCTGAGAATCCGACTCAGCATCCAATTATAGCAAACCGCCCCCTTGTTCTTCAAATCCATTTCTTTTTTAATGGTAGATTCTAAGCACACGGATATACAAAAGGACTTTTAGAATCTTCTTCCTCTTGACATTGTAAATTCAAATCTTCTGCAATCATTGAAAGAGGCAAATCATCTTCGATTAGTACTGCCGTATTAATATCTGCTTGGTTTGGTTCTTTACGATATAATCGTGTGATTATATTTTTTATTTCTTTTTCATCCCGTCAATCTCGAAGTTAATGATGCGTCGGGATTGATCCCGAAAAAGTAACGTGTCATGTTTAACAAATGTCTGTACAGTACCAAGAATCGAACCCGCGACCACCGAGCGGTGTGCTATCCTGTCTTTCATATATCAAATATGGAACCGGCATCCAGCATCCTAGTACCGTGTTCTTCCCCCACAGTAGCACACGGTTAACAATCTCTTCCTCTGACATTGTAAATAAACACCGGGCACTCTATTGGTCCATTTAAACTATCAGCTTTGACTCATAAATTTGACACACTTAATGACATCCTACTCATATATACTATTACTAGCTGACCCCGCAAATGTTTTATGGCAAAACAGCCATATAAATTAAAATCGCTATTAAAACATAGGAGTTGGTAATAGAAGGGTGAAATTTAGGGTTGTAAGTATTTTTTAATGCCAGAAATATAATAAATATAAATATAAAAAATTAAAAGAAAAAGAATTTGACCAAAAAATAAAAAACAACCCCTATCAGTTTAGGGTATGAAAAATGGATAGTAGCCGATTCTCAGACCTACTGAATATGCATATAAAATTTCATAAAAATCGGTCAAGTCGTTTCGATATTTTTCGAGAATTTTATATATAAGATTAGAAATGTGAAAAAGTGCTTGTTTGTTATCATTTCACAACTAAACAATAGAACGACTTGTTGCGCTTTTTTATGGATGATAATGTAATGGTTCATCTGCCTGCTCTGACGGTTTACGCTGGCGGGGCATCAGTGGACGATGATAAGATAAACAGGAAGTCAGGTCAGTTAGCCCATCGTGGCAAATTCACCAGGAATATATCACGACAGTTTTGAGGGAAAACCGCGTGGAAGTTAATCTGACATTGTACATTGTAGCCTACTGTGGACCTATGTAGACTACTGATCCCATTGATCACATTATTAATAATCAGCTTCCCCCCAAACAACTAAAGTTATGAATGATAGTTTCCACGGGAGAATCACGTGGAGGTCAACCCGACATAGAACGTTGCTAGTAATGGGGTTATTAATACACATTTATAACAATTCCCT